AGAGCTATATATAAGCGCTTCTTTCTATATTTTAAATATACTTTAAATATTTATAGCTATATATATACGCCCTCTCTTATATTTTATATATATTTCGTATATTTCGATATTCTTTATATACGCGATATATCTATTAAAGATAATCTTATTAATTTAATTAATTTCTATTTAATCTTATATTTATTAATTATAAGAAGAGCTCTTTATTTTAATATTATAACTTTATTAATTTATTATTCTTAGATATTAAGTCGCGTATAGCTTATAATTAATTTACTTACTTTCTTCTCTTCTTCTATTATAAAGATAGAAGAAGATATTATTTCTTTTTCGCCTTCGTCTATAATAAATTAATTATTATTTTTATAAGATTAAAGATATTAATTTAAAGATAATATTGTTTAATTAAAAGCGAAGAATATAATATTTTAATATTTTAACGTATCTAAGTAAAAGATATTATAATATTACTTAAATAAAAGAGAGTTATATTAATAAGAAAGATATTAATATTTAAAAATAATCTTAGCGCGATAAAAGATTTAATTTTTATATATAAAAGATTTAGATAATAATTAGTTTAGCTAATTAAATTATTAAAGCGTTTAAATTAGATTTTAATTCTATATTAATATCTAATAAAATAAATTTAATAATTTTAAAATATTAATATATACGCTTTTATTAATATAATTAGCGATTAGAATATTAATTAAATAAATATAATTTTAATTTTAATAATTAAAATAATATAGTAATAAATAAGTATTAATATTAAAGTAAATAAAGTATATATTATATTAAGTAGAAAAGCGTTAATAGCTAAACTAATTAGAGTTTTAAATTAATAAAATTAAATATTAATTCTATATTAGTGTTATTATATACTTTTAAATATATAATTATTAATTATAATATTAATTAGAAAGAATTAATCTTTAATTTAAAATATTAAAAATAATATAGCGATATATTATTAAAGCGATATAAGTTATTAAAGCGATATAAGTTTCTATTATAGCGAGAAGATAGAATTTATATATTAAATATTAATCTTATTTTATTTCTAATATTTTATTTATTTATATATCTCTTTTAATTTCTCTTTAAATATCTTAATCTTTAAGATATTAATTAGATCTTTATTTAGCGTAAACTTAACTTTCTTAATTAACGATACTTAATATAAGATATTAATAAATATATTTTAATATAAAGATAATAATAAATCTTACTTTCTTTTTAATATTAATAATAAAAAATAATAAATATAGTAATAAATAAAGATAGTATAGATTATATAGAATTAGTTTAAATCTAATAGCGATTATTAATCTTATTTATTAAGACTTAGAAATTAGAAAATTCTAGAAATAAATATAATTTAACGAATATACGCTCGTCGATTTTGAAGAAGCTATATATTATTTATTATTACTATAATAAGATTCTAATTTATTTATTTATAGATTATAAAATAAGCGATATAATAGTATATATTAAGTTTAAGAAATATATTAAGAAATCTAATTTAAGTAATTTATAATAAACGAATCTAATTAATAATTATAAAAATTAGATATATTTCTAAATTAGATAATATAAATTATTAATAAATAAAATAATAAATAGAATATCTAATTTACTATTTACTCTAGAAAAGATAATATTAAAATTCTCTTATAATATTAGAAGATCGAAAGCTTATACGCGAAGACTTTTTAAAATAATTTTATCGCTAAATTATAAATATTAATATTTTATTTATAATTACTAATAATTCTAAGAATATTATAACTTTTATACTATCTTAACTCTAATATATAATTAAAATTAATATTTATTATAAAGAATTAATTAATAAGAAAAGCTATAGAGCTAGAGATAAGATTATTAAAGAATTTATTAGTTAATAATATTAAAGTCTCTCTAATTCTAAATTATTAATTATTTTATAATTATTAATTATTTATAATAATTCTAATCTTTTTTATTAATATTAATTAATAATAATATAAGATTCTTATAGACTTTAAATATATCGAAGATAAATATATTAATTAGAAACTTATAAGTATTATTAATTTAATTCTTATAAAATATAAGATTTAATTTTATATATTTAAATTTATAATTAATAACGCTAATAATAATAATATACTCTTCGATAATTTAATTATTTATCTTTCTATTTTTATAATAAATAACTCGCTTAATATTAAAGAATTTAAGTTCTTAAATTATTTATAATATATTTTCTATATAGCGTATATTATTTAATTAATCTTAAAAGAACTTCTAGATAATATTAGAGTTATTTTAATAAATAAGAAATTTTAGAGAAGCTAAGAGTAATAAAGAAGATAAGAATTAAGTTTAAATAAATATAATTAATCTATTGATAACTCTAATAAAAATATAATATTTCTTATTATTATTCTAATTATTATATTATTAATTATATTAAAATTTAAAAAATTATTATATATATTAATATTAGCGACTAGCGTAAAGAGATCTTTTTTATATTATAAATTAAATAACTTTAAGATAAAAATATTTTAATATTAGATAAATATTAATCTTCTAAAAAAAAGTAATATTATTAGAGATACTCTTTTAAGCTCTTTTAGAATATTAAGACTCGCTAAAATTTAATTTATTAGATATTAATTCGCGCTCTACTTCTTTATATTAATATTATATACTTTTTAAAAAATAGATTAACTATCTATTTAAGATTAAATAATAAAAAATAATTATAAATAAAAATTATAGTCTAGATATCTAAATAATTTTTAATTAATTTCTAATAGATTTAATATTTAATTTAGCTTATTAAATTTTTTTATAAATTTATAAAATTAATAAATAGAGAAAAGAAGATTATAATTTACTATATCTTTAATATTTATAATTATCTATTTAATTATATAGATAAAAAGCTCGAAAAATTAAGAAGAAAGAGAGTTTCTTAAAAAAAGAACTTTTTAAAGCTTTTAAGACGGCTTATGAGAAATTAACTATCTATTATAATCGAACTTAATTAGATTTAAACTATCTATATAAATAAGTTACACTTTTATATTTAAATTATAATAATATAAAATTAAAGAAATTAAATTAAAAGATTAATATTAAAAAGAGAAGTTATAGATAAAGATCTATTAAAAAGCGCTTAAAAAGATATTTTAAAATTATTAAAATATTAATATAAGTAGTTAATTATAAAGAGCTAAGCGAATAAATTAATTAAATAAAAATACACTTAATTAAGTGATAAAATTTAAGATTAAGAATTTAGATAATAAGAATAAATATAATTAGCTTTAGTAATATAGAAGAAATAATAAGTCTTCTAATTATTATTCTAATTATAATCTTACTTCTAATCTTTATAAAGCTTCTTTTAATAATTTAGCGAATCTTTTAATTTTAAAGTAATAAAAGAAATTAAAGTTTAAATACGCTATAATCGCTTAAATAGCTTATAATATTCTTTATTCTCTCGCGAGGGCTATTATATATAAGCGATATTTTTTAATAATTAAAAGATATTATAATACTTAGAAGTATTATTTATTAGCGATATTTTATATTTTAATAATAATTCTTTATATAAAATATTAAGAAAATAAGCTTAAATAAATTAAATTTAATCTTAAAGAAGATCTTAATATATCGAATTAGATTAAAAGAGCTAATAGTACTTTATATAAAAACTTAATTAATATTTATAATAATTATATTAATAAAGATAATAAGCTTATAAAAAGTACTTCGATAAGTTTAATATTTATAAATTTATTAAGATATATTATTAATACTCTATAATATATAAAGAAATAATTAATAAATTTATAGTTAGAGAGAGTTAGTAATAATAGATTTAATCTTAAAAAAGAGATTTAAAATAATTTAAAAAGCGAATTTATTTATAAATAGTTAATAAGTTTAATTAGATAGAGATAGATTTAAGAGTATTTAAAAGAATTAAGATAGAGTAGAATAGAAGAGTAAATTAGAGTTTAAGAGAAGAATAAATATAAAGTTTATTAAGCTTATTTAACGCGTTAAGATAAATATATAAATAAAGATAATTATAGAATTTTATTCTTATACCTCTGGTAAAAACCCTTCTTCAACCTCTGCTCGTGCAAACCCTTCTCTTCCAATATCGCAATTCAAAAAGTATCCCCATCTATGCATGGCTTTAGGTGTCCGCTGCGAAATTGTTCGTCTATGCGTAGCCGTCTTTCTGCAAATGTCAGCCTGCGTCCTTGTGCACCTCCGCTCAGCCTCATGAGTGGAAGCTAGGCAGCATGCTCCGTGGGAGCCCGCTTACTCTGCCGTTACGCAACGAGAAATGAGCCTTCACGCTGACCCCTACCTAAGCTGCCTTTTCACGAGCAGCATGTCCAAAGGCACGTCGCTCATACTGGGAACCATCTAGCTGTGCGTCTGCTATCTCAACTTCAAAAATTTGACCTTAGAGCGTGATGACTTTCTATCCTTTCTATGTCATTCATACTTGCTTCACTGGATGGAATAATGCGATTGTGTCTAATGCGCTTGCAAATGCGACACCTTGAGAGTTGACAGCGATCAAGGGTTTCTAGTCGTGGATGGTCAGATGGTGTAGTAACGCCTGCCAGCGTTTGTATTATCATTTATGTACAACACCCTACTTATGACAGTCATGTCTTCAGGATCCCGGATTCCTGATCTTGTGCCCAAGGAGAACCAGGGAAACCACAGGGGTTGTAGCATGAAATAAGCGCAGAGTGTCATACAAACAATGACCGCAGCAGGAGGAAAGTCCAAGAACGGGCCCCGTCAAGAGGGTGTATCCAAGGCCACGAAAGGGATGCTATACGAACGGTCCAACCAATCCACCGGTCTGTGGCATATGTGAAGAGAAAGGGTTATGGAACGACGCGATCCCAGAGAAGATATTCCGGATTATGAGGCCCCCATGATGTTCCACGCGTATAACGACTTCAGACACTGTGGTCACCATGCTTCACGACAGGTATTGAGGTGGATGAGCTCGAGGATGCTCGTGATGCTGTTCCAGGCTTCAAGCCTTTGACATGAAGGACCTTATAGTTATGGCGCAACCGACGCTGCCAATTTTTTGCAGCCCCAAGACGATCCAGTTTTACCGTCGCTACGAATCCTGACCTGTTCTCCGGGTCCAGATATATATCAACTTTGTTGCGCCACCAAGGAAGATGGACCGGAAAACTGTTACAATCGGCTAGAAAGTTAGCAGCTTTCCTGAGGCTGGGGTATACCACTCACTGTTTAGATTTTGACGCTCGACAGTCTCGAACTTGTCCAGCGATGGGTCATACACAATGGCCTGCGGCTTGTGGTCCCAGTTACTTGTGCGGTGCTCTGCTGACAGTCGCTGTCCTAAATATTCTTGGTTCGGCGAGCCCATTGGACCTTGCAACGAGGGAGCCCAAGTCCTGCAGCACGATATTTGATGTTGAGGGCTTTCAGATGGCCGAGGTTGCTAGTGAGGCTGGAATGGGACGATGACTGTATATATGTGGGCAATCGTAAGGAGCGGAATCAGGGGCAGACAAATGATGCAGCGGACAGGACCAATATCAGCACAGCCTTGAGCGTGCCGTAAATAACGTGCTATGTAGTAGCCATGTGTGCCATTTCGGTTCACTCGTTGTGTGGGAAGTCCCACGAGGCAACTGATTGGGGCGTCTAAGGGTCATGCCAATTGGTCGCCTACTAATGAGGAGGATGGTTCACACCCTCCCCCTAGTGCAACATCAAGCAACATGAGCCTCCAACATCCGACTGAGGCAAAGAATTGTCGTCCTTGTCATTGATTGTACTTCGTTACGGATTGACGGCCATCACTAGCTGGGGGCGGAGCCGCTTCTTTTTCGCATGTGACAGTCGCAAGTTCCGCCTCTCGTGAGCCACTCGCTTAAGGTGTGCCAATAACTGCTGATACCAATACACCATCTTTCCTTACTTCGCTAACATCTACTCTTTACGAAAATCTCGCAGATCCTTTAGGAAGGCTGACTGAGATACTGATGTTGCGCGTGTGCCACCACACATGTACGCAGGCGTGCTGCAATCCTCTCAGCGCGCCACTTTAGACGAATCAGTACTCATTCCGTCGTCGCACAGATGTCTTCAAGAGCTTGGCACCAGCCATCGTCTGATCCTAGAACACATATGGAAGTATCTAAGGAAAATGGCAGATCCTGTTGCGCCTTTGCTATGCCGTGCGACGAGTTGACCTTATCTTTTTGCAAGGTTCCGGGCCTGCGGCCTTCCGCTGAGCCGCACGCATGCACACTGCGAACCTCAAAGAACTCACGATACAAGCCCACGCTTTGATAGCCTGACGTTCCTTCGGGTTTTTAGGCATGTCTAGGGTGCAGTGTGGGATGGAATTCCCAATGAAAACAGCTCACCTGGTTTGCGCGACCCATGTTGATCGATCATGTCGCCCTAGTACCAGATGTCGTCCTCTCAGCGGTCACGTTCTGCACCATCAGGAGACAGACGGCCTGCCAGTGAATCTGACAACGTGCAATCGCCTGGACTACTGACACCTACGCGATGGCACACTTCTCGTGGACGGCAACCTCAGCACCGCGACGAATCTCCACGCCCTTCTCGCGAAGCAGGCAAGGCAACAACGCAAGGGCCTGCTTCTGTCACGAACTCGAACTCGTCAGTAGTTACAAGTGAGGCAGGGCAGGACTCAGAGCATACGGCAGCTACGCATAGCTCTAGTGGATCTGGTGGGAAGAGCCCCTGGTTAAGGAAAACCTTACTGACTCTTGGTACGTGAACTGTGGCTATTGAGGGGACTTATGACTCACTGAGTGGATTATTAGATGGAGGGGGAGTCAGAGGCTTTTCCAGCTTGTTAATACTGAGGGCCCTCATGATGGAAATAGCCACTCTGGAACAAGCCGAGTCGCAAGCTCACAACAGCGTACATCCGTTGCAGCCTCGACTGCGCAGACCTGTTCGCATGCAGCAGAATCGGACAGATACACTGAGAAAAGACGAAAGCCCGGAGCAGAAGCAAGGCCCCGTATTCGGACCCGCAAATACCTCGTCTCTTTTCCTTCCAGCCCATTATTTTGACTATATAGCAGGCACTTCAACCGGAGGGTAAGCCAGTTGGTCGGTTGCCAGCCCTTACGCCGCTGACAAAACCAAGGCTCATTGCGATTATGCTCGGTCGTCTCCACATGACTGTGGATGAGTGTCTCGATGCATATGAAAACCTGGCAGACCACGTTTTTGGCCATCCACGACAATTTCATATTCGGAAGCCTCCATGGATTCCCCAGGATAAGTACGACCACCTGCGTCTTGAGAAGGTCATCAAAGATATTGTCAAACAGCGCAGCCCAAAAGGCCATAACAGTACCGAATTCCGCCAACCTAACGAGGACATGTGCCGTACGTGAGTAACCTATTTTTGATTCTGCACTAATGTTCCATGCCTACTTACGAAGCTTTCGTGCTTTGTCTGGTTCCGAGCTTCCAAATTGTGTACCTATCATCTTTGCTTTGCCATCGGGTTCCTTCAGTTCAATGTAATGATATTCGATTAGGATCGTCATAGCCTGGCAGAAGCTGAACGTTACTGGTACCCGCATACCACACCTGTTCCGTTCATATCACCACCCGAAGAGTACCCCGGACGATATATTAGAACGGAATCCTGGAAGACCAGACAATTATCAAATCTGGCAAGTCGGCCGCGCAACATCAGCTGCTCCTTTTTACTTCAAGACCGTAAGGTTGGAAGAGGAGGACGAAAAATCTGAGTACGTCGATGGTAGGTTGTTGTTACATTTGTCCCCTATTACAAAAATATGAAGTTTCCCAGTGTTGCGTCGAGGCAGAGACGCAGGCTCACAGATTGCTAGGTGGTTTTGGGGCAAATAATCCTACAGAAGAAGCCTACAGGTCGGTGAAACAATTGAGCAACAACAATCCGCGAACGGTACAGATCCTGGTCAGCATCGGTACGGGCAAGAATCTTGAGGCGGACCCGAATCCTTCGGCTGGTTACAGGCTCTATATGGCCTACGCTAACACAGCAGCCAAATGGGCCACCCAGTCTGAAGCAACTCATCATACAATCTTAGATGCCACAAGGACCTTTGCCGAGTATTTCCGTCTCAATGTGGAACACGGCATCGGCAAAATGAAGCTCGACGCATGGAAAGGTAAAAAAGGGTGCGAGACTCTGGAGCTGATCCGGACTAAGACCCAGGAATACCTTGATTCCCCAGACGGCCAACAGCAGATATCTCATTCTGCGAGGCAGCTGGTCAACGTCCGAAAGGCTCGAAGCAGCCCGGAGTATATAGACCGATGGGAGAGGTTCTGTCACGGTGTTGAATACGCCTGTTGTGTGCCTACTTGTCTTGACGGCAGAGATAAGAGGTACGAAGACCGGCAGGCACTTCGACGCCACGTCCAGGAATCCCATGCTTCCGAGTGCAATAGGCTCGAATTTTGGCTGAACGACGGCAAGCGATTTCCAGAGGAGACAACATCGTGAAAGAAGGTATAATTAGCCGAAGAGTAGACTTTCCGAGGGCAACGACCAAATTTTCCATTCAAGACGATACTGCATGCATTGAGGACGAGTTGGATGGCGTTTCATAGACGCCGACCTCATCTTCCCATTGTGGACGATAGCGACCGGTCTTTGCTGCATTACTTTTGGGCGGCAATTGGCCCTACTTTATGTACGATACCCTACTGAAGCGTTTTGCATGCGGCATTCCTTGGCGTTTCTGTTTCGACGGCTTGCACGAGTAAAAATGTCAACGATCATGCTACACGATCGGCGATGACTTTATCTTTGGTCACACACGCGCTTGCATACAGACTTGCAAAACTTTGAAGGGAGAGTATCACACCCTCGAGTATATAATTGAAAGGCAGAGCGGCTCCTGGCCCTATCTTACTCTGTTCGCTCTTCTCGAATTTAAAGTGACGGATTAGGTTTTGTTGAATCATCTTTGCCTACGCTCATGCTGGGCCTAATTGACTTGATTATGTATATACCTCATCGGCCAAAAGAAGCCATTGCGCAGCAGTGACCCCAAGGCCTGACCTGTTGAGGTGATCCTGAAGTATCTGATCATCCCACTTTCGAGGGCTCCTGCCGTTGGTCCACTCCAAAAACAAATCACTTGGTTCGCGCGCAATCTCATCGGCTTGTAGAATGGTACTGCTGTGGATTTGGGGACTGCAGTAAGCATGGCGAGTAAGGAAATACGCAGTCGAGCGACAAAGCACACACAGTTCGCATGAACATGATATGAAGAACGTGATTTTCGGACGAAAAGCTATAGCAGTGATTACAGGCTTTGTGAGTTTGATAGTGGTTGCTCGGATTCTGAAGATTGGCTGATAAGTAATCCGCGTTATAGGTGGTAAAGATAAATAAAGAAACCTTCTTTAGCCCTAAGGTACCCTAAGGTTCTTAAGATAATGCTCGAGTGGACGTCTGACAACCCAAGTTTTACACGTCAGTCGTTAATATCGATCACATTATACCTCCTTCTTCAACCACTACCAAACAACAAGAATAGCCAAAGAGCGCGCAATCAGGGACAGATCGTGAAGAAGGCCTCCGAGGCCGCCGCAAGGGATCAGGCGATCGCTGCATGTACTTTTGGGGATGATGAACTGGCAGCCATATCACACATTCCTCTGGCACCCGATCCATCAATGGCTTTCAAGCGTCCTGTAGTCTCATGTTTCTGCGAGTGGCTTATCATAGTGTAAGTAAGGTGCGATCATCCGTACTACATGGTGCTCAATAAGCAACAGTATCGCGATAGTCATAGCGCTCGCATTGTCGACAGTAAACCCAGACTATCACCATTTCAGCTTGCTCGACTTGAGCATCTCGTATCCTCACCGGGAGAAAGCCAAAGTCAGCCTCGGAGTATTCACACTTCTATCGGTCATCCTGCCAGTTGCAGTCATCGTAGCTGTCTCCCTTTTCGTCCCAAAATCCGCGTCGTCAAGCTCGAATACCCGTGAGCGCCGGCATCGGAAGCTCTGGGAATTGAACGCCAGCTTGCTCGGACTGGGCGTAAGTCTTGGTACAGCTACGATCATCTTCACGGGGGTCAAAAACCTCTCCGGAAAGCCTCGCCCAGACTTCCTTGCACGCTGTAAGCCAGATGTGGGAACCGTGGCCGCTCACAGAGTGGGTGGCTATGGGCAGGCGGTCTCTGAATCGTGGGTGATGGTAGATGGAGGCATCTGCCAAGAAGCAGATAAAGTGTGGTTGAACGATGGATTCAGGAGCTTTCCTAGTGGCTATGCAACAAGTGAGACTGTTGAGCAGCTGGACCTCGCAAGCTACTGACTTTGATATGTAGTTGCGTTTGCGGGTCTATGGTATCTTAGCCTATACCTGAGCGCCCGGTTTGGCGTGGTACCTCTATCTATAGCGAACCACCAGTCGCGAAACGGGTCGCCGGAAAACGACGAGGCAGGCGAGCAATTAATTCAGAGATCTGCCCAACCTGCGGACCGCCACTCGTCCGCAAAGGATACGGCGGCTTCACCAGCTTTCCTGCTTCCATTGCCGTATATCCCACTCGGTCTTGCCATTTTCGTTGCCGGAACCAGGTATTTCGACTTCAGGAACCATGGCTTTGACGTACTGGCCGGATCCGCAGTGGGTACGCTTACCGCTTGGTTCGGCTTCAGAATGTATCATCCGCCACTTTCAAGCCGTACGAGGCGTCCCTGGGGGCCACGTAACGACCAAGCAGCGTTTGGTGATGGGAGCTAGTGAGATAATCTGCTGGCGCAACAGACCAAGCCTCCAACCACCTCAATCACCATGGCATCCGCAAGAGCAGACCATCCCAACGACCTCACCAGCGGCCAACCCATACGCCCGGCACCAAGATCCACGGCTAGAAAAACAATGCCGCCATTCCATTCCTTAGCCAACAACCCCACAGCATGGCCCCCAAACCTCCCCAACACCGGCTCGCGCCTCCGGATGCCCCAAGCCCCCGCCCTCCTCTCAAGGCTACCTACTTCGACAATGGACTTCTCCCCCATCTCCCAACCCTCCCCCCTTTTTCCTCGCTTGGTTTCAAACCCCAGCGCATCTCCAACACTTAGACCCCACTCATCCCAGGATCGCAAACACAATCGCCGCAGCTTCATGCAAACGCTCGCAAGCTGGAGATCTTAGAGTGAGAGAGAGAAAGACGCAAGCAAAAAAGGGGCCGCAGCTATTTCCGTAGAAGCGTGGAGGAAAAATGAAAGAAAGAAAGAAAGAAAGAAAGAAAGAAAGAAAAAGCAATGGATGCGGAGCGGAAAAGACCGGCTTTCAGGCGCCGGCCGGAGGAGGAGGAGGAGGAGGAGGAGGAGGGGGGGAATTGGAGAACAGAAAAACATCGTCGAGGCTAGATAAGATACCTACGGCTGAGCTGGGCTGGGCTGTCCGAACAGATAGATAGATAGATAGATAGATTGGGGATTATGCGCCCGGGCCGTTGTGAGATGTGATTGGGTGGCTTAGCAAATTGGGAGATACATAGTGGGCGTTGGGCTTGAAACACCATGTTAGATCAGTGATGACGTTCCTGGCCTCGATGGTCGGAAAGGCATATTGGGAAAGTTTAGAACAAGCAAATATTCAAAATCGGGCGTATGTTGAAGTATTTGTCTTGGATGGCAAAGAAAGTGCAAGTCAAATGTTGGGGACTGTATCATGCTTCCCTGAAATCATGCGTTGCTAGAGACGAAGACTGTCTTTTTTGTTCTCCGGAGCATGTAGTAGGCTTCCATCGCCCGTCATCTATCATCGTCCACTAACAGCCCTTCTCTCCATTACTTCTTCATAAGTAAACTGGGCCATAACAGCCTAGCAGCTCTGTATGTCTCTTGCTGACCGCATAGATAGCCATCCCGAAGTCTCCGATCTGAAATGTCGGAACAAAAGAAACCCTTATCTCGGAGAAGGAGAGCCTTTTCACTGGAAACTAGGCCCACTAGCCTGCCCTGCAATATGGCGAGTACAACCACCGCCACCGCACGTTGACGGATGAGCGAGGCCAAGAGGCCGCCGTCCAAAATGGCCAATACCACCACCGCGGCCGCATACTGCAGCTCGAGCTCGACCATCGTGCAAACATCCAACACCGGGAGAACACACACAGCGCCTCGGGGTTTTCGAGCTTCAGGAGTACGACGAGCATGAGCTTCGTGAGATCCGTCGGGATGCGCTGTTTGCAGAGCAGGAAGGTCAGGCAGAGTGATGCCAGACAGCGGGCAAGGCAGGCAAGCTTGGCAGAGCTGTGGGGTAGATGCTTTTGAGACAGAGAGTCGATGTCCGGGATGACGGGAGGGAGGAGTTTCATGCTGAAGCCTTCAAGCAGCGAAGTGTTGCTAAATCTGGTGGGTATGGAACCACTCACAGGAAGAGGTCCGACGAATTTGATAAGAGACCCTCGGAGGACTACCGCAAGGATGGTTGATTCGGGTTATGAACATTTAACAGCCATAAGCGCAGGCCTTAACTTGCTCTTGAACCGCTGCCTTGAGTGTCCTGGATGGCAATCTCTGTAAAGGAGTTAGAAAATCAAGATTCGCAGTGCATTATGGACACAGATAGACGCACGTTATTTCTCACGGCCCCATGTTGTGTGAGAGAGCATCGCTATAGGACCGGAATTGCCAGGTTGCGAGCATTATTACAATAGTAGTCCGTGATTTATTTATGCGCTAGCCATGACTGCCTTGCAAGCTTTCAATGCCCCCACGACCGTGAAGCATATCAACGGAGTAATGGCATACATGATCTATTGTTCCAATTTTAGTCAGTCTTGGTCCAAGCGCTCTTATCACATAAGGAATTTTTGGGGGGAAATCACGCACACTCAGGAATTTAGCGATACTCATCTTCTCCTCCTCACTACTGCCAGACACATCCGCCAGCGCAGTAAGCTTCATTGCCGGCGGACCCGTAGGCATGAGCATCATTGTAAACCATAACATAGGATCTTCATCCAGGAGGTTGGTGTGAGAGGCGATGAGATATATGAAGGCGATCGAAACGGCTGGCCAGACAATAAAGCGCATGATCGTCACAAATACTAGCGGGGTCCATGGTACCGTACCACTAGCCTCCCCTCTCTTCATTTTCCTCATACTACTACTCAACTTCGCGCCCACGACAACAACCTGTAGCGAAGCAAAGAGGCCGCCGATATTTTTGACACTATCAGTCAGCCATGCTGTAAAGATCCCTCCGTTTTCCGGATTCCCGAAGAAAGCCTTGTGGAATGGAGGAACGAGTCCGAGAATCGCGCCGGTAATTGCACCAATCAAAGGTGCATGCAAAAAGGCGTACGAGAAGTGGAGGAATGATCGTATCCATGGAGGGAATCTCTCCCATGCTGTCTCGCCTTTATCATAGCCGTAGCGTTCAGCTGCGAGCTCGCCACTTCGGACGAAGCTGGGCAAGAGGGAGGTTTGCTCATGGGGTTCTTCGTTATTTCCTTGGCGGCTGTCTTGGCCACCAGGGCGTGCTCCGTAGGTGCCATTGCCATTGCTCGGCTCCGGCGCGAGAGGAAAGAGTGGACCCTCAGGCGGACCATTATCAACTAGGTTTCGTTGCTCCTCATCACCATCGTCTTTCTTCTTTTCTGGGGCGTGTTCTCCGTCCAATAACTTTGGTCCGATCGCAAAGGTCAACGCATCTCCAATAATGGCGTTTACGAGGAAGTAAGATTGAGCACGCATCAATGCAGCGTCTACAGTGTCGGTGTCTGACGCCAGTAATTCGTCAAGGATGCCGGTTGAGGCTAGGGACTCGATGAGGAGGAGTGGCAGGGCGGTGGTATTGTTGAAGGATATGGCGGGTGTGACCCAGGAGGGAAGTTTGAAGAAGCGGGTCACGAACCAGCCGAGGAGCATGGAGGAGAGGGCGTAGAAGAGTCCCCAAACTATAGACCGTGAATTAGCCCACTTAGTTCTACGCAATGAAGGCGCAGGCTTCCAATTTACTCAGGATGGGCACATAGCGAATGCCAGTGTCTGCGTGCAATTGACTTCCGACCTTAGTAATCAGGAGGGCGGGCAGGAACATTCGCACACATAAGGTGCTAATTTGCTTGGTGCTGTCTCCTTTGAGGATGTCGAATTGGGCGGCGAGAACTCCGTATAAGATGACTAGAAGTACACTGAGAGAGGCTTGGAGGGCGCCCAGGAATGAGGTTAGGATTTCGTTCGCCATGTTGATTTATAGTTGCAGGGTAATCAGGGGCTGATGATGGAGGTCATGGAGACAAGAAGAATACCGAGACGCTCGAAGCAATTGAAAAGCGAATGCTTACACAGCTTGATATCAGGCATGCATACTTTACATGTAATGTATTCCTGGCGACCTGATAGCGGGTGTTCCTCGGCAGATCTGACACTAGGCCTGGATTGTAAGTTCCTCACAAGGCTGGGGAACAATTCTCCGAGCAGTGGGAAAGACTGCACAGGGCATAATTGAGTTCAGATTGAACACCTCGGTGTGGTATGATATCTATTGAAAATCCTCAAGTCGTAGACGGCCAAATGTACTCATAGATGACGATCGGAGGAGAAAGCAGGTTCACTAAATAAGTAATGAATGCTCGACCTTCCATGCTCAATGACCGAAAGAGTTCATTACAACCCACGAATACCAAGTCGAATGCGTCGTGCCATACTCCATCATGGTACATCAATCATCATCATATCTCATCCCAGACCCACCCCTCGATAACCTAACGGCCTCCCGGCTGCGGCCCCATAGGTGGCGGAGGTAGCGCCCCACTCGCATACGGATTCCCGTCTGAATAATGCGGTCCATTAGGCTCCCCGTAATACCCGGCTCCAGCGGCGTAGTCAGACGCAGGTCCAGGTGAATATGGACTCTGCGGATAGGCAGGAGTCGCCTGCGAGTGTAGGTTCGGCGTCGACGTATTGTATTCATCGTGATGACCGTGCACATGCGTCACTCCATATTTCTTGTCATCCAACGCTCTTTGCTCCCTCCTTGCATGTCGCTCTGCCCTCTTCAAATCGAATTCATGCGCTTCATCTCTCTGCTCTTTCATTTCCTTCCACTCACTGTAGGCGCCCTTAATACCGAGTGCTGCAACGCCAATGGCTGCAGCATCCTGCAGTCTCCCTTTGTTCTTTCTCCTGCGAGCCTCTTGAGGCGACATCTCTCCCTTAGCAACTTCCTTCCGACGCTCCTGGCGACCTTCGATGCTCTTGTAGACGCTCTGGGCAGCATGAATGGTAGCGACAGAAGCTAGGCCGGCGGTAATGAGTTGCTTGTGACCCATCTTCTTTCGTTCTTTCTCATCTTCTGAGGACGATGAATCGTCCTCGGAGCTGCTTTCGCTCTCTGGCGATGACTTGATACCGTCACCGCCCTCGCCACCGCCGCCACGAGGTCGTGATTGGTAACCCCGAGGTGGGGAATCGTCATCATAGCCACGACGAGAGCCACGGCTATCTCCGCCTTTGTCACCTATCCCAATTGCTGCCATACCTTGCCTCGCATAGTCGCTTACACTTTTGCTACGCTTTCCTCGACCTCCACGACGATCACCGTCATCAGAGCTGTATCGACGACCTCCTCCTCCTCCTCTATCAGTCGATTTGTTTCTGTCCATGAACATCTTCCCAGCTGCGGCAGCTAATCCTCCAGCACCTAGCGCAGCAAGACCGCCGCTTCCTCCTCCCCTGTCATCACCTCGCCCACCGCGCGATCGAGAACGAGATCGGGACCCGTCCTTGTCACGAGAACCGTTGATCAGCCTATTACCGGCCAGACCGCCTATGACAGCCTGGAGACCGTCCAGAGCGCCACCTCCTTGTCCGTCCTTCTTGCCGCTATTGAGCAGTCCATCGATACCTCCAGCACCAACAGCAGCAGTCAACACACGTCTTCCCTTTGGCCCTGCCCAACCTCCTGGCTCTTTGCGACTGCGGAAAGCCTCTACAGCACCAGCGGTCAATGCAGCTCTTGCGGCTTTCATCAGCTGTTCTTTCTGATCCCCGCCGCCACGGCTACGACCACCGCGGGAACGCGAGCGAGAGTCTGAACTATAGGAATCATCACGGCGACGACGGCCACCTCGACTTCGACTCCGGTCTCGGTTCCGATCTCGGCCATGTTTTTCTGAGGCAGCGCCTGCGGCAGCGCCTATACCGAGGGCTGCGAGCGCTTGTTCTCCCAAAGATTTTCGGCGTTCTGGTTTTCGTCGGGGTTCAGGCGAGCTTGAGAAACTGGACGATGAATAGTCCCTACGTCGATCTCCTGCTACATGTCAATAATGGCCAAATGTATCTTGAAGGACGACCCACGTCTCTTATCCTGCTTTCGAGGACGATCATCATAAGAATCATTGTCATATCTACCTCCGCCGTGTGACTTGGCACGCCGCGGTGGGCCACGATCCTTTTCTTTGCGTCGTCGAACATAGGCTCCACCTCCGGGTGGAAAATCCCGTTCAACTTCTTCAGCGGAAGAAGAATCATCACGACGTCGACGGACTAACTCCCCACCTCTGGGAGCACCTCTGGGATCACCTCTGTCGTCACTTCGATCACCTTTTGCTGGTCTTCTGCGAGCTTCGATGATCTCTTCCTCTTCATAGACAGACCCGTCATCGCGATCGCGCCGATCTCTTCCGCCTCCTCTATCTTTATCACGACGGCGGTCAGACCTTCTGTCGTCTCTATCATCGTAATATGAGGACATCTTGAAGAGATCTTATAAGATTGTAGAGTGAGGTCCTTAATAGTTTTCGTGATCCGGATAATTTCGCTTGTTGCGCTCCGTAGCCTGAACCTTGTCAGGGGGCTCGAAAGAGGGGTGAATGCTGAATTGATGAGTCGAGGGGATGTAGAGGTGTGAAGGATTGATGAGACGATGTGAAAAAGTAATTGAAGAGTAAGAAGAAGAAGAATGGTGATGTGGGTCCCTTAACTGCACAGTGCTTAGAAAAGATAGAGTGATCGTCGGTGCAGTGGCGTTTGAGTGGTTTCCTGGTTTCCGATTCGAAGATAGGAAGTCCCTGGATGTAGTTATGCGCGGGAAGGCAAACAATTGTACAACGCACTGTCCGGCGGGGAACTCCTGGCGCCTCCGTTGATGTTGTTGACAGGAAGACGAAGATGGTTGGGAGTGTACGTCACTTCAGCTTGGCAGGGTTTACTGTAGCAAAACCCTGGCAGCTAGCGGACGTTCCAGGCGCTTGACGAAACTCCTCGCGCTTGGTTGGTTAACCCTTGGCGCTTTCATACGCCACCGTTGAGTTTCAGTAAGTACTGGTGACTGTGTTAATGTTACCATCGCTCTCATCCTCGTCGTTTCGATCACATTTCAGACCGTAGGATTTTGAATGGTCTACCGTGTCGGTTTGTGGCGGAATGTTGACAGCCTTCCGTAGCGGGGTCGGATTTAGCCTCGGTAGACACGTATTTACCCAAAGGATGCAATTTGCTCGTACTCAATGGTCCAACCAATATCATGTACCCGTGGTCCTCATCATCATCAAAAATCGAGATCCTTCTTCAAACATCCAATTGGACGCACGCTAAGGTATCCACAGCATAAGATTCCCTACTTTACTGAACCCCCTACCACCCCCTCCGCCGCGCCGGGCGGCATAACCTCCCCTACAATGAGTATAGAGATAAGATCCCCCATCACACGAGACTTTGTATTATACGAGATCCCCTACCGCATAAAAAATGCGGTCTGAGAGCGATCTTTTTCAAGTGCAATGTATGCCGCAGGCAGCTCTACGCACAGCCTCTCACCTCCCATAGTATCCAAAACATCGTTTCCTAAAAATTACGTTGTTCCTGTCGCGATGGGCAGCGTTTGCCAAAATCTATCGGCTTTAATCGGCGTTCCCGAAGATCTTCTTCCCCAAAAGTGGCTATTTGTGACGAGAGACTCTTCAAATTCCACTCACCCAAGTCCATGGCCCGCCTTTACAACCATTACCCCATTCTGTCCTGACCACTTGCGAGAACGACAGGTGGTGGCAAATCAGCTAGGGTGATATGATGCCAACGATGACTAGCAAGCCGAAGGCGTAGGCGTTCCTTTGACATTGTAATTTCTAGTCAAGCTCATCATCGCCCAGCCCACACCGCCTTTTGCAAAGCCGCGTGAGGTATTTTGGGGGAAAAGGGGTTGCTATACGTAAAGTATCTTGAGCAAGACGCTGAGCGATGTAGGAGTGCGTATGTTTCTTTACAGGAACTCTAATTGCAGTAGTGCGGGTAGAGTTGTTCACAGACGTACCCAGATCACCATCTTCCACTTCGAATCTCCAATGAGACTATTCAGCCTTAGCCTCAAAACCCATACTGATCCCTAGGAACTGCCTCTGTGCTCGACAGTGAAGACATTAACCCAAGACCCAGAACTTGCAGTGCGCTTGACGATACAAGGATATGCCAGAGACATTCTTCCTTCTTACTGGCGGCGGCACCAGCAATACCGGCACCGCAAGCTGGGACAAGGAGTAGCGGGAGCATGCGAATGCCAGCATCTACAGGCGACAAGCCGTTGACTATTTGAGATCATTGGTCAAGGTTGATGATCGTGGCCATGAAGGGAAAGCCTGTTGGGAAGCCGGATCTGAAATTGGTCGCTCAGCGTTAGAATCTAGGTACTGCCAGAGTGCACCCGCAACGACCCGACGAGTCAAAAGTCTGGTGGACAAAATTGGCGGCGTTGTTATCTTCGCGAAACCACTGGTCAAGACCGCCTCCCAACTACCGAACACGACCCAAGATACGCCAGCAACGACGAAGCTGGCTACGATGGTGCCGCTGTGCCATGGGGTTTCACGCCTCCCTGTTCCACCTACCTCGTGCAACATGGCCTCAGTCTCGGATGTCACTTACGCAACTCTTGCTTTCCCTCTCTTTCACTCTTTTCCTCCAACGCATGAAGAATCAAGAGCTAGGCCGCAAAAGTTCCTGGGACATGCATAGGTATCCACGAGAGCTTGCACTTTGACCCTAACACGATAGTAGCGCAGGTCGTTGTGAATTCGAACTGTTTGCTCTTGAGATTATTTGATAGTCAACATACTTCAAAGCCGTGATATCGGACTTGATCAAAAAAAAGTCAGAGTACATCGATAATGGGAGTGGGAGTGGGCTTGGTACGAACGACCCAGCGGAAGAAGCCTGTAGATCCGTTAGGCACGCAGCCGGCAACCACAGTCACGCAGTAAGAGGACCGGGCAAAAATTGATGCACAGATGAGGGCATTATGCGAGAAATTCCAAGATCCACTACGGTGGAAGCCGAAGAGTTCATAGCTCTACAGTCCAATGGGTGGTTGTAGGGAGAATAAACAACCCTAAAGCCTTCCTCCTTTTCGTTTTAGCACAGGTTTGTTGATTAACGGCCAGATTGGGTTGACAGTTGATCTCAAGGGGCTCAGAACACCAGCTGTTTGATGTTGGAGGAATAATTTCTTTTCACAAACAAGGAGATTTCGCGTGGTCATAATTGTCACCTTTCCTGGGAGAGTGCCTATTGAGACCTAGACAGTTTGAGATTCCCTTTATTCAGAGAATGTAGCAAAAGTCATGCATAGAGGGCAGAAACTCTCAACGAAACTGTACAAGTCCTGCGCGGCGCCGAGAAAAAAGTGACAGTCCTTCACCAATCTTTCTTGCGAATCTTTCTCAAGCACTTGGGCAGATGCTGCCTCGTTTCAACAGCCGCGTGAGTATCGATTCAGCAAATGCGAGGAAGGTTCGGACCGTGTTGATGCTTCATGTGGAGAAGCATTGGATCTTCGTTTCATGTGTGATCGCGGAGAACTCGCCACAGTGGGACTAGGAGTCAGTGGGTCTCGTGACAAAGAAGCTTGTCTCACACACCATTTCTACTGCGGCAGACACGTTTCCACTACGGGATATATATACCTACTTTACCTGCTACCTGTACACATTACAGCTTAGTATCAAACTCTTCGTCACCATAACACTTATCGAGCTCTAGCACGGCCCTGATATTCAGAGCCATTGCATTCTTCCCCGGCCGCCCACGCCTGTACATAGCTGTAATCTCACTCCAGGTCTATACCGCACAGGCATGGGAGTTTTCGTGACGCTGAAGTACGATATGTGGCTGTTCAGCCCTGCTCGCCCCAGCGTTGAGGCGGCCCAACCACTTATCCGTATCCTATGTGTGCTCCATGTCTGTGGGTGATGCGCGAGAACGACGCAGCTGAGTTCCTTTGACTCGGATGGTGGTAAGATTTGTAGGATTTCAGAATAGAGAACCCGGTAGGCAAGACCAGCTATGCGCTGTGGAGGATTACTAGCGCAACGTCAGCAACCCTGTGTTACTTCCACTCCGTGACGTTGGAAGATGGCGATCCCGAGTTCATGAATTTCGCACGCAGCCTCGCTGGACAATGCATTGCCATGGAATGGAGCGGTTCGTGACAGGCTCAGTGCCCCGTTTACACACGAGGGCCTAGCCACGGGTTCCTCTTGATCCGAGGCTTTGCTCCCAACAGATTTCGTGCATACTCGTTCCCCCACAAGCCTTCCATACCACTAGCCAATCCATCTTTCTTGTTTTCGTCCCATAAAATGCAAACACAGAATATATCTCCACTATCTCAATAAAACCATATGTCTTCATCTCCTTCGGTCGCATAGTTCATCAGACCCGGCAATTGAAGACAACGACGATGGACGAGTCCCGCGACACCCAATTCTCAGAGAAAAGATCCATCATCAGGCGCAACACAAACAGCTGGGAACCTGAGTCCCCCAAAGCACTTGTGTTTGACCCTTGGAAGCCCGAGGAAGTGACTGATGAAGAAGTCAATGAGTATAATAGTAATTAGTTCCCACACGCATGCAAAACTGGTGATGGTCTACTATAGAGGCAACAAATAGCCTTGAGATTCAGCTATCAAGATGGCGCAATCAGATCCACATCTACGAAGACCAAGCGAAGATGGGATACATCTTTACCTTACGATCTGATCGGCTTGGGTTCGTCAAGATTTGTAAGCGCGGGTTGGGCTATAGTTATAAAGTGCTCCACGTCAAGGGAGAGAAGCTGGTGCGACCTGACTAGGTCACTGAAGAGAGAAACTCATCGTACTCGGGTCTTTGGTACCTGGTAGGGTTCAAGCCTAGAAATGACGGCGGATTTTGTTTTGACTGCAGCTTCTTCTGGGTCTCGAGGCTAGATTTTGCGTCAGTTCCTGTCTTGATTGAAACACCGTTCGAGGACCATACGTGTCTCAAGCCTAAGATTTATGTCGCTTTCCGCATCTACTCAGCATCGTTTACGATATTCTCGAGTATCCCATGGGTCTCAAGCGTAGATTTTACCGTGCGTTTTGTATTCACTGTAGCTTCTTCTAGGTCTCAAGCCTAGACTTCGCGTCAGCCCCTGTCTTTGAAGAATTTCGTTCGAGTATCCCATGGGTCTCAAGCGTAGATTTTATACACCTTTCCGCATCTGCTCAGCTGGCTTCAACTCTTCGTCCCTCGAGATATCTTCTGCCACTCTCATATACACCCAGGTAGAGTCCAGATCCCAAGGCCGTCCATAGACCTCTCAGAGCACCTCCTCTAAACAGCCCCTTCACGCCTTCCGTCCTCAATATCTCCCTTCCCACAGCCAGTCCACCCGCTCTCCCACCTCTTGCAGCCTGCTGTGCCTTTTCAATCTCCGCCTTTGCATCTCTTCCCTGCGCTTCAATCTCCTTCACAATTTTTTGCTGCGCTTCACCTCTTGGCTGGTCGCTGTCAGCAGCGCTGAGCATAATCCTCGTTTTGACAACGTCAATCGGCGTGGTTATTACTGCAGCTACCGAGCCTGCTGAGCCCGCCGAGATAGCTGTCACAAGGGCCGTCTCCCACATCGAACCCGTCGCTATGCCTCTTCGCTTCCGGTAGGCATGTATAGAAGTGCGAAGATGTTCGAACATGGGAAATTGCATAGCTGTGAAGGGAAGATTGCGGCCTGCGAGCGCTGTGTAACCTCTCCATAGCTGAGTCGGGCTATTGAATTTTCTCAAGGCACGTATAGTGGCGTTGCCGTCGAAGATCTTGTTGGATGATGGCGAGCGTGGGGAATGGGAGACCATCTGAGCATTTTGCTTGAGGACTTCGGCGGGCGTAAGGATGAAGCATGATACTAGCTCTCCCGCTGAGGAAGCGACCGAGTGAGTTATGGGGGTTGGGAGGGAAGTGTGGCCTAGAATGGATTTCGTGCCTTCGTAGGTGGTGAAGAAGGCTCCTGCTTGGAGAGATCAGTGCCTGGTAAGTACTGGGTTGAATGGAGAGACTAACAAGATGGTATTGTGGCCAAGATGACGCTGCCTATGCCTTGGTACAAGCCACGGAAGAGCGAGCGATTGACAGCGCTGGTCGAGGGGTTGGTGTATAATCGCTTATAGTTCGGTGATTGTAGTCGAGTCTTGATGGTGTCTAGAGGGTACACCAAGAGGTCGACTGCAAATGCTGCAAATGCACCAGCCTTTCAAGTGAATGAGCATTTCAGTTGTAGAAGTTTGGAAGAAGGAACTTACAATTAAGATGTCGGTATTAGTATTGTTGAATGACATTGCATGGCAGTGGTTGTACAAATCCAAAGACCTAAACGCATGTCATCGTTTTTTAAAGGCTCTTCACGGCTACTTCCACACGCCACACCCGCCACACCCAGAGTTTGTGGCGGAGAAAGGCTAAAGTAAGTATCTATTCTACAAATGCACCTACGCAACATCGCTTCTGCGACAATTACATGCAGAGTCGCCAAGCCATGGTAAGGGGAATCCCGGCGATGTTGGGGGTTCTTGGAGCCGGAAAGAAGGCAGCATAGGTTGATAGTCATAGAGTAGTACTGTAATGGCACTTCGGGCATCACTCAAGGGAAAGTCGAAAAGCAGAAACATGTCGTAAAAGGTAGGGTTGGAATCCGTATAATGTTCCAATGATGTCGCAGCGAATCTCGAAACGGATGCAACTCCAACTCTCAAAGTCTCAAGAACACGAAAACTTGTATATAAGGTATCACTCTCCCCCTTTGATAGATACCATTCGGGGGCAGTGTGTGGGTCAGTTGCGGTGGCTACTAGTAAGGCCACACGGGCTCTATTCCTTTGACACGAAGCACCTTGTAGTTCATGCCCAAGCGTCGTTGCCAATTTTTCTTCAACCCGAGACGATCCAGCCTCAGAGTCACCGCGTAGCCTCGCTGCTCTTCCATGTCTGCGTCCACTTGCGCCCGGTTACTCCACCGCGGACGCTGGATTTCAAAGCTGTTGGACTCTTCTGTCGACAAGAATTAGTGGTGCAACAAGATCATGATGAAGGTGGAGAGAGGATATTTAAACAGGTTACTACTGAGTTCATTGATCTCTTCGACCGCTAGGTGACGGTTTCCCTGCTCATAGACGAGGGTTTGGGGAGGATGGTGCTCCCAGCCAAGCCAGCTTTCTAAGCGACGTTTTCTGAACATGGGCGGTTTCCCTGATCGCTCCGAGTCATCGGATTTGCTCGAATCCGCTGAGGTCATGGCTCTGAGGGGTTGCAACGATGGAAAAGAGGGAGTTGAATGATCACTAGCACATGTGTTCTCTCTTGTATGATGTATCCTCAGGAGGTGGGTTGAGGATAGAAGTGGTGAAGGGTCAGATTGCGCGAAGCTCCTGACTCTGGGAGATGGGAAGGGCACAGGGATGTTCACAAAAGCCGGCAATGCTCCACAGCCTGGGACAATAGAGACCAATCAATCAAAAGGCAGCAATGCATGCCACAGTCATGGACCAATCAGTCCCGTACGATGGGCCCAAGCGGAACTATCTTGAGACGGATGCAGCCCGACAAACCAAGACATTCTGAGGCGAGTCCGACCCAGGGTTTGGGCGAACAATGGCTTGTTCGGGCCAGCAATGCATGCCACACCCACGGACACTAGAGACCAATAATGCATAAGTCTGCTCAACCAAAATTACCTTGGCACAGTGGTAGTGTGGAGATCCAGGATATGTCGAGAGGCGAGTTGTCCCCTTTCCCGGCAGTGTTTCTATTCAAGGGTATCTTCAGCCTTGTCAAGCAATCGGAGACGCATGCTGCTGGGACATTGGACGCTTGGGCAGGCGACGCCTCGTTTTAAAAGTGCATCAGTATTGATTTAGCATGTGCGAGGAGTTTTTGAATGTTCAATGTGTCAAAGTTCCCAATTTGAGTGGTCATCAAATTTCCGTTTCATATCTGTTGCAAAAGATGGGCGTCGTTTCAACTTCGCCCCCCACAACAGCAAAACAGTCTTCTACATCGCGCAGCGACAGTTGAAATCGAACAGCATACAAGCAAGGCCTCTGCGCTCGCGTCTTGCTTTCTCTTCCAACCCAGACCCAATTTTCTCTACCATCACTTACCATAAAAAACACACCACAGCCCACCGAGCACCATCAGCGACTGGTCGGGCCGCGCTCGTGAACATGCCACATGTCAACGCTGACTCCCAGACCGCCAACTCCAAAAAACCCCGTTACAAGCGTTTGGTCGGCGACGAAAATGCTTCGGCAAATGCCATGGAAGGGCATCCCTTTGCTGACCATAACGCAAATATGCCGGGTATCTTACAGTCAGAACGACCGCAACAAGACACGACCTTGGCCGAATCCCGGTCTGCACCATAAGGAAGAGCTAGTAGCTTCACAGTCTCGCTCGCATTTCGCTTGATGCTGTTTTCTGAAAACTTCAATTGTCAAACGAAAACCACCAATTACCCTGAGTCGTCCAGTCAATACTCATCCACCCTCTATACAGGGCGCTGAGCTCCTCGAGACTCCACTCCTCCTCCGTTCTACCCGGTCCGTCCTCCTTAAAGCCAGCGTTAATCACGCGCAGCCGAGCCGGACAAGGACGCTCTCGCATCTGGACCTTCTGCGAGGTCTTCGGATAATTTTCGATGCTATTCCACCCGTTGTTACGTGATACCTTGTTCTTCCGGCTCGACCCGGTAAGGCTGTCGTACGCGGATTGGTGCCTTGGGGACAATGGAGGACGTGGGTGGTACTTATAGTAAAGGCTGTTAGTGGGTTTCGGCCTGCTTGGTAGGGGCTTTCTTGACTCCTTCTTGAGAGAAGGGCGAGAGTGTGAGCAACCCATGCTAAAACCGACAGTTGGAGTTTTCTTCTTCTAAACGTTTAGTCAGAGTGAATCTTGCGATGTTTCGGACTTTCTTCTGACGGGTAAATTGCTCCAAGTGGGTCCTCTGAACAGCAACCGACCGTGATACGATACCTCGCTTGTGAGCTCTAGATTTTATTTCACACAGAATTAAGGAGCCACTGCATAGGAACAAAGCCACACCGTTCGTTTTTTGTAACGCCGACGATATCCTTCTTTGGGTCACAGGCTTCGAAAGTTTGATTGTTCTCAGGCTACCTCACTGCATCTTTGCGGAAGATACTAGACCCCTCCCAACGCGAAATCGATTTGGAGGCACAATGTAAGTCTCAGCATATAGAGGCTGGCTTTGATAAACACTTTACACTTTGCGTCAGTACCTGCATACATCTTCACTCGTCTCTCGTCACCGTTTCAGTCAGTCTACGTAGAGTCAGCAGATCAGCTAACAGCTCAGCATCGTATCGTGCGTCGGCGACGTAGCTACAGAAAATCTACTTAGGAAAACAAGACGCTGGTCCGATTCATCTTAGTCGCAAAGAGATCCTTAAAACAGTCTTCACTGCGCCAACGCCCTCGTTATGGCCAGATAGATCCCGGAAGGCATGCGAAGTGAAGAGACCTTACATGCATCTTAAGGAGGCACGAACAAGAAAACAAAAAGGGAAGATGAGAGCGTAGCAGGGACGAAGCATTGAGAGATGTCGAGGAAAACAAAGGAAATAGCTTGGGCTCTACACCTTAGGGCTTGAAGGCTTCAGTCTTCTCGAAGCCATCATCGAATCACTGAAGATCTACTGCGCACTAACGGAGCTATACACTTGAGAGTGAAAGAGATGTACCAGATAGCTATAGAGTGAGGATTAAAGATGTGAAGAACGCGTTCTCATCCACTTGGCAAGTTGGCAGTGGCCTAGGTAGGTAGTCTAAAAGGTACGGATCTACGCGAGCCGAGCTTTCCTCTCTTCCACTAAGCCACTAGGCCACTAGGCCACTAGGCGCAGATCAATAAGCCACGTTCTCCCCTTTTTCAGAATCTGACAGCTGTTCTAAAATGACGCCGCATCGACGCGGCTGAGCCTGTTAAAGACTTGCAAGCCACTTTAGCTTTCAGCTAAACCACCCTTGCGCTCATCTCCCGCCATGAGAGACGATATCCTGACGCAGGGGACATAGAGCATGTTTTCGGCCCTTCTCTTGACCATGGCATAGTACACACTACCATACACAAACCCCTGCTCTTATTATCAGCCTAGAATAACCATCCCGTAGGCCACGAGATGCTGTTGCCAACATTGATAGGGGGCCTAGCCAGCCTGAACCCCCACTTCAGCCAGCCACGCGGCCGCCATCATCCCTTCAAAGGCATCGGGATTGCAGCGGACACGAGGACCAAGCTTGTCGGAACCCCCAGAGGAGAGTCCCGTCTGCAGAAGGCCGAATTTGAGGCATGTCAGATCTTGATACTACCTTTTTAGCTGCATTTTCATTGACGATCGTCCGACTCTCGCTTCAATCCAAACTCACTTCACCAATGTCCTTCATCCAAGTCCTCATCCAGTCATTGATCCGAGTAATCAACCTGCTCCCCCCTCAGAAATATACTCTGTCCCAATCCTCCCCTGTAGAGAATTGAGGCTCGCTGACAACATGTGCGGACATGGCGATGCTGCGTGCAGCAAACTGCATATGGACCCCGTTTGAGTGTCTGCTGTTGACTTCTTCCACATGCAGAAGGCCGCCCCTGATCGGCTTCTTGACTGGTTTGGGTGGCTCTGGAATGTGGAACTTCCCCGTATGGCTAATCGTTGTGCCACACGTCAACATTAGACTGACATTTAGCCCTCTCCGCGCGTCACCGCTCGGGGGTCAGCCAATTACTACGTCCTATTTGGGCAACTTGAGGGAAGTTCGAGGCATGCCCCGTGCGTAGCTCACAGGCTGTCAGAATCTATATCTTAAGACTCTCTCTCTTTTTGAAATCCCTGATGCCAAGTCTACGTTCTACCCGTCAATGCAGATTCAACCGATGCTGCTGTTGTAACCCTTTCGTCATATGTTCGAGCATGCTTGGTCTTCATCGTAATCCTCTCTGTAGGTCATCCTTGGCCCGGTGCATTACCGTTCCTTATCTGACCATCACCGCAGCTAGGAAACCATCGAACTCAAGTAATACAACGATACCTCTGAACAAAGATACTGAAGAGGGCAAACGCTCAAAAGCCATGGCTGATGACACTCCCGCCGTCAATGGCAGCCAGAGCCACGACAATCTCAACGTTGACAAGCCAGCCGTGATTGCCAAGGAGCCAAAGGTCTCCAAGCCTATGGTCTATGAGTCCAGCCCAAGCAAGGAACCGGATGGCTTGAGCAACGGCACTACAAACCATGCAAGCCAAAGTATGACCCAACGTAAGACAGTCCACCTCTTAAAACTCTTCATCCTTATCGCTGACCAAGATTTTACTTCACAGGCTCTCGAAACCATACGCGTACCTCCAAAGGCTGGGGCGATTCCAGTGTCATGTTCTCAAAAGACCAGCAGGTCACAATCCTTCAAGAGACGGTCATCAAAACCCGACGAAAGTTTGTCGCAGATTTCGATCAGGCTGATAATACCGACATTCATAGCTTGACCATTGAAGGCTTCCTCCAATTCATCGAGCGCCAGAGGCTCACACACATGCCGCATCGAGGCTCGAGATGGGACAAAGTCCTCAAGTGGTACGCTTCTTCCGAGCTCAGATATCCTCTTGTCAACCCAGCTTGAGTCTTGAGACATTCCTTGGGGGTGAATGCTGTTCAGATATGTTTCGAAGGTGGACATCCCCACTGGAGTAGGCAACGCTGACTTCACAATCTCGATTCAGGGCGGAGTTCTTCGCTCTCCAGATATCGGAATATTCCAAGGCTGTTAAAGGCTTCGTCCGTGACAGTGGTCAAGCGGCGCAGTTGATTTGGGCTGCAGCTTGCGCCTTGCTCGAGGCAAGTCTCCTGGTCGGTGCCTTGCGGCTTTTTGCTAATCTAGCGTAGCTCGGCCCGAGTAACGTCCAAGCCCTCGACAAGACCTTTGCCGTCTTCTATGAACTTGGACTTTCCCTTTCGGTTCTCCTGCGCCACGACAACCTCCTCCACGCCGATGAACACATCAGAGTGGAGGTAGGCCAGGCCTTCAATGACTTATTGACACTAATTCGAGACGTAAGCATCTATTACTACGCTCAGGTGAACGCCGTCTCTGCCGGACAAGTCAGTCTTGATTTCAACAGCACATTTGGTGGTCACATCGAGGCTTTTCACAAACGCATAGGTCGAATTACGGACGCTATGTGGCAATTTGAGCTCGGCGATGATGCGTCTGTGGATTTCGGGATTCTTCGAGCCTGGCTCCGTCCTCGCGACCGTAACCTGGAGACCTTGACCAAGAGTCGCCTTCACGCTCCAGGCCATCGAGACGAGTACACCTGTGAATGGTTCCAAAGACATCTCCTCGACTTCTCACGAAGTAAGGATGATGCCTTGTCGATTGTCGGACCTGCAGGCTGCGGCAAGAGTGTCTTGTCTCGTTGGATCATTGAGAGGCTGCAGAGGCCGCTCGGCAAGAGAACCTATGACATTTTATTTTTCACAGTTGGTAGGTCATCCGCGTCCGCGCGGCTCACTCTATTCCAGTCACAGACACGAACACCCATTATCAACAGCAAGCCTACATCTCATTCCTAGCATCATCAATTGAATTGGAATTGTTGCTTTTTCACCGCTGAGTTTTTACTCACATCTACGCTGCTATAGCCGTCATTCCGAACCTTCGGCACCCGTTCACTAACGTGTCCAACAGAAGCAGACGTTCCTAGCGAGACTTCATCGGTTGCGATAGCCAAGCATTTGTTACTACAACTCCTTGAAAAAAACATAGGCGATGAGCTTCTGTTCCAAGATTTGGCTCAGGCGTACGACATGTCATTTTCGAAAGATACCAGCAATCTCGAGGACTCTTTGTGGAAATCTTTGGAGAAGGCGATGGGTCGATTCGCCACCCAACACTCTCTCTTTGTCATCATTGATGGCCTTGACGAAGTGAAGGGTGGCGAGCAAAGCAGAAAGCAAATCACCCATCAGTTGGGGGCGCTCGCCGCGAAGCATACCAACGTTCAGATCATTATTCTATCCCGAGACCCTGCCCCAATGCCAACTGAGGGCAAGGTTCAGACATTCAAGATTACCCATGATCATACGCGCGAAGATCTTAGGCATGTGGCTGGGCATGCACTCCATGGCTACGTGCATTACCAAGGACAAAGCGAACATGCTCGCGAAGCGGTTGTTGAACAGCTAAGTCATGCCGCAAAAGGCAGCTTTCTTGGCCTTCTCTTGACTGTCAAGTTCCTGAGGCAGGAGAAATCCCACGAAGGGTTTATGAAAGCAGTCAAAGCTGCCAGGGATACACCAAACTCTCTTGACGAGCTGATCAAAAAGCTAGTAGATACGTTGGACTTCTCCACATCAAATACCAATCACTTGCTGTCCTGGATGCTCGTAGCTGAGCGGCCATTCACCATCACCGAAGTCAAAAATCTGTTGCAGATTGACCTCCAAAAGAAACGTTCCGTAGACCGGAAGACGGACATCAGGGAGGACATCAAGGCCTCGTTGGGAGCTCTAGTCATCATCGACAACGGTTTTGTCCGCGTTCGACATCCTGCAATTAGAGCTCAGATGTTCAATCTCCAGAGAGAAGGCAAGAAAGTTCTGAGCTATCAATCTGCGCAGACCGATCTTGCCATGAGACTCCTAGCTTATTGCCGGTTCAACCTTACCAACTCTCGAGATCCAGCCTTGGAAGTGGTGGCTAAGACAGAGGTCAACCAGCTTTTTGAGAGTCATCGACTGTTGGAATACGCAGTGCGATACTGGACACTGCACTTCCATGCTTCTTCGATGTACACAAGCGCCGATAAATTCCAGCTCTCGGCTGATCTCAAGGCCTTCTTTCCCAGCTCAACACAGCTTGTAATGCTCGAGTGGGCCTGCTGGGATCCCTTGGTCGATTCTATCAAGACACATGAGCTTGCCCGCCGCATACGTACAGATGTATTTACTGAAAAGCATGAGTCGGTACTCCAAAGCTTGATCATCTGTGGAGGCCTGTACCAGAAATGGTCGAAGACGACAGAGGCTAGCATGTGCTTCTACCGTGCGTCGCACATTGGCCAAGAAATACTGCGCGAAAACCATACAATTACCATTGGATGCACCACGACATTCCTGACGATCACCGAGACTATCAAAACAACAACACGCACGGAGCTGGCAACATGCAAGGAGGGGATGCTGAAGTATATCATCAACGCCTGCAAGCATCAGCATGGAAAGACGCACGACCTGGTAATTTGCTATTACAAGATGCTCGCGCAGCTGTACATTGAAATTCGCGAAGAGCACCATGCTGAAAATACTTGGCGCGAGCTTCGCGAGATCATGATTACACGGTATGGTAAGGGCTCAGAGGTAAGTCAACGCAAACCCTCGAGTACATTTGTCCATCGCATTGCCTGGTCAATTGTCTAATCTTGCAGATCACGTGCTAATACTACCATGCAGGAAGAAATAGGCATATCTGAACAGCTTACTATTATACTCAAAAAAGGCGACAAGAAGATAGACGTTGTCGAGTATGAGAAAGGTATTTTCGATGTCGCCATGGATTTGGAAGTTTGGGACATTCGCCGCATCCAAATGACCATAGAGTTGGCGGTATCCTATGAAGCGCGCGGTGAATATTTCCTTGCCGAAGAACTCTACATAACACTCTGGAGACGCCTTACTGAGCAGTGTCATCATCCTCACCACCATCATGGGGTGGAAATCCACATTCACACCATCGATGTAGTCTTAGAGTACGTGCGGTTTCTAAGACGCCGTCATCGGCATGAAGAAGCCTCCAACGTACTCATTTGCGTTTGGACCGAGTACGAAGGGTACGATTTCGAATCTGAGACGATTTTCCTGCGACTCAAAGTCGTTGGCGAACTCATGCGTGCTATCAACCTTCTGTCCGTAGCCATTTCCGTGTTCAAAAAATGCTGGGCATGGTTCGAGTCTCATGGCAAGCATGAGCACACCGAATCCTGCGAAGTCTTGATTTCCGAGACTATGACAGAGATCATCTCGACGACATCTACGACGACCGCCTCCATTACTAGCACAACGCCGACAACTACAGAGACGGTCATCAAAGAGCTTTTCGAATCGACCATGTCCCGCAGTACGGTGACATCCGAGACCTTTGCAATCTGCAAGGGCCTCGTCTCCTACTACATGAGGATGGAACAATGGTCCCAGTGCATCGAAGTGACGAAACGATCGCTACTGCTTGTCTGGAAGACGATCATATCCGGGCGAGGGACCATTGCTTTACCTAAAGATTTCGGGTCCGAGGCCATCGACATTGCAACAAGCCTTGCCGTTTGCTATGACCGCTCGCATCGTTTTCATGAAGCCGAGGAGATCTATATTCGCATTTATCGCGCGTGCCGCAACTCCTGCCACATTCACGATGAGCGCTTGACCAGATCCTACACTGTGCTTATCAAGTTCTACGAAGGACACCGTCACTGGCACAATATGATCGAAATTTATCATGAACTTCTTGTCGAGTACCGCAAGCTCCTAGGCACTTCCCATACCCTGACTATCAAGATTCTCTACATTCTGGGCTCCCTATGCGCTGACCATGGACATGACCACGCTCACGAGTACTACGAAGAGATCATCACAACGCTGAACCATGGATCGGCGGTCTGCCACCACGATGCTTTGGATGCCATGTTCTTCATGTTCAAATACCATAACGAGGGTGGTCATTGGCACAAGCTACAGGCGATCTGCAAGACTCTCTGGCTGACTTGGAAAGACCTACATCAAGGATACAAAAAGTTCGGTGTCGAATTCGTCGAGGTCCTTTATCTGCATTATCGCTACGTCCTGGAGCATCATAGTCACTGCGAATTTTCCGTTCTCCGGGATTTGACCGTTGAATATCGTAATGCTTGCATCAAGATCTTTGGCGCTTCCGCTACGGTCACTCTCAAGGCCTCCATAGAACTCGCTCAGATCTACATGAAGAGTGAGAAGCATGTCCATGAAGCTTTGTCGATATGTGAAGAGGCAAGTAGTATTTGTGGCCCTCATCTCTACTTATGCTAACTATGTCAGGTGTTGACCACGACGAAAACAACCACGACCCAGATATCTGAAACGACCATCACGACTGTTAAGGTGTTGTTGACAAGGGCGTACGTGAAGGTTTGCAACCACAGTTCTGTATCAAAACCTACCGTTGAACGGGCCATCAAAGTGGTTCTCGAACGCTTTAATTCCCTGAAAGCAACCTTTGGCTGCTCTCATATTGAGACGTTGACTGTCCTACGGGAGCTTGTCCTCCTGTATATGAAGCTGGAAAGCCATTCCATGGTGGTACGCATGCTGCTCGATACAACAATCGAGATCATCAAAAAGGAAAAGCACTCCAGGACGCTCCACGAGGCCGCAAAAACCATGGGCTCCATTTATATCGCCTGTGGAATGGCTGAGCAAGGCCACGAGATGATTCACGAAATGCGACTACAGCTGATTACCGGAAGCGCCAGCTCGGACAAGTCGAGCTTCAAAATTGACAAATCCACTGGTAAAGGCTGTTACGTCTTCCTGGTTACGTTTGAACAGATAGTTCTAGGACAGATGACCATCAGCTACTCCGAAATCATGGCCGATCTCCTCACAGAGACGATTCTTTACGAATCATTTACCCGCTGCATCAACAACAAGTCCCATACTGAAGTCATCCTCGCAAGGGCTGGTAGCCTTCGCGCCTTCTTAGTCTCTCGCAAGCGCAAGGTACAAATTGAGGTTCTGGAACATCAAGCTCACGAGATCTTCATCAAGAAGTGGGGATCAACCATCAAGGTGCGGAGCGAAGTTAGCCTTATCTTCTGCAACAGTCTACTCGAAGAACTTGGTCGTCACGATACTCACAACGTAGAAATTGGGCCTTCTGCGTGCATATCCAGCGTTGCCAAGGTCCAGTACTTGCTTAGCGAAGACCGAATTCAGCAAGCGTACGAAGTGGCGTTCTGCGCGCTCAACTTCATTAATCAACAACGCGCATATCATCAACTGCAGAACGTTGGCTACGGCTTCAAATTGTCTGCACTCATGGCTGGCCGTGGTCTCGAAAAGCCAATGAAGGCGGAAGTCGACCCCAAAGTTCGCAATGACATGATGGAGCTTTCGCGCAAGATCATCCACGAAGTTCTACAAGCATGCAAGGATTCCAAGATCGACTTTGTGCGCTTGCAGCTGCGTGAGCTGAACGACCTTGCTGGTCTGCTTGGCGAACAGCAAAACCACGTAGATCTTGAAGTAAGCCCCCCTGACTCTGGCCCCACCCATATAGCCAAGCTGACCGCAATAATCGACAGTGGCTCCTCAAGCTACTCTGGTCCTCCCGCGAAGTCCAAAAGAAATGGTCCTCTACCACCATCGTCTCTATCGGTCGCCGCTACGTGCAAGCAACATATGCCAACAAAGATCACCGTTCCCACGCTATCCGACTCTGCGAAGACATCTGCTACAATCTCCGCCGCGTATGGGGCTCCCTCGACCCGAAGACGCTCGAGATGTCCGAGCTGCTGTCGCAACTGTACACGAGCATGGGCCATTACCGCGAGGCGATGGGTGTGCACGAAAACATTCTGAGACTGGTCGTAGAGGGCGACGATGGCGATGACAAGACTGTCGACACAATGGACTCGAAGAGGGTCAAGATGCATGTGGAATGGCTGAAGCAGTGCTACCTGCGCCTGCAAGGCTGGGACAAGTCTGCCGCTACCTACAGAGACCTCGTCAGCGCAGTCCTCCGCATGGAAGAGTACAGGCACAAGCCAGAGTGGCAAGGCGTACACGGCACCGACCACTGGGACAAGAAAGAACCGGCCTCGGACCGCATCGGCAAATTCGTCGCGCCGAAGGAGTGGGAGTTCGAGGACCCCGAGACCGCCAGCGGGCAAGACAGCGCCGGGGAAAACACCACGTACAAGCGATCAGGTATGGGTACGAAGAGGGCGACGAGCAATTGGGGATTGAACCACTTCCGCCACGTGTTGAATGGGGATTCTGAGGTACACCACCACGATGGTAATCGGACCAAGGCACCGGAAGCGGCAAAGCCGTTGATCCTTGACGGTGACGACGATGGGTACGAGAGCGCCCGCTGAGGAAGTGGGTGATGGGGATGGGGGGGTGAGCGGGAAGCCGTAGATGTTTGTCCGCGGCGCCGATGGCGTGTGCGCGTGACTTCTAGCCTTCTAGGATATCGTCGACGTCTGTCCATTAATAAATATAATCTGAACCACCTCGGTCCCTTTCCACTCACTCCAAACCTCCCTCCCGCTATCCACACTCTCCATTCCCCTGAACCCTGTTTCCCCCCCTTCGTCTTCTCCAACATCCCCCCCCTCTCTCACCTCCCAACCGCCACCAGACCCGAAAGCCAACCACCCGCGCCCCGACCGCAGGGCAGTCCCTGCACGTTGGCACGACTTTGAAACAATCCCCCGCAGCGGACGCCGTGATGGATCATCGCACGGGCGGGGCGAGGCGATGCTCCATTTTTTTTAATTTTTTTTTATTTAGGGACGAGTTGGTGCCGTGTGGATTGCTCGCGATGGCATATGGACGATGATAAAAACGGGATGGAAGACTTTGAGGACGGGCAGCTCGTGGCGGGGAATATATGGTGTTGGATGCGGTCTGGGGCTCTATTCTACTGTTGGTATTGCCGAACATGAGAACCGTAGCGCTATTCACCGATGTATTTTGGAAAAAGGGCATGCGGAGTGAGGACTCGCTCGCTCGCTCGCTTGATTGACATTCACACCTTCGTCAACAAGAAGGAAACTATGCATATCTATTCATTCGTTCAAATTCGCTAACCACCCCACCACCACCACCCCAGCGACCGCGAGTTCGAGCCCGGACCGCGCATGCCGCCGGGTCGGTTGTCTGATTCGCGGGCGGCTGCGGGGGTCCTCACGGCGCACGGCTGGCTTTTTTTTTCCCGGGTGCCTTGTCGTTGGTGGTGGTGTTGGTTTGAAGGATGGAGGGAGGGAGGGGGGTAGGGACGAGGATGGGATTTGGGTGCTGCGGGGCGAGGATTGGAATGGTTGGCGGGTATGTATGTATGTATGTATGTATCTTGATTCGGGTCATGCAAGTTCTTGGTTTTGGTGTTGGGGGGGGGCGAACGGTCGAAATCAATCCAGTTGGTGCGTAGCTTGCGTGATCCGATACTAAAAGACGCGTCGGAAATCTTGCATGTCTGAAGCCCAAGGTCACCTCCGCTATCGGAATATGTAGTCGAGTTTCGCCAAAATAGTTGGTACGAAGGCGTTCTGAGAATGCCTGTTCCCATTGCCATGCGTCTTCCGGTCGTAGTACATAGCGACTCGACCGGCCTGGAACCATGAATTTCATTTTCGCCGGCGCTGATCGCCGCGAAGTCGGCTAGCATCACCTCTTGAACATAGCAAATCGGGTTCTGGCCGTAGTAATACGCCGGCGGTAGAGAGGCCATGGATTCCCGGAGTCCGGACCAAGATCGAAGTACCATACTTTATAAGACGAAGTTGCCAGGTATCGTAGTCGGTACCCGGTGCTAGTGTGACGCTAATATCACAGCACCGTTTCCGGCTCTTGTAAGTAAATAATCGCTGATCACGAGGAGAGTGAGATGACGGGGCTAGATTACAAGTCCGAGATCAGGTGGATGGAACCCAGTAAGGCTCATGGAACTGCGCCATACATTTGACCAAACTTGGCGGCGACTCCTGCCATTGAACAAGCTCAGTCTGCAAATCTCCGCTAGTCATGTTGAGAGGGTCTTCGACGCGACCGTGCAGATCTTTGGCCTCGTCGGTTCGATTGTCGTAGCCGACGTTGACAGTAGGGACGACTTGGATCCGACCCAGACCAAGCCTCCACAAGTCCTTGGCAAACAACGTCGGTTCGCCCATGTAGCATTCCGCCTCGACGTTTCGGCGGAACCGAATCCGGCGCTCCATTATGGGTCGAGCGGATATGACTGCTCCGCCGTTCCAGCATGCGTATACCTGGAAAGGCTGGCGTTGAAGATACTGGGCACGCGTCTGTCGGTCGGCCCAGAAGAGGTTGTCGGAAAATTGCCATCCGCCATCCTGTGCGATCTGCCAGAAGGTTTCGCCGACTATTGAGCGCGCAACGTAGATGTCGTAGAAGATGGCACCGCCGTGCGACCAATCCATACCGCATGTCATGGTCGCATGTTGCATGTTCTGCTGGTACAGCAGTTCCAGAATGTCGTGGGGACACAAGTAGACGTCGTTCAGGAAAATGACCTGCGCGTCGGGCGAAAATTTCGCTTTCTCCATGACCAACGGCGCCAACGCCAAGTTCCTCAGAAATGCTAGGCCTTCGAATCGATCCTGCTTTCCGTCTTGCGGGCTGACGTCGCTGGTGGACATGTAGAACACAGCGCCCAACCGTTCCACTTCGTCCCGTAGAGCCGCCAAAACTTGGTATGTGCCATCTGTAGACCTGCCTTCGACGAAAGAGACAGCGCACCGTTTTGGGCCAAGGAAACGAATGGTCTGAATTATAGACCCCAACAGAGTTGGCAGGACCGGAATAGTCTGGTAGAGATCTAAAGCGAATAGGTACTGGATCCGTCCATCGTGCTCCGTTGTGACCTGTAGTGAGTCGTAGCGTGCAGCAATTGATGCCGAGCACTGAATTCGCCACGCGGTACTATTGGCTTCTCCCATTATCTCACGTAGACATTTCGCCACCTCGCCCGGGGATAAGGCGTCCATGTCGTGAGCCTTGGTGCCATTCTGCCATTGTTGAATATAGTCGTCCTCAAGCACTGGCCCAAGGGTAGTCTCCGTTTCCTTACCGGTACGCACGGGTTCGGACTCAATTCCCTTCACTTTTGAGCAAGACTGTAGAGCAGACTGGTCATGATCAGATTGGGGTAGATTGGGAAAGATTCTGTCATAGATGTGGGAAAACGAGGACCATAACAAGAACAGGACGGTTAGGAGGAGAATCAATTGCACACTGATTCTCGCCTCTTGCTTCCGTCGCATCTTCTACTTCCTTACAAACAGCGTCAATAGAGGAAATTCTATACAAGTTCAGGTCAGATGTTCCAGCATCTTGATCTCGAGCCCAGCTTGCACATTGACACACACGAATCAGTAGAAAAATATTACATGGCGAGAGAGTGAGGACACGTGAAGTTTCATTAGCCTTCGCATAGAGGCTATTTCCATGTCGGCTGGATAGCGTGCGCCTATGTTGTGTCCAACCCATGTTGCAAAGAACCTTAGTTTCCGCCAATCGTAAGCATGCGCTTGGCCTGGACCGTTGGCCTCTGACATGAAACAGCCATCGAACTTTGAATCCTTGGCGGCCATGGGGCCTGGGGCCTGGGGCCATTGAAATGCATACCAACAACAATTATGATTGCGTCTGCTAAATTGAGCTCCTTCGCGATGTCTTTGTGCTGCTTGAAATGAAAATGCTCGAAAGATCCAAGTAGCGTTGCGTGCGAAGTTTGAAATTGACGAAAGTCGACGTCAAAGCGGCAACCATCCTGTAGTTGATCGTACGAGTACAGCAAGCTATACATGCCACTGTATCTCCGTCCAAAGCTATATTATGCATTTGAAGGGAATTGGAGGAAAAGGAAGCACCCAAATGGATAGCCTGGACTGCCGCCTGAAAGGAATGGGCGCAGAGTGCCTCCTCGAGATCCTTTATCTCATCGCTGTGGTCTAAGAGCACCAAGAGGAATGAGAGAAGTGTATCCACGGGAATGGGCTCTGGTTCAAGGGGTCCCTCATGATCGGCTTCGGTCGACCTTGATCCACCATGACTATCCTGATATGGTCTTGGTGGTCCTCTGGAAAGGCGAACATAGACTATGCGTACAATTGTAGCGACACCCATGAGCAGAGGCATTGTTTGGCCTGCGTAGCGAATTGACGCCCTGGATCTTGTTCCACTTGATCGTGAGTTCAGTTGCCGCAACAATTGTACTCGCGACGGCGACGTTGCAGGCTGATCGCAGCTGCAGTAGACTTTCAACGTGCATTCTCCTGCTCGATAGGTCAGATCTACATAGAATGGGGGTGCCACGCGGCCAGACGGAGACAATATACCTATGCCTCGGTGCTTGTTTCTCCACAACCAATTCCGCTCTTTTGAGAACGGTTATTGAGAGCACGATGGCGCAAGAGGACAGAAGCAGAAAGGATAACACTATACTCAGCACCTCAAAACCTTTCTCATTCAACGTGATCTTTGCAAAGAAGAATTCATACTCGTCACAAACCTGTCCATCCAAATTTAGCACTCGGGCAAACCAGAACCACAATTGGAACGACGCTATGGCAACGAGTAACAAACAGTTCAACACGCTGTAGACTTGACCAGGCGGAACATGAGGAAATCTGAAGGGGCCCAAAGCAGGATTGTACCCAGTGAGTACCCCACCAGATGTACAGAGGCACAAGGAAAAAGAAGTACCCAAACGTAAGCAAAAGGATATTGTAGACCTCGACGGACTTGTAGATTCGATATATCAAGAATGACATGGAGGAGCAGGGAGAGGAAAGTGGCGGCGATAAAGACACTGTTTGTCAGGCGTAATCCATTTACTTCGGATGGTGCGAGCCAGGAAGCTAAGTCCCCAGCGTAACCTTGAAGATAGAAGCCGATCCGAATGACCAGCCCGTACATATCGGTATCTCCGGCAAAGCTACAGACTGCCATGGCCTATACAAGGCCGGACAGCGATTCGTGGGAATGGACAAAGGCGTAGCCTTACCAACAACTTCTGCTGCAGCGGTGAACAGAGGTTCGGATGGAGGACCGTTTGAACGTCCATAGAACACAGTATCCGTAGCTCTCTCGAATAAAGTCTCACAGTACAAGCGTCTCAATAACGTCGAGGCGGATGAAGAAGAGCTCATCAACGAAATCGAAGCGAATCAGGGACTGACACTTCCTGGTCTAGAACAATTTCGACTTATTGCTCCCGTATTCACTGGATAGATTGCTTTTCACGCGACGAACATTGCCCAGACCAACCAGCTAATAGTGCGGGGCAAGCCGAGTCAGCTTAGTCGTGCGAGTCAATTGCCAGGCACCAAGGGCAGTCAATCGAGATCAGCGCTGGCCGGACGGGGCCAACGCAGTTGTCGCCGTCGACACAACTTGCACACCTGAATTGGACATTCAAACTACAGGTGACTAGCTTACTTTATCATCCTTCCATTACAGGACTTAGAAGAGGCTAGCTCACAGATCTTTTACTCAACTTGCGTACAGCAACCCGGTCAATGTTCCAATCCCTACTTCAAGGTGGACAGGGTGTCTCACGCGTGAGAGTAAAGGCTGAAAATCCCAGTGTCCGTGCTGTCCAACTTGCCCGGTATTGCCTCTCACAGTCTCATACGGCTTAATCAGGAGGGTGTTTCGTGTGATGTATCGGATGTACTGTTGTATCCTGTCCCGGAAATTCATCGTAAAAGTCTCGTCTGTTTTGGAAATGTTCTAGGGACCTCTCATATCAGGGTAGTACTCTGTAATCATAGCACTTCTTCGTGAGCCGCAACTCGGGAATACATTGTTATGTAGCCTATTACATGTATCCTGGAAATTCAAGATGTATTAGTGCGGAAATGATAGCGCAAAACCGCACCTGCGCTAACGCACCCTAATCCCCGCTAAAGCCGCGGCCGAAACGCCTTGGCACGCGACATCATCAATGGGCTCTAAGCTGACTGCCATTTGTGCTTCCTACATACTGTTGCCTTTCGCTCTTTCCAGGCTCCTTATTGTTTGTCTCTGTCCAAAATCATAATTTATTGAATAGAGAAATCGAGTCTTCAGGAGGAGCGCCATGCTGCGGGGATGGATCCACTCGAAGAAGGATAATGCCTCCACACACTCCTTGGACACGTTGGCCGAACCACAAAACTGTACGAATGCTTTCTCTCAATTGCGTTGCTGGCTTTACTGACCTATATCTTCAGTGGAGGCGGCCCTTCGAGGTAATATCCACGACCCTAGATCTCGGCTTCGAGAAGGATAAGGCTGACGGAATTCCTGATGTAGCGGCAGCACATATAATGGACGATGACCTCGAGAGCGCGGAAGATGGCTTAGCCAGCGGAAACTCGTCATTCCATAAGGTGCGCCAAATGATCCTTCTCGGCTGCCTAGGTTCCAGGCTGATTGGCTTTGGGGCTGAAGGATGTTGGCTGATGAAGAATACTTTGATACCTATAGCTGGCAAAGGGCATGGTTGCTTTCTTAAGAGCTACGCTTGGTTTCGAGCCGGAAATAATACGCGAGGGTGTGTATAAAGTGTTACTCCTGAATGATTCGGGACGATTGCTGATGTATTTATTATGTGCCTCCAGCCGCGGAAAGATTAGCAGATGCCGAGACGACCGCCTCCACCGACCATCGGCGAGCTCAGAAAGACAGTCATTCATACCGCTCTGCTGTCTACCCACCCGGCGCCGAGTTTTCCCTTTGCCATGCACAGACACAATTGATGAGCGCTGTGATTGCAGTATTGAACGAAAGTCTCACGGAGAGCATAAAGGGCTTCTACAAATTACGAAAGGCGTATGTTACGCTTAATACGATACTGGATGCGGAGTCCAGATACATCAGGACGAAGAGTGGAATGGACACAAATACACCCAGCAGAAGGTCGGTGGAATCTTTCAGGTCGGATAGGTCAGCCCCGTCGCTCAAGGGAATGCCGGGTGGATTTGGTGGCGCTACATCTAAGCCGCCATCTATACGCTCATTTCGAGAACCAACTCCAAATAGTTCAAACAGTGCAGCCACAAAACAGGATGGGCTCACCAACGGTGCGCAAGATCATCACGATGATGACGATGAAGATGAATTCTATGACGCAGATGATGGAACGACTGATAAATTAAACAATCTTTCACTCGACGGCGAAGGCATGTTGGACTCAAAGGACCTGCCCGCTCCAGACAACCAAGCCGCCAGACATGGGATCCTCGACCATGACCCTGATTCCGATGTCTTCGCCAATCCAATAGATGTTTTTATTCACTCAGGTGCCAATCTTTGTTTTGGACTACTTCTTGTTATGCTTTCTATGATTCCGCCTGCCTTTGGAAAATTGCTTTTCATTATTGGCTTTCACGGCGACAAGGACCGTGGTATTCGGATGCTTTGGCAGGCCAGCAAGTTCCATAATATCAATGGTGCTATGGCAGGCCTGATCGTTTTAGGATACTACAATACATTCATTGGCATGTCTGATATCATCCCTGACTCAGACCCAACTAGTATCGACCAGAATACCGTTGAAGGCTATCCCAAACAGCGCTGCGAAGCTCTCCTCTCGGACATGCGGAGGCGGCATCCAAAATCACACCTCTGGCTCCTGGAAGAAGCCCGCATGCAGGCCGCAAACAAACACCTTTCCACCGCCATTTCTATACTCGAAAAGCCCATCAAGTCTCCACTCAAGCAAGTGGAAGCTCTCAAAATGTTTGAAAGGTCTCTCGACGCAATGTATATGCACGACTACGCCCTTTGCGCCAAATCTTTCATTGCCTGCGTTGATCTCAACAACTGGTCCCATACTCTCTACTACTATATTGCCGGCGCTGCAAATGTCGAAATGTACCGGCAGCATAGAACCTTGAACCCCACCGAGGCTGCTATCTACGCCAAAAAGGCGACCGAGCTATTCAAACTTGCACCCAAGCATGCAGGCAAGAAGAAATTTATGGCGCGCCAGCTACCGTTTGACGTTTTCGTAACCCGCAAAGTCCAAAAATGGGAATCTCGCGCTTGTGACTGGAGTGTTTCTTTCGTCGATGCTGTAGGAGTCAGCCCTGTCGAAGAGATGATATTCCTATGGAACGGGTACAAGCGCATGGACACGAGTCAGCTCGAGCAAAGCCTTTTGCGACTCTCATGGAGCGAGACTTCGAATCCGCATTGGAAGCGTGAAGGTCCGGATGAGAAGGCTATATTGTCGGTGCTCTATGGCGCTACTCTGAGGAACTTGAAGCGCTACGAAGAAGCGAAGGAACACCTCCGAGCAGGTGTCCTTAGCTGTGACAAGAACGAATTGAAAGGAGGATCGAGAGATGATTGGACGGCACCTGCTGCTAATTACGAGATGAGCGTCAACTGTTGGATGCAGAGGGGAGAGGCAAGGAAGGAGGGTAAGGAGGCTGAGGTGAAGAAATGGGTAAAGGAGTGTGAGAGTGTAAGCAACTTCCCCAGCTCTTCATTTCCTAATGCATATCTTGATTTGAGTCGCAAGACACGTTGCGGAAGTATCTTGACTCCCGCAACTGTGTTATGAATCAGCTTTTCACTTTGAAAGGAAATCACTCACCAAAGAATATGCAGTGGATAGAGAAAGCGGCGACTTGGGAGAAGTTCGAACTGGATGCGAGGATTGGACTCAAAATCGCGACAGCGCAGGACACGTTGAAGAGATGGCATGAGAAGGAAGGGACCGCGAAATAGAAGAGGTCGTCAATGGGACCTGGAAACGGAACGTTAAACGGTAACGTGCGCTGTATTGGTTTGTAAGACACCACATAGAAGTAAGACAAAGGGGTTTGTACAGGTACTGGTTAGGTACATATCTGGGCTGCACTTTCGAAAGGTTCAAGGACGGAACGAAGCACCGAAAAACCTTTTGCTGATTAAATTGACAACCAAAGTGATGACCTGTCCAATTCCTGAGCCCACAAATTCTTTATCAGACTTTCAATCTATTTAGAGCTCCGCCACGCACAACGCATGAACAACCATTCCAGATTTCAGTCCGCCATTGTACAGCGGTGCTTCTGGAGGCTTTATCGAGGATTTTGGCAATGGGAGAGTACGCAATGGATGTGGTTTTCGGGATAGACGACTAGGCGGATTTTATTGGGGTCGTCGTTCACTTCAAAGGGTATCAAGGAGTGTAGCACCGCTTTGAATAACGAGCAGTTATACTTCGAGTCAAATGAACATTACAAGCTTTTTGATTGGCTGGTACCTTTCTAGTAATTACCTCGACCCATCTATCTCATCTATCTTCCTTTTTTGATAAAAAAGTATCATGTAACTGATTTCCCCATTCACGACCGACCTATCCTCATCAAGTCGCTGCTGACGCTGACGCTGACGCTGAAGCCGACGCCGAACAGCCCAACTCCGACTCCGCCGCCTTGGCAGCGAGCAAGTATCCAGACAGGTACGGGGGGACGGCGATGCCGCGGGATTTGAGTTTCGCAATCTGGGCGAGGGTGGCGGCATTCGCGGCTGCGACCTTCTTGCAGGCTGCCGCGCTGAGACTTGAGAGGAAAGAGCTGGAGGACGGGCTCGCGGTAGGCCTGGGACTGGTTGCGATGGTTTTGGTTGCGATTGGTTTGGGTTTGGATCTGGTAGTCGCAGTGGCGGCTGCGCCGGAAGCGGATGAGATCGATGCTGCGGTGGTTGCAGTGGTGCTTGAGGGTGTAGTTGAGGTTGAGAGGGCGGAGGTGGCGGAGGTGGCAGGGGCTTGTGAGCTTGAGGCCACAGTGGTAGGGGTGGTGCTCGAGGATGCAGCTACGGGTGTGTTTGATGTCGCCACGGATCTGGTAGTCGCAGTGGCGGCTGCGCCGGAAGCGGATGAGATCGATACTGCGGTGGTTGCAGTGGTGCTTGAGGGTGTAGTTGAGGTTGAGAGGGCGGAGGTGGCGGAGGTGGCAGGGGCTTGTGAGCTTGAGGCCACAGTGGTAGGGGTGGTGCTCGAGGATGCAGCTACGGATGTGTTTGATGTCGCCACGGATGATACTATTGCCTGCGGGGCCGCGAGTGCTGTAGCGGCAAAGAGCAGGACGAGAGACGTTGGCTTCATCTTGATGGAATGCTGTAGGATTGAGAAGCGGAGACTCGGGATGCTGTAGAGCTGTGCTTCAAAGGAATCGGAGATGGTCCCGCAGAGCAGGGCCAGTTCTCGTCTTTATACGAGAATGGCCGTAGTAGTGGCTTTTCAGATGCGGTGGAGCGCACGGCTTTCAGTGGAAGCCAAATACTCGAGACTGCTTGCCAAAGGCGTCCCTCTGTGAACGAAGGAAATCATATCTCAGCAGACCTCACTGCATTTGGATTCGCCAGGCTTCCACTCTGCTCCTCATGTGTAAAGCCAACACCATTAAAGCTGAGCCAAAGAGGAATGTCTACCGCGGGAAACCCACGCCAACCAGCCACATCGGACCACCGGCGTTGGTGAAACCCAAAAAAAGAAAGAGAAAAAAAAGGTGCAATGTTGAAAGTGAAAACTGGTCATCAGACACTTTTAGAGACTCCTCCATACAGAATGATAGAGAGCGACCCAGGTTTCTGAAAGAAAGCGCCGCGGAAAGGGGGGGGCATCTGGACGGTAATCAAATCGGTCAGGAGGCAAAATTCTTATACTGTAGTGCGTAGAGGATCATTTTTGGTTCTTGCCTGCGATTTCTCAGTGTGAAAGAGACCTTACGCTTGTCCATGGCAGCTGTATAGTAAAGAGCCAGGTTGATACATCACTAATGCCAGATGAAAAGCACTTCACCCCAGCACAAAGTCGTGCTTCCAAGAATTGAACACAGGGTTGTCAGTGTCAGCAGGTTTGTGACACATGTCATTTGAGCCATACTCTACGTTGCGTTGGCGTCAATGGATGGGAGTGGAATTGGGCAGATGCTTGTGGTGCTTACTAGTAGAGGAAGAGACTAAAGCACGTGACTGCGCGACGCCAAGCAATGCCAAGCAATGCCAAGCAATGCCAAGCAACCAAGTAAACAAGCGGCTTTTTTCTTTTGACGCGTTTCCATCCAATCCAGGATCACCATTATTCATCATATCAGTGGTTTACAACTAAAACAAACTGCTATGGCTCCTCGTACCCATGGCAAGCGCAAGATTGATGCTATAGACCTGACTGGAGATGACGACGTGGGATCCGCATCCTGGGCCCACCGAGCTCCTCCCGGGGATGTGACGCAATCTCAGCGCAACTCTTGGATGGAACAAGGCGATGAAGCGGATGCAGAAGACATTGTTATCTCTTCTCAGGATGGCGAAGACTCTGTCTACCAAAGCTACCAACTTTACGGTATGCTATGGATCGGGACAAGAATAATCCGGCATTGCTACCGTTCCTAACCTACCTAGGCAATCTGGATACTAAGATTGTGGGCGTCCAATACTACACCGGCCATGCGACACCTGGAGAACACGTTATTGTTCGTAGGGAGCCCAACAACCCATACGATTCAAATGCCCTTCGCGTCGAGAACGTGCAGCGCGCCCAAATCGGTCACATACCAAGAACGATGGCAAGCAAGTTGGCGAAGTATATGGTGAGACCTTTGGCTTTGATATCTTGCGAAATGCTAACGCCGACCTAGGATTCCGGAGCTCTCTTGGTGGAAGGGTCTCTTTCAGGTCATGTGGGCTCTTACGACTGTCCCATTGCTCTAAAGCTGTTCGGAACCAGCGAGCCTGTCGAGCGAGCCAATCTACGAAGCCAGATGAAAGCGGACAGCCTGCCTTCGGCAGTGATCGACCAGAAAGAGAAAGAGGCGAAGAAACGCAAGGCTGAGGAATTGAAAAAGATCGCAGCCGCAAAGAAAGGCAAAGGTGGAAAGACAGGTGGAGGTGGTCAACAATGGGGACATTCGAGCCAGACTGACTACGCTGGCACTTTATCTCAGGGCGATGGAAATTCCAGTCAGAGCTTTGAGGATCTCATCGATGGCAGTGAGCGGTTCAACCCGAGGGAAGTGGGCAGTGTGGTCGAGAAGTTCGGGGCCGGCGAAGATGCATTGGCCGCAATGCCAATGGCAGAATGCCCAAAGAAACTTACAACTCAATTGCTGCCATACCAGCGTCAAGCACTTGCATGGCTATTGGAGAAAGAGAATCCTCAACTTCCCTCAGCTGGTTCTGACGACGCAGTACAGCTGTGGAAATGCTCTCGGAATGGCCAGATCTATACCAACGTTGCTACCAGCTTTTCACTTAAAAACCAGAAGCCCACTCTCGCAAGCGGCGGCATACTGAGCGATGACATGGGCATGGGCAAGACTATAGAGATGATCTCACTGATCGCGAGTGACAATGCGGACTCAACTGTCTCCAGCAAATCGAAGACAACGCTGATCATCGCACCTGTCGGAGTAATGAGCAACTGGAGCGGGCAGATTGCTCACCACATCAAGCCAGATCATGCTCTTCGTGTGTTGGTCTATCATGGTCACAACAAGAAGCCCATGAAGGCGGAAGACTTCGGGGAGTATGATGTGGTGATCACGTCTTACGGAACGCTGGCCACTGAATACTTCCCTCGCGGGAAAAAGGATCCTCCATCTGTACCGCGTCAGCAAGGTCTCTTTTCTACGGAATGGCGTCGGGTCATTCTAGACGAGGGCCATATCATCAGGAATCCGCAGACCAAATCGGCTCTGGCAGCTTTAAATCTCATGGCGCAGTCTCGTTGGGTCTTGACTGGAACGCCCATCATCAACAACTTGAAGGACCTGTTCTCTCTAGTCCGCTTCATTGGCCTGACCGGAGGATTGGAGCGTCTGGAGATCTTCAACAGTGTGTTGATCCGACCACTCAATCAAGGCGACATCAACGCAAGCCTGCTACTACAAGCCCTGATGGCCACCATCTGCCTTCGCCGCAAGAAGGAAATGAAGTTTGTTGACCTGAAACTTCCCGAGCTATCGGAGTATGTCCACCGTATTGACTTCTTGGATCACGAGAAAGAGAAGTATGAGGCTTTGCAAGCGGAAGCAAAGGGTCTTCTACACACGGTCCAGCGGAACCAGACCAACAGCAACGGGAAAGGTCAGGACACCTACCGTCATCTTCTGGAAATGCTGCTCCGCCTCAGACAAGTGTGCAACCACTGGAAGTTGTGCGGCGAACGGGTGAATTCCGTTCTTTCGGTCTTGGAGTCTCAAAAGGTCGTGGATCTCACGCCTGAGAACCGGAAGGCTTTGCAAGATATGTTGCAAGTTAGCATCGAATCACGGGAAGATTGCCCAATCTGTCTCGAGAACCTGCACAACCCTGTGATCACGGCCTGCGCTCACGTGTTCGGCGCTGATTGTATTGAGCGGGTCATTGAGACGCAGCATAGATGCCCAATGTGCCGAGCTGAGCCTCTGGAGCTTGAATCCCTCGTTCGTCCAGCGGTTGACCTCGGTGAAACCTCTGATCAGCCTGACATCGACACAGATACCAGCAGTAGTAAGGTCGAAGCCTTGCTAAGTATCTTGAAGGCATCTTCCAAAAAACCTGGGACGAAGACCGTGATCTTCAGTCAATGGACTTCCTTTCTAAACATCATCCAAGCCCAACTTGATGCCAATGGGTACAAGTATGCTCGTATCGATGGCACCATGCGTGCCAACGAACGTGACGCTTCACTGACTGCTCTGGAGACGAATCCCGAATGCACAGTCATGCTCGCTAGTCTAGCTGTCTGCTCTGTCGGACTCAACCTTGTCGCAGCCAATCAGGTAATTTTAGCAGACTCGTGGTGGGCACCTGCGATTGAAGATCAGGCCGTCGACCGTGTCCATCGACTGGGGCAGAAGAAACCTACAACAGTCTGGCGGCTAGTCATGAATGATAGCATCGAGGATCAGGTCTTGAACATTCAGGCCGAAAAGCGGAAGCTAATGATGACTGCGTTCCAGGAAAAGACGGGGAAGAGGATGAAAGAGGGAAGCACGGCACGAATGGGTGATATTGAAAGGCTACTTAGATGATCGAGGATATATCTGTACGCTGTCAGATGTGTGTATCTTAGTTGCTCGAGGCTTGTTGGCTATCGTTCAATGTTCTAAGACTTCTGTCGTCAGCTGCTCGAAGCCTGTTGGCTATCTTTTCGGCTTTCTGGATCTTGATAGAGACCTTGTTGAGCGGGGACCTCGCAAAGTGTACCGCTAAGATTCGTTTCGATTGACTTGGAATATCCAGACATTTTACAATCACTGCTATCAGCTAGTATCAGAATCATGGCACCTAGTGGCACTCACGACCGCTTCCCAACGGCAGGCAACCTGCAAAAAAGGTAACCATCCATAAAATACGCTAAAACTCTTGGTATCTCACGTCCAAATACACTGTCACTCATACCCAGAATTTCACAGCTTTTTCTAGCACCTTACCTGTAAGCACGATGTCGAAAGCCAAAGAACGAAACCAGTAGCACCTTCTCTCCCACTTTTCCAGCTCTTCCACCTCGCACCAGAGGAATGTTTTACAATCTATCCTCTCAACGACCATCATCCCGCTCCCCCTCCATCTTCCATCTCAAATACCCTCTCCTACACAAATCAACCCCCCACCCCGCCCTCACCGGCGGAAATCCGCCAAACCAACCCACCCCACCCACTCTCACCGTCGCGCTCCGTCCGTCCGCGTCCGTCACAGCCACTGACCGAGCGCGGCTAGACTCTACGGTCGCACAATGCGCGCGATCGAGTCTCGTGGTTTGTGCGCGTGAGGGATGAATCCTCGCCTCTCCTGTTGGTACGTATGTATGCAAGCAGAGAAGGAGGAAGGAGGGAAGATGGATGGAATGGATGATGGATGATGGATGATGAAAGCGACGCCAACCCGCACGCCTACTTCACGATGGATTATTCTTTGGTAAGTATGATGTCTGAAGGAAGGAAGGAAGGAATAAAAAGGGACAAGCTCGAGATGCGAGAGGTTGTGACGGTCCGTACGTAAAGCCGGTGATGTGATGGGACGGGATGGGATGGGATAGGGAGAGAGCTGCTGCGCACCATTTTGCCGTGTTCGCGTTTGGTGACGTGGTTGGGGAGCTTGCCGTCGATGATATTCTTTTGTCGTTCTACATGAAGGAGAAGCCGGGAAGGAAGGGCCTTGATTTCTGGCTCGTTGTACTGGAGATGCGGGCGCAGGGGGCGGGCAGTAGAGCGGGGTTTGAGGTGGGAGAAGATGGTTGAGGGTTGTGGGGGGGGGTTGGTGTGGCTGATGGTGGGTTTGCAGGTGGGGGGGTTGAGGGTGGGGTTTCGCTTCGGGGTTGAGTTGCTGGTTGAGGAGGAGGAGGAGGAGTGCGATGGGTAAGGTATGGGCGCAGGAGCGAGATTTGGAGTCATGGTTTGGCGGGGATTTGGGGATGGTGGTTTGCGGGTCGCGATAGATCTGGAGACGGAGTCCGGGGGAAGGGCGAGGAAGGATGTCATTTTGGTGATTTGGGAAGGAAGTTGTGATTCGTGGCGCGGTGGAGACTTGAATTGGGAGTAGATGGCGAGAGGAAGGGAAGAAAGAGATTAATCTTGCGATCTCTGAGTCATTGTTTGAGCGAATATTGCAACGTCTCTTTCTTTTTGCGCGTAGTTTCCTTGCAATTATACTCATTCCTGAGCCATGTAATCCTGTCAATTTACATATAAAATGTGACTCAATTCATTGTTCCAAAGACGTAGGGGGCTAGACCAGTAGAGAGTAGAGGGTGAGTATGCTCGGAGAGGGGATGCGGGAGAGGGAGGCCACAACAATCTCCCACAACAGGACGTGTTCCGCATAATACATTTGCTTCAATTTCAGAACTCAATCACCGATAGAACTGCTCGACTGTTGTCGTGACACCTATCGCATATGCTTCTCGAGGCGCATCGACCGCCTTCTCACAGGGAATCTCCGGTCCAACATTATCAAGCCTGCAATTCTCGTCTCTTCGCTCGTGTGCGTCGCGTCCACCTGAAATACCGGTGGTGACGAGAGGAGGTGGAAATGCAACACCCGACACAGTGCCGCTGTACTGGAGCTCTACGTCGCTGCTTGCGAGGAGATCACGTTCTTCCCAAATCACCGGTCGCGTTCGACGAGAGCTGTCCTTTAGCCTGCCGTCGCTGGAGTGGACGTTGATGTACGTGCTCTGCCTGCGGTTGTGGCGAGGGTGTATCAAAGCTGCAAGTGGGGGTATGCAAACGCAGATCAGACCAGTTGTGATCTCTGCTGCTCCCCACAGAAGAATCTCGGGTTGATTGTATGTTACATCTGGACTTTTGCTCGTCCTGATGCGGACGACCAAGCCTACTATGCTAAATGCAGGGGCCCTATGAATTATTAGAGACAGCTAGAAAACCCGCGATTGTTTTCCAATTCATATCCAATGGGAAAGTCCGTTGACAATATTCGGGTCACTTACAGAAAGCCAAAGGTAAAGAGCAGAACCACTCCCACCTTTCTCTTCACACTCGTATTGAGGGTCCAGGAGACTTTGACAGGGATCAACAATAAAAGTATGTCCGTCAGGGTGTTGAAGGCTCCGCTGGCATTGAGTAGGTTGGAAATACTGACACACGTTCCCGGCCTTCTCTTGTCCCATATCCTTGCCCGTGGCGTACACTCAAAAATCTTGGCAATAGTGATTGCGACATAGAAAAGGGATAAAATCACGATGAAAAGCCGGATGGCTCGATCAAAGTGACTATTCTTCTGAGGTGAGAATGTCCTGCGATACAGAAGCAGAATTGAGACTTTCGTGCAGCCGATGGCTGGCCCGTAGATAATCGATGCTATGTTGAACAACTGTATATGGCATTAGCAGATGATGGTCTCACATACGCGCCCGAGACCCACTCGAACGGCTCCGCGCGCTTGCGCTTTCGTTAAGTCCCACTCATGCACACCCCCATGATTTTTCATCACGGCGGTGTTCAAGGCGCAATAAGAAGCCAAGAGAGCCTAGAGCCCCTTTTTTAGCCGCACTGATCGGATTCCGAGATGCGCGTGCAAGGCTCACCCATGATAAACAGCACATATCTAGGTCCATCAGTTTAATCGCACAGCCATGGCGTTGAGGAAGCACCCACAATCTTCAGATATCCATTGTCGCTTCATCCACAGTCTGACATAGCTTCGAAGGAAAAGAACAGTCGTGGTGGTAATGAGACAGACCAAGACACAGACGAGATTCCACTTCTCAAGCGACTTTGGGTTTACAAAGTTAGAAACCTGCCCCCATGGAGGCGGAAGCGCGACGACTTGATCGGCAGATGACGCCATCCCAGACCAGATACAACGAAGAAGCAGTCCCTGCGGTAGTGGGCACACTAAGGGAAGGCGGGCTTTTATGCCTACAACAGTGGAGTCAAATATGCAGAGAAAGACTTGCTCCTTATAAGTGAGGGAATTATTGTCCCATCAACGCTGTCCGCCGGAATCCATGCTAGACTTCAGCTAATGCTACGAGTATTTGCAAGCGGTAGGAGCCGAATTACAAGCTTCAAGGGGCGCAGAAGAAACACGATTCAGTGGCTTCAGATTGTCCAATTGCAACTTCGCAAGTCGTGATTACCTGCAGCAGCCAGAACTTGTTCACATGGCTCTGCTTACATGTAGATCCTGGAATTTTGTCCACGGGGTCGTGCTTACATTTGGCATCTGGTGCCTTCGCCAGCTGCTTCGGAAGATGATTTAGAGTCCTGCGAAGCGATTCCGGAGAGAGGAAAGGGCTGTACTCGGGGCAGCGATGCTTCAAAGGCGACATGCAAAAGATCCAAGTTGTTGAGATCGCAAAGATTATGGAAACTATTCGCGTGTTGCCCAGATCGGTCCTCGTGGCCCATACATCACGTGTGTCAGCCTGCATATGCAGTCAGCATGATTACTCAATCAATGCGGCCAGCCTGGCTCTGCGGTCAGCATTGTTTCAAGTTTCTGATTGGCACGAGTAAAAGTAGGAGGGACATGGGCAATGCACAGTTACGGAGCAAAGCAACCCCACCAAGGCACAGCATTTGAGGCAGATAACTGGTCACTTTTTGGCTCCTTGGAGGTAGTGGTGAAGAGGCTCATAAGTACTATACACACAGGTATAAATTGATAGAAAGACGTCGTGGTAGAGTTCTGGACGAGTAGTAGCGTGGTTAAGGTACCTAAGTGGTGAGGCTACGGTACGGTCAGAGCCGTTTAGTGGTTTCGCTTCGGACCGCTGTGGACACTGGACATGATTTCGGTCAGGGATGACTTTTTGCCGGAAGCTCCAGTGGTTGAGTGACCACCCTAGTTTTAGGGCCAGCACCGCGTATTACGGCTGTACTTGCCCCGAGTACATAAGGTAAGGTACCTCAAGTAGTCACAGGGATGGAGGGGACATGCAAGCATTAACTAGGTCTCGCATCATTGCATCGGTGATGCCACCGACATTAGCGTTGTGAGGTCTGCAAGGCTAAGGTACTTAATTGAAGGATGCCATGAAACAATATAACAATTCAATTTGCAGCTTTCTTCCTGTACGAGCACCAATAGGCAGTAGCACACGCCTCACCAATTCAAACGCCATTGCCCAATCCTTGTTCTTTTTCGAGCAAGGTAGAAGGTCTTACGCTCCTCAGACTCTTTTCCCTATGCGAGAATTCACGCACACGTACGATAAGCACCTTTTCCCCTGTGAAGGGAATGGCGACAGATTCTAAAAACCAATAATACTTTACCGCGTGGCTTCCAACACGTTTCCTGCCAATTTCAAAGTCATCACACCACCGTAGGAGCCAAGTCTCTTTTACTGTTACCGAGACTATATTTTAGGAAGAAAAACCCACCAGCTGAAAGTGCCATCCGTCGTGTCCAGGAACACAGTCAACTCGAGATGGAGGTCGAAAGTAAGTACGTAAGACCTACTCAGCGCTTCAACAAGCCGACAGAATCAACAGAGCCAAGCCACAGCCCAGACATTACCTCCAGAGCTTCAGCCAGCAGCGCGGAGAAGGCACCTGCCACACTACAAGGCCCATCTACCATTGACGAGAAAGCTCTACTCAGAAAGATAGACATACGCGTAATACCTATCCTCTTCATCATCTACCTCGCCGCCTTTCTAGACCGCGTGAATATCGCCAACGCCCTCACGCTCCGTCTACCGAAAGACCTGCACCTCAAAGGCAACGAGTCCAATGTCGCCCTCACCATCTTCTTCGTTCCCTATGTTCTCTTCGAGGTTCCTTCCAACATTCTGATGAAAAGGTTCAAACCTCATGTCTGGCTGTCAGGGTGCATACTGGCTTTTGGCATCGTGATGCTATGTCAAGGCTTCGTGCAGAGCTACAGTGGACTTCTTGCGACAAGGTTCTTTCTAGGTCTCGCTGAGGCTGGAGTGTTTCCGGGCTGTAAGTTGCCCTTCTACCACCGTCGTCGAGTCATGCGTCCGCATTCTGGAGTAGCGTGACCTTCGCCATGTGTCTACTTTTACAAAACAATGATTCTTGTTCTTGGTACCAACACTGACTGGGGAGCACAGGTTTCTACTTGATCAGCTTCTGGTACAAACGCGAAGAATCCCAGCGACGTTTCACGGTGTTTTGGAGCTCTGTTCTGTTTGCCAGCATGTTTGGAGGTCTACTTGCCAGTGCTATCGCCAACATGCAGGGTGTCCGCGGCTACAGCAGTTGGCGATGGATATTCATACTTGAGGGTATAGCGACAATCATCATCGGCATTGGTGCGTACTTCCTGGTCGCCGACTTTCCGGCCGACGCCAGCTGGTTGAGTGCTGAAGAAAAGGAATTTGTCATCGCAAGGACTGGGACGGACGAGGGAGCCGCGCCTCCTATCACGGTCCGTCAGATCGTGTCATTCTTTGGAAATGTTAAGAACATCATCGGTGGCTTCATGTACTTTGGTATGTGTTGTATCTGAAGTCGTATATATGGATCTTAGTTAACACTCCCCTGCAGCCGTCATCGTCCCTATATACTGTGCGTTCTGCACCCTTCTGCTTGAAATTGACGAACTGACACCGCAAATCAGCCTACTCCTATTTTGCTCCGACAATAGTCAAGACGCTTGGCTACTCGACCGTGGAAACCCAATTGCATACGGTCCCACCAGCTGCCGCTGCGCTAGCCCTCTGCCTCCTTTCAGCGTACCTGTCCGACCGCCTCCGCCTCCGTTTTCCATTCATCTTCTTCGGCTTCTTGCTCACCATAGTAGGCCTCGCAATCCTACTGACAACCCACGGGGGTTTCCATCTGCGATACCTAGGCATCTGTTTCGTCGCAATGGGCTGCTTCTCCGCCGGTCCTATAATCGTCTGCTGGTACGTCATGAACCTGAACGGACACATGGAAAGAAGCATTGGCAGCGCGTGGATGATTGGTTTCGGGAATACGGGCGGGTTTGTGGCAACTTTCTGCTTCCTAGCGAAAGACGCTCCCTTTTACCACATAGGTTATTCCATATGTATGGGAGCGACCTGCATCGGAGCGCTGGCTGTTGTACTGTATGCAGGGTTGGTCATCTTGGAGAACAACGCCGCGCGGAAACGAGATGGAAAAGAACACGCGAACAAGATGTACCTGTAGTTTTCAGTGGAGAAGCGCGAGCTGATGGTGACTACGTTCCAAGTGTTTTAACATTCAAACGAGGATTTCGGTAGCGATTGGCGTCCAATGAAAATGGGCAAGCCTTGAGCCACCAAAGTGTTACCAATCAATAAACCTACCTTACTTAAAGCCTTGGTTTAGGACAAATGCTCGTGGGGACCTTGCATGTTTGAGTCGAAGGCCAGCTCATAAACAAACGACAAAAGCAATCTCCGTCAACAAGTACGTATATAGGGCGCCCCAAAGAATCATATCTCAAGTTTCTGGTCATGCATAACTTTTCCGGGAATCATAAACAAGAAGCATCCCTATGAGACAGCGTGAAGCCTCGTCAATCTGTGCTGAGGAAGTTTGCAGAAAGATACCTGAGGCAAGAACGACCTTCTTGATGCCCAATCCATCCCATGACAGATATACGCGAAGGATATCTCCGTTGCACCGCTGAGTTTTGCTATTAAAGCTTTTGTCTTGATCGTTTACATCGAGCACTTTGGAAATGCTTGGCGATGGGGAAATGTACAATGACGCTGGATGGCCATTTGTAAGTTAGCCGACCGGTCACGTGTACCTCAGATTCCTCTCCCTTTCCCTCTTCTCTCCTTACCTCCCCCCCTGTCTTACCGACACGACCCATGCCTTCGTCCAGCCCTTCATATCCCACCTCCACGGTCAGAATAGCATCCTCCTTCGAAGGAAGCCAATACACGTCCAGCAACTAGCGATCATGACACGCTTCCTTGACCTCCCTGAAGAGCTAATCCTTGGAGTCATTACTTTCATACCACTAGAAGACCTGGAGAACTTCGCACAGACTTGCCCGCGAATTCACTCTGTGGCAGGCTCGGCCCTGGAGAAGCACTGGCTACTCATCCGCCATTATTCTACCTTGGAAAATGAGGGGGCCGTACGATCTCGAAGATACTCAAAGAGGTACTCGTCAATCCTGAGATGGGCCGGTACATCAGGAACGTCAGCCTTGGCTACGCAGGAGGCAACCAGAGGAACTTCAACCCCAAATACGGTGCAGAAGACCTTGAGCTTTTTGTCGTAGCAAGCATGAACAGCGAAGTCCTATCGCCATGTAGTCAGACCCCGCTTGCATGCTACAAAAGCTGTAGGCAACGAGAACGTCCTGCAGGCTATTCTCCTTCTCCTACTACCAAACCTAAGGAGTCTAAGGTTTCCACGGGTGTCCAACGACGGGGACCGTTGTTGGACCAGCCACATGATTAGCTACCGAACTCATGTCACGTAGCACGCCAACTCTCACTAAATCCTCGACCATCTGCATCCGTCTCGGCGGCATATGTTTCCATATAGATGAGGCAAAGTCGTATTCTAATTTGGCGTCGGTGAAATCGCTCAGCACGCGGAGAGTTTCCTGCGAGGATCGAAATCGTGCTTCCCTCTCATCGACTCCAAACTCAAACACCACCAATCTAAAGCTTTGGCAATGTCAAGTCCCCACTAAGCCTCTCCACGACTTTCTCCTTGGGTTTACTTCTCTGCAGACCTTCGCCTACTCGCGTGATTTACCGAAGCACCTGGCCGACAGATTCGATGTGTTTCTGATCCGGAGTGCCTTACTGCAAAGGCAAAGAAAACCTTGCGAAAGCTTGCCATCTTTGCTAATCATCGACGGTCATCAGTCACGGGCACACTTCGATCATTCGATGTCCTCGAAGAAGTCTGCACGGACTGGGGATTGCTCTTGTCAGACAGTTGGCCTGAGCCACGGCTCGCAGTGTCACCCCCGAGTTCGCTTCGGAAATTGAGATTCCATGATGAGCTCCGTCGTGACGCATTGTACTACAGCGACCTATTAAGCAGCGCAGTGCGAGCACAGAAACGGGGCACGCACGTTCAACCGCAACCGCATGAAGATCTGGCACAGTTCGAGTGAGAGCTTCAACTTTAGGAGTTGACAATCACATCTAGGGCGGCCCCTTTTGCTAGTCAATGGTGAATGGGTGACCTACAAGACGTCAAAGGATCCGATGATTGATACCGGGACTGCGAGAAGGTTGGCATAACCCTGCATCGTTGCGTAATGAGTACGGAGACGCCGACCAACAAGTTGCGAAAGAGACCGGGGCAGATGAAGAAGATCGCGGACGCTCACGATAATCCTGAAATCACTGGAGACAGGGACAGTGTGACATGACTCCTACTTGGATGAAGCAGTGCTGACAGCGGATTCTGCCAATAGGGCATGATCAGCACAAAGCGAGGAGGGCGGCTTTGAATCACTTTTTCTCCGTGGCGAGCGTCAGGGGACTACAGCCGATCATTGTGGAGAGAGTTCATGCTCTGATTCAGAGACTCGGGGCTTCAAAAACGTAAAGGGTGATGCTGGTGTAATCAAAGCGAATTATGCATTTGCTACCTTCGCCAACAGTAAGCTTTAATTTCTAGAAATTTCTCAGAATCTGACAGTTGAGGCCATCTTTTCCAACCCGCTCTCTTGTTTGCAAAGGGAAGTAGATGGTGTTTTGGAATTAACTTGGCATCCCGCGGAGATGAAGATTTATGTGGGTGCTATCTTCCCGACGTTCAAATTGGGAGCAGTGAGGATGGAAGGGCGTTGAGGGCGTCTTGGAGTTGTTTGGGACGGGGCGGGAGGATGTGGAGGTTGTAGGAGATGGATTGGTGCCATTGGCCAGGGAAGAGTCGCTGGGTGTGAGACTGAAGGTCAGGAGCCGAGGTAGGTCGTGCTATCTGGCATGGAGCAAGGAGATGAAGCAAAAGGGTCCAAGTTCCAACGAGAGTGGTTTCCGTCAAGCTCTGCTCCTCGTTCCAGACGCAACTTAGCCATGTTCTAAATTTTGTGACTGAGCACAATCTAAGAGAATTAACACCGTGTCGATGATTTAGGCCTGTCATGTTCACGATGTCGAACTACATATTGGAATCTGAGTTCTGATTTAGAAACACGCGAACGGCATCTCGCAGACCGATTTTGCAGGCAGAGTTCAACGGGTAGGACTTCGCCAGGCTTAAGTAACAGATTCAGCCCAAAGCTGCCCGACGGTGCCGGCACTTTTCACAATCCCATAAAAATCATCAACAAAAGGAATCTTCAGGCTTGCGTACCAGCACCTTTCTTGCTTCCTGGGACGTCGAAGTATGGCGAGGTCAGTGAGCTTTGCTTGTAAATACACTCGAAGGCCTCAGAGCGTATTCAAGCGGTAGCAGTGAATTTCGGTGAGATGGCCATTCCCTCAAAGACGTAGCGGCTCAAGGGAAACTCCTTGCCATGACACAAAGGTCCGTCTTTTCCTCACCTCCTGTTACCAAGGTGAGAGATATGCGAGCGAGAGTTTTTCTCGGCTACCTTGTCTGGACAAGTGTCAAGTGCATCGACAACAATGTACATCTCCTCAGAGACCTCTCTAGCGATGACTGAGAGCAATCGTTTGAGTCGATCAATATTTAGCTTTTCATGCCCGCGATCACAAACTTGTCACGATTCTCGGAAGTTTATTGGTACCTTCTAGGCTTGACTGACCAGCTGAGCTAGACTTGTAGATAAGAAGTTCGAGACTTTCCGCTTCTTTTCGATGATGAAAGTGAATTAGAAATATACGCAGGCTGAGTCGTGAACGACAACTCTCTACTCTGTGATATTTTCAATGGTTGTTGAGCTCAAGCTATTCTTACCACAACGAGCCTCCAGTAGCGAGCACGAGTGTTCTCACTGGCTGCGTCTTGGGCATACTCAGATTCTTCAATGAAGATGTATCAACCTGTGACATGTAACTAAACGATGGAGTTTGGAGCCTCCACCAAGAATTATTAGCTGACTCTCTGTGAACCACTTGCAGGTCTCCGATTGATGTTTGCGACGACGCCGGTTTTGATCATCAGAAGAATTATGCTCAAATAGCGACTTGGAGAGTATAGCCCACAATGGTGCTTTCTAATTCGCCGAAAGGAAGGTCTTTAAGCTCATCACACAGAATTCAAGCTGTCTAAAGACTTACTACAGTAAGATTACGAGTATGTAAAAATACTCAGAGATGACTCGCGGAACGATAGACCGTTGAACACTACAAACACAGATAACCCAGCACAATCAGGGTCGTAACCAAGAAGCAGGATGCAGAGCGGGATTCGCCAGTGTTTGCGATCCATGAAACGTAGCTTTCGAAAGGCTTGATCAATGAACCGAGCGATTTCTCAACAGCGTGAACACTCCGCACCTCCGATCGACGCCCAGTGCTGACCCAAACTTGTACTTATGCCTCTCAATTGCGTTGACGAAACAATCGACATCTCGCTTCTTGAGTAAATACTTCAAAGCTCTCCAGCCGACTCATTTCCTCGAACCCCGATTCTCGTCGCTCAGAAGCCCGGATTGATGCAGGAAAAGATCCAAAGATTGGATGTAACAGTAACTTTAGCGGCTTGGCGATGGATGAGACGCTCCGACCCAGAATCTCATGTAGCGTGCGCAGCTCGTCGGAGAGACGCTCTATGTCCTACTTGGCATGTTTGACGCTGATCGAGCTGCGGCAGATATCCGCACGATAGCTTTGCTACTGGCTGCGGCGCCTGACGAACCTCCCATCATTGATAGAGTGGCCGTAAAGTATAAGAAAAGATCTTCAGTTTAGTTTCAATCAGATGTCGTTTCGACCGACGCCATTGATTGTAATTTCCTAAACCTCCACGACGAGATGCCATGCTAGGTCGTAAAGCGTTCGACCGCATTTGGACGTAACAGGCAGGGAGGTAGGAGTGAGTGAGGGAACGGATGAGGAAGGAGCAACGAGGCTGCGTTTGCTTGGGTCCCGCTAGTCCCACCGAAGCTAGCACAGTTATCCTTTTGCATGAAAAGATGTCATCTTACAGCAACGTTAAAGCGATGACGACCCGGACTTCCCTTTTTCGTGGTGTCGCATACGAAGGTTGGGGGCCGTCGTGGGCTGCAAGCCAGTACCGCGCCAAAAGCACTACTGACAGATCCTGCACACCGTCAACAAGTGCCGTTCATGCACACCGAAGTAGCTAGAGAAATCAACTCAGAGCTCAGTCCTGGGTTTTTATCTCCTGCGGCCAGATTGTAGCATTTGGAGTTGGACTTTTTGGCGAGATCGTGGTTGTTGCAAATCTGAAGAAGACGGATCAGAAGGAATTGATTCCTCTTCGGTGGTAGGGAATTCTCTGAAGTCGTCCTGATAGCAATGACATGGGTTCGGTCTAGGCGGTCAGTGTGGTACTGGGTAGCGACTACAGCAAAAAAAGCGGTGCTTGATACAAGATGAGGTGCATCTTTGAGTCTCGAGGGCTACGCTTGGTTTGTGAAACTCAGATCATCGATCGAATGCATACTGTAAAGTTCGTATCATTGGGTGGTCTGTTGATTCGGAAAGTGAGGTATCTGAGAGAGACCGAATGCTCTGATGCAGAATGGGTTGGCCGAGGACCCAGCTGCATTCCCTTTACAACTCATGGATCATTATTGGTAGACGCAGGTCTAGTGATAACATGAGGCATTTTCAGGCAATCTTATGGCCTTACTATGATAAGTCCTACCTTGACCGCTCTTTCATCAGGCACAATGCTGAAGGATTGAGGATTGCGTTTATCAGCCAATCGCAGCTCGCTGCGCGGCAAATCCAGCCAGCGCCACAACATGAATTGTACAAACTGACAAAGCAGTGAACTCTTGACAAACCCAAAGGCCGAAGCAGAGCCTCGACTGACACACTACCAACGGAATCCTTCCTCGCATTACGAAACGTATCAATCGATTGGGTGGACGTGCACATGATGCCAAGCTTAACCCGCAAACCAACGTGGCTTTGCATATCAAGCGCGGCCTGCCCCAATGCACGAAAGCCTGCAACGTCGGGCGTCGCAATGGCGAACTACGCGTTCGACATGGATCAGCCTAGATAATAGAAAATGCCCCTCATTGAAAGACTAGGCTTTGGATCGGGGCTTCAGCCTCGTCTTGTTGTCGTTTCCGTTGCCCACCCTCTGCTGTACTCTCCGTCCAGATTTCAGCCGTGCATATTGACAATCCCATTTGCGGATAATGAACGGATTTTTTCAACCCTGTATGGAAGTCTTTGAAGACTATAAACGGCGATTGGAAAAAAGATTTCCGCGACGACTGGAGGAATCTGAGGGCGAAATTGAGTCTCTGCGAATACGATTATTCCACAGCCTCAAGGAAGCCAAGAAGTATGACGGGGCGGAAAAGCTCTATCATGAGACAGTCAAGAAGTATGACGACGCTAAGAACCTCTCCCATGTGACAGTGACGGGCAGGGACCCTACCAAAAGCGAAGATACAGTGATTCTGGACCTCAAACACTCTTTTGCAGGAATGTTGATCGAGCTAAAAAGTTTCAGGAGGCCGAGCCCATTTCTAGAGCAGTGTGGGAGAAAAGGAAACAGTGCCCAGGTCCGCCGTCGGAAGTTTCCAAGGAGAGCCACCGCCAGCTATGCTCCGTTTTATGCGCTGTAGGACGACACAGGGATGCAGAGAACATGCACAGAGACATCTATCAGAGCGGAACGATGGACGCGTGGGCGTTGGAGAATGGAGACGAGGTGTGCCAGAGACGGAGAGAACAGGGAGAGTTTAGAAGGGCAAAGGAAATGCAGGATGAGGTGTGGAAGGAAAGGCTGAAGCAACACGGCCCCAGAGACGACTTAACCATCCGAAGTGGTCTGCGTCTCATCGGATTCCTTGACGAACTCGTCACCATCATCGACCAAGAAGGCGGTACTGATGCTGAGAGAAGATTTAATATCAGTCACAAACAAGCCTTCAAGTGTGAGATTGAAGTGATACTTCGAACCATCTGGGACTCGCGACTACACCTAGAGCCAACCATTGATATCCTCGATGCTGGACACCAGTTGGGCGTCATTCTTTCCTCTCAGAGTAAGTTTGCAGACGCCGAAGCGATCTTCATGCCTGTGTGGGAGGGCAGGAAGCGACAACTAGGGGAAAGAGCCGGAAGCACCATGTCTACTGGCAGTTTGCTTGGTAAGGCTTTATATCGACAGGGAACACGGGAAACCTATCTTAGGGCCGTCGATATCTTTCAAGGCATATGGCTTGTAAGGCAGACCGTGATGAAGAACGGTGACGCTGAGACAGTTGCAAGCGGAGAAGATCTTGCCCAGGCTTACCGCTCACTGGGGGACTGGCCAAATGCCGAACGCGCCTATAGATGGATTATACACCACAAAGAGCAGAGGCCTGGTTGTCCGACGCGGGAGATTGAGGATGCTCGCTGGAACCTAGGCCAGACACTCTATAAGCAAGGAATGGACAAAGACCGTGAGGCGGTCAGAGTTCTTGGCACGTTATACCATCAATGGCATGCGAGCTCCCCAAATTCCAACGAGACACTACAGTGCGGTCAGATGCTAGGTCAGTCGCTCTCAACTCAGAACGGAAGGATTGACGACGCTTTGGACATCGCTCTAGATGTATTCAACAGGAGAGGTGCCTCAGCAGAGAGCGGCGTAGCTTATCTGGATAGCGGCCGCCTGTACGGCTCGTTGTTGCTTGGGGTTGGGAACTTTGCAGAGGCCGAGAGAATCCTGGAAGTCGTGTGGGGATACCAAGCCGTGGGAAACGAAGAACAGGAAATGCGGTTTAAGTGCGGCCAACTCTATGGCCAGGCCTTAGCTAAGAAAAACAAGTATCCCGATGCGAAAAAGATCCTAGAGGCAGTAGCCGAAGCTCAAGGAGGAATCTCTACTGGGATTCTTGACATCGCGGAGACTCGCCGGCTCATCGAAGACGTGAACCGGCAGAGAAAAGAAAAGGAGAGAGAGAAGCGGAGCAATGGTCGGCGGAGGGGCTTCTTGTATCGAGCAAGGCAGCAGTAATGCAGCCGTGTTCGTCAGCAGTTGGCAGGTGGCATCCACTAGCCTGCACCACATGGAAATTTGGGTGTTGAGTTACAGGCTTCGAATCGTTGAAAGTATCTGTAGACATTTTGCGCTTGCTACCTTGGAGTTTTCTGAGATGATCCAGGCAGGATTGGGGTGGAGGGGATGTGGCTCGGTCAGCCAGTCCGGCGGCTTCCGGAGCTCCGATTTGACGCAGTCAGTTTCGTGTTACCAATTTTCATCTCAGGCTCTGTGGTTTCGGTTCATAGATCTTTTGAGTTCTGGTGGTTTCGTTTGTCCCCCTACCCGTTGTTGACAGTGGTCTCTTGTGGCGGGATGTTCTGGAGCGTCTCGGTTTTATTGTATACCAAAAGCACGCGGCGAGCTGCCTTCATCTAGATCAACGCGTCTCAGGTGAAGGTGCTTCTAGATGCTTTGAGGAGAAGTGAGATCGTGGAGACAAAGAGTAGGCTGCCTATCCACACCTCGGCTCCCAAATTGGGCCTTACTTCGTACGCCTTCCCTCGAGACGCTCCAACCAGCATCTTGTCCTTGAGTTTATGTCACATTGGATACAACGTGTTGTAAAGTAAAAGCTGCGAATGACTTGCGTCGATATAAAGTAGGGCAAAGTTCAAGCTGCAAACTGGTGTCAGTTACCGTCTTGGTACCCGACCCGGTAGCGGGTAACAATTCGGCAGGGCTGAAGCTAGTATATGCTGAAATTATTAGTAGTAATAAATACTTCAATATTACACCTTCTTTACTAAAGACATATATATACCAAATATTAATATCATGTATATAAGAGAATTATCTTAAACACGCAAAAATCGCTAAACTAAAAAAAAAAAATTAATCCCCGATGAGGTGTTAGTATATGCTGAGCATACTCGTTTTACCCGAACGAAGCGCATATACTTAGGATCTAGTCACCCCTGCCAACTTTTTTTCACCTCTGTCGAATTGTAAGCCTACCCAGTAGCGCGATACCTCAGAACAACATTATAATATAGATTCGGCAGACCGCTCCCAGTGTATTAAGAGCCCGGAGGGTTTGCCATCCATCTCAGCTGCAGCCACAGCCCATGCGTCGAAATGAGGAAGGAATTCATTCAACATTGAATGGGTGTGAGGCCGAATTTCTCATACAATAAACTCCCGTGACGGCGCAGCTCGTTGCGGTTGTGCGAAATGTGGCTCGGACTATTCCATGTATAGCCCTGGAGGTGAAATGTAAAGAAGGAAGGCAAAGTCGCTACACATCCTAGATTGCCTGGTGAAGAAGAGCTGTCGGATGGATACGTTGAAAAGGAGGCCGGTGAACAGGGCAGGGGCTACATTGAACTGAGTATTTCCCCACAAAGCGTCTCTAGCTATATGTCACAACTGGGGCATTGATATGCTATCAAGAAACAATACATGCTGACTCCTCCCACCATCAAGTCTAGTGGGAGGAGCTACCATATCTTGATGCCAAGCTCACTAAGTACTCTACCTAGCGCGTAGTTGAGGTTGCTGACCAAGGTCCAAGTGATGAAAGGGATGCAGACAAGGCCCCCTCCTTGTCAAATCAGAGCTCTGCATCTCAAATAAACCAGCGGGTTTCGTGACCATCTCCACTTTTCCTCTCACCTGGAAGGACGAGATACCAGTTGAAGACGCAGAGGAAGGAATATCAACCCCAATACCGTTTTGATAACAGAGTTCCGCCATGCTCTATGAGACTCTGGAGAGTTACTTGCGGTTCCTCGCCGCTAGCAGAAAGTATTCCACCGCATCAGTACTCACCTGGATTGCTACTGGACTCACCATCAGTTACGCTAGCTGGTATTCTCTGGACCTCTGAACTCGCCTTTATCTGGAAGCCATTTGAGCCAAAACCACTGCCGTACTGGGTTCCTTGTAATTAGAGTCTCCTTCACATCCATACGAGTGACCAGACTCCCGGCCGACTACAGAAATTGGCGAATGTATCTTTGTTCATGGCGTGCTCTCGGGCAATTTATAACAGGTTATGCGAGATGGTTTTCCAACGACCGAGATGCATGGTTCACTCATGGAAGGTAGGTTTGTTTGAATAAAATACAATAGATCCATGAAACATACTCAAAGGATCTTGTAGAGTAACATAACTTGTTTGCTGATTAGAGAACACTTCAACAACGATCCTTGCGCAATAACGATTGCTGGCAACAAGCTGTACATGGTGACCTATAGAACGACTCTCCGAATACTGCGACCATATCGTTCGATCTCTTTATTCGAGGCTTCCATTGATCCTTTGGGATGTCTCTGAAGGGCGGGGATATCATGTGGGAAGTCCCATTGGCGCATGAAAAGCATCTAGACCCAACAAAAGGCAAACACCTGATCCAGCGTTCAGTAGACTTTCATAGGCTTCAGCTATGTCCTGGACCGCATCTGGAGAATCTGAATAGAAAAACCCTCACGAAAATCGAGCATGGAACACATTGGAGCACCGTCCCAAAGTCGTCCATCCTGTCGTCCACACCGAAAGAGATCGTTGTCTCACTCTACAAGTGGTGCGGAGAAGCTTTAGTGGATGCCTCAACGCGTATCTTCTATGGGGATGCACTCTTTGATACTGAGCCCACGGGGATCCATGACTTCCTTGAGTTCAACGAACATAGTTGGATGCTCCTTTACCAGTATCCTTCTTTCCTTGCCAAGGCGATGTCTGCTCCGCAAGAGAGAGTTCTTCAAATCATATGACCGTTATGTTTTACTGCCGCCGGAGAGGAGACAGGATACGGCGTACTACACACGAGCCCTGGAGGCCGAGCAGATTCCAGCCGGTACGTCCAGTCGGGACAGAGCTGCCGGAGTCCAAACCTCCCACTTCGCGTAAGCAGTCCTCGCAGGCATCAGATGTTTTTGGCAAGAACCAGGGTTGCAGTAGTTTCCTAGAATAAGCCAAAGATAGGGATTATTTCTCCGATATCGGGTGACAATATCACTGGGTCGATCAAGTCTAGAAAGAAAGACTCACTGAGTTGAGGGGAATGCATCTCGAAGTGGGCTGTCCATACCAGGACCGAATGTAACAGCAATCGCATTGTACACTAGATTTGGAGATGACATTTGACATTTTTTGCAAATACTTTTGACGTTAAGATCACCTATATTGTGTCAATTGTGGTCTTCGAAAGTGAGTTGCAAACCAGAACTAACTATGAAAGCAAAACCTGGGAAATGTTGTCAGCCCTTTTTGGCATTGCTACAAGCTTTGGCCCGGGTGCTGGAGCAGCTTTCACTATTGACTTGACTTGACTGACTTGGAGATGGTGTTTTCGGATGCATGCGGTTCATTTACACTTTGTTTGACCGTTTCAGCCGATTCCTTCTACTGTAACTTATCAATTGGGAGTGTCATCTTCTCCACGTTGCCTGCCGCTTTCAAAATCAAGGGTGCAAATGCTTCATCGAGGTCTCTTCGTCTCAAGGCGGAGATGATAGATGTGGATGTTGTCGGTGCAATCTGTCTTAAGGGGAGCAGTGTGCTCTCTCGCGTTGGCTCACCAGCCGGGTAGAAACAGCTTTCCTTGGGAATTTGGGAAGATCATTGGTCTTCTCGTTGGTTCCACCGTCGTTGTCGTCTTTTCAGCATCCTCCAGTGCTTTCTTGGCTACAGAGGTAGGATAACACTTTAGATGCTATATCAACGGTCTGTCCTCATGGCATGCCTCTTTGAGTTCTTCCCTCTTATCATGGGACATTATTTGCTGATTCCACACCGTAGGCTCACAGCGATTCCAGGTTCCCCTCATCATAATTTGCGGAGTCACTGCGTCCATGGGTAATGGTCGGTTGACCCTGATCAACATCAATACACCGACAGTGCAATGGGCTGCCTATCTCCTTACCAGCGGTCTTGGAACAGGGAGTGGGGCTCAACTACCCTATACTGCTCTTCAGGTCTCACTTGAGTAAGTCTCAGAATCCAAAGTCGCTCGATACTTCTCAGAATCAAAAATTTAACATCCGTATGGTCAGGATGACTTACCAGTCGGGAATAGTAGTCTCTCCTCTCAAGTCCAACGATAATATCAGTGGCAATGCTCACAGGAATTTTATTAGCTCTGGTGGCGATTTTCCAACAGCTCGGAGGGTATAATGAAGAATCCAAACTCCACATGTAACTTCATATCGGCATACTAATAGTAAGTGTCATAGCCGTTCCTACTGGCGAAAGCGGTCCTGTTGGCGAGATCATACTTGTCAAAGCATTATTGAAAGAAGTGCATCATCGTCCCTGTATAGTATCAGCTCAAGCGTCATAAAAGCAGGTTTGACGAACTTTCGCACTTTAAACGATGATGCCTCGGTTCTGCATGCAATCCAGGCAGCGTACGCCAAACCAGTCACCTCCACTGTATAACTTGCTGTGGCCGCCGCCTGTGTGCCCCTCTCTTATGCCATGTTCATGGAGTGGAAAAGTGTGGAGCCAGATATTGTACCAAAAGAGGAGGACGGGGACGCTGTTGTGGCACCTGAGAAGGAAGCATGATATTTGGTCCAGAGTGTAGAGATCAGAGTATCGCATAGACTGGCTTTGGGTAGAACTCATGGGTTCCTATCGAACACTAAAAGAACTCTCTCTCTCGCAAGTCGTCACAGCTCAACAAGTCCACATGTAATAAAGATTGTAGTGCCGCGATGATCATCGCATGCATCTCTAAACTCTTGTGACAGGGGATTTCCTGTCTGAAGACACTGGTTTCAATATGCTAATATTCAATAGGATTTAGAGTAACTAGCTATGGATTTGGAGAACTTTCGATTATTCCATGAGGTCCATGCTGATAGGGAGATACGCAATTCGGGCAAAAATTCGTCAGCCACATGCTGGTGCTGCGCCAAGACCCATATAAGTTTGGCGACATCAAAATGCCGATCCGGAAGGACCTCGTCCAGGCATTCTGACCTCGCATCCAGGGTACAGGCACAGAAGTGCGGACTGTATGGACGAAAATGGCGTCCTTGAGCCAGCGAGATCCGATTAATTACGAAAAAGGTTAAAAAAACCCCCCTTACGATCTTCCAACGACACAGCCGTAGCCGGGCATCATACGAAAATTTGGCAGCATATCGGATTCGCAAGGGTGAGAAAGGCGAGCCGAGGCTGTGATCGAATTGCTGGGCATAAAAGCTTGGGGACATGGCGGCGCGGTCCATTCTGCGAATAATCGACCGATAGACAGCAAAAGGACGAACAGCCGAAGATGGGAGCAGAAGGGCGGTCAATGATGGTTGCCACCTTGGGTGCATGTACATTGGCGAATGAGGCTGAGTGAGGGATTTGGGGCGACCAATTAGGAGAATGGCGCAAAATTGGGAGGGAGAGAAGAGTAGGAGACTTTTCGAATGCTGATGTGAGGACAGTGTTCACTCTTGTAAAGAAGGCGTAGCACGTCACCCCGGAATCTAGGGACCTTCTGATTGCTTTTGTGCCCTGAGTATTTGCTTTTTCCGTTCTCTAGGGAGGATATTAGTCGTAGCTGTGGCAACTGTGTGAGTATTGTATTGCGTTGAGGTCAAAATTGGCACACTGCAAGGTTGCAATAGTGCAACAAAGATAATCATCAAAGTCGACAACTACGAGAGACAAAAGCGGGAAACTGTGTGAGCTTCATGATCTCAATCCCCATGATGTTCCATGTTTGAAGAGACACAGCCCTGACTATCATGGCACAACGAGGGCAGGGTGCCTTTGGATACGATCATAAAATCCTTTCATAATCTCATTTATGTTGTATGGATGACCCTTGAGAAATTCGCGGCCAAATGAGGCTAGCATCCAGAGCAATGATCCGGATGCTGTTCATGTCAAGGGGAATTTCGCGATTCTCAGCTTCAGAAAGCTTGACGAAGCCAGTACCAAAATGTTGGAGCCCCCTCTGATCAGTCGCAGAGCATGTGGCTGAATGATAAGATTTGACTCAATTGACAAATGAGTAGTATACGCGACACACTGAAGTCATGCATATCGTATTTCACGTGCATCCAAACACTTCTCTTAGACACCAATATTTCTGTTAACACCTTTGCAATGCCCGATTCTTCACGTGTCGAACGCCAAAGTAAACAGCCCTGGCTGCCAGCCGATGTTTACAACAATAAATTCCGTGCATAAGTGTATCAACCTAAGTCCCAATTTTTTCGAATCCCTGCCAAGCCAAATGAGAGACTCAATCACTAGGAAAAGATATAGGGACATCATCAGAGGAATTGGTGAGGGATAGGTAGGCGGTCCAGGCGATGCCAACGGTAGAGACAAACGGCTGTGCCCCATGTCAGTAAAATGTATGAACAGGCTAGACGGAGTGACTTACAATTTGAAACTGCAAAGGAATGACCCTGAAATTGAGGATCTGGACTGCAGGCCAGAGCAAAAAATTCGCCTTCAGTGAGGGAAGGTACACCTCTTGGAATTTTCGTGTTACGGCTCGTCGGCCACCACCCTCGGTGACAGTCATGAACGTGAAGAAGGCTGCTAGACCTGTTTTTTTATTAAACCTGGACTATCGTTGCGGATCCGTTCCATGACCTACCAATAGGCGCAAATATCAGTTGGTCAAAGCATACCCTTTGCAGCGCTGGCATGGTAGCACTCTGTTTCGTGATTGGAAACGCTCTTGAGAGGAACGCGAACCATTGGAACTGCACAGGCGACATGATGAAACCGTAGGACATGAACCTTGTCAATCTCTCGAAGTCAAATTGTGGTGGCCCAAGAGTCCTGTGTGGTATGATGTCGGTAACGTAAGGACTCTTCTCATCATAGTCAGGCATTTCAATCCCATCTGATATATCCTTTCCTGGAGCGAGATTTCGCCGCGATTTTGCACGAACTGCTGTGAGGGATTGAGCCACTGTGTCTGCTATCCCTCCCAGGACCTGTATGACACCCGAACTTCAGCATGAGTTTCCAAGAGTGCCCGTCCTCACATAGAGCCTAGTAGGGCGAAGTGTAGACATACGGCATTTGTGATCATGATGGTAAGGACTGTCCATGACTGTCAGCTGCTACTATTCGCAAGGCTTGCCGCCAGAGACCGAAATACCTGGCTTGTCCGCGTAGTAGGAGTTGAATTTGGCTATGAGCCTTGAGACGATGACCATCTCGATTATGAATATGAGTGCGTGCAGTAGAGGCTAATAATAGTGTTCTATGTTAACAGTGTTCTGAGGTTCAACGACGCAGATGTTGCACACAGTCTGAAGTTGATTTCGTAAAGGTCATGACGCCGAGGGAAGGAACGCACCACTCGACCGTAGATGTATCTGCTATTAAGAATGTCAAGCACTCTCCGTCTCGATGATGCAATCATCTTGGTATGTAGTATTGCAATACGAAGCTCCGGTTTGGAGTGGTGGGGAGGATTGAAGTATTTCAGGCTTCAAACAACCGGGCGGAGCTGCAGGTGTATATCCGGTCCAAGCGTCGAGCTGTTGCAGGTGTGTGAGATATCAGTTGAAGCTCGGACGCGTATTAGGAATAAAGAAGCATTCGCTGGATGAGTAAAGGAAGTCGCAAACATGGGGTCACTGTGGCCTGTGCCTCGCTCAACTCTGCCGCAGCACTCCATCCCCGCTAGCGTCATCGAGCGCCGGCAGAGGCGCGTGGGCTTTTGGGTACAATGGCGAATACTCTGCTATATGGAAGAATGTTTGTCCCACTTTAGTACTAATCGAGTCTACACTATTATCATGATTGACCTATCAAAGCTAGAACGATAGTCCACGGTGAAGTCGCTTCATCATTGAGCATCGTCAGCCTGCGCTTCCGCCACGACATCAGGCAGGTCTCGAACGTCTATAAAGTCGTTCGATATCACATCAACGACTCGGACGGCTTCAATTTGAAGATGGCCAAGGGCTAGTGGGAGAAACTTGAGCTCCGTATGAAGACAAGAGTCAGGACTAAGTGGTCTGTGAAAAGTCAGGATTGTAAGCTTTCAAAGACTGCTTCCGACTTACCCAACCCTAACATCAGTGCTCATACTTATCAGCTGCGATGCCTCATGTTCAGAATTCCTCTGCATAGCATATAATAAATTCTCATCAATTACAGCATTAGCGAAGTTACCATCCTTGCGACCCCTCACAGACGAAGAAGATGATTTCGATGAATGCGTCCCAGTAAGCCCCTTCCTCCGACTCGGAATGACCATTAAAACCAGCTGGCGAGGTTTGCTTGAGCGATTTAGGACCAGGACATCCCAAGAAAAGAGCTCTCCCACGCGCACAGTTTTTGGGGCTGTGAAAGCTATTGATACGCCAAAGTCAGTAACAGAGCCCGCGCGCTGCCGCTGTTCATTTGACCCGGATTCAGACGACGCCCCACCTTCCCGAGCGGATGCAAGGAAACCGTTTCCATCCGCTGTGAAAGACGTCCTCTGAAGGCTGCTTGGTCTGTTTTGTCTTTGCATCGACTGACCTGGAGCACCGTAAAGAGGATTCAAAGCAGTTGAGAAATCTATCCCCGTCTTCCACCGCATTTCAATGCTAGGTCGACATGTCTCAGAAACGAGCACTGTAGCGTGGACTGTGATGAGCACCGTCTTTGCTGAGCTTTGATTGGAAGCATCTGGGGCTGGCTCACTCGGCGTAAGGCGGAACAAGAAAGTCGGATTGTCCTTTGGTCTACATGCGAGGGGCAATAGAGGAGCAAGGGCTTTCCCCATATCCTCTGCAGAGCCTTCAGACAATTGCATATTGACATGAGTAATGGCTATGTCGTCATTCGAGAACGCTCCCGTTTCAACGTCAAGAGACGCAGTAATAGAAGGTCTTCCAGCTGTACCGTTGGATTTCGAATACCGCACTCGGCTTGAGATCGCAGGAAGACCTCGAAAGGCCATCTGTGTACCCACTCTCAGACTTCCATCGTTGATGTATCCCTCGTGAGTCCTAGGACTGATACCATATAACCTAGATGCTGCGAGCCTCGGTACTACTCCATTCAGTGCTGGATCACCTTTCAAAGATTCTAGTAGATTGATCGAGCCCGGAACGCCGCTTGGGAGTAACGGATCCTTGAAGTTTTCACTAACACCCTCCTTGTCAAGCCTTAGGGTCGCTGAAAGCCGGAAAAAGACCGTTGGGGAGTGGAGCCGTATTCTGGGCCGACCTGAGAAAACATTAGAACCGTATACTTGGGTCTCGAGCGGTCTCTGTTACCCACTTAATAAAGCTCTTGTTGTCCATATTGCAAGTATAGTACGAGTGGGATCGTGATCTTCCTCTTCCTGTACGACAATGAAAGGGTCTTCCGAAGTATCAATGCTGCCGGACCATAGGGTGTCTTCGGTCCTCGACGGGGAGGTCTCTCTTGGTGCATCATGACCACCAGGGGATCTCAATGGGGAGCCTCGTGCTTGTATGTCCAAATTTACAGCCAGCCGGGTTAGATAGGATTTGAGTGTTGCCTCATCCTGATATGGTGTTCGGAGGATAATGTAAATCCGTAGCGATTCATCTATCACGTACCTGGTAATGAGTAAGACGATGGAGCTTAAGAGAATGCCGGAGGGCACCCACCAAAGTACAGAAAAGACCTCCGCTCTATGGACGATATTGAGATGGCTCCATCTCGGCCTTCGTCATTTACAAAAAGCTCTTCGAAATCGAGCTCAGTAGCTTGAGGTACTAGGACGTCAAATTTGGAGCTTGCAATGAAGTCTTTGACCTGCCCTGACATGACTTGATATCACGCATCCATTGGGCACGGACAGATCAGGCTCTCTACTCAAATGGATCTCACAACATTCATTGTTGTCATAGTATTGGTCTACCTCCAGAGTGAAATCGACATGCTTGCCGGCAAGTCCCGCAGAGCCTCATTCGGACAGGAAGAAATTGACTTCCGACTTCAACGGCTCTTGTACCTCCTATCAACATCAATATTCACCACTTAGTATTGCCGAGTCCTTTTGACCCGGAGGGCAGGACCTGTAAAGTGTCGAACATGAATGGCATCAACGGTATTGCGGCTCCTCCTGGCCTGTGGTCCGAAGCCCGCAATGCTGAAGGTCGTGTCTACTATTACAACACCGTGACCAAGGCGACGCAATGGACGAAGCCGGCAGATTTGATGACCCCAGCTGAGGTGAGCCGGAGGGATTTCTTTTGCCAGAGGGTTCTCTCCTCCTTTCGCGCTTGAAGCTGACATCGTATAGCGAGCTCTAGCAAATCAGCCATGGAAAGAATACACTGCGGAAGGGGGAAGGAAATATTGGTACAATACCGAATCGAAGCAGAGCTCATGGGAGATTCCAGAAGTATACAAAGATGCTCTCGCCCAGACCGCTCCTACTCCGAAACTGTCAATGCCGTAAGTAGGCCTTCACAACAGTGATGGGCCAGGCTAACGTCACACAGAGCTCCTCAGTTCGTCGCTGGTGGTACATCTTCCTTTTCTTCGTATCCTCAGCAGCGCGATAGAGACGATTACGGTGAGCGCGCTGGGCCGGATAGACAGATAGGCTACGGACAAACAGATCTCAATGGTTCAAAGGGGCCAACTTTGGCAGCACAAAATGAACCAGAGTATTCGACGTTTGAGGAAGCTGAAGCCGCATTTATAAAACTCCTTCGAAGAGCAAATGTACAGCCAGACTGGACGTGGGAGCAGACTATGCGAGCAACCATCAAAGACCCCCAATATCGTGCCCTAAAGGATCCCAAAGACCGCAAGGCGGCGTTCGAGAAATACGCAGTCGAAGTCCGAATGCAGGAGAAAGATCGTGCGAAAGAGAGGTTGGCCAAGCTGCGCGCAGACTTCGGTACTATGCTGCGGAGTCATCCAGAGATCAAGCACTACACTCGATGGAAGACGGCGCGTCCAATCATTGAGGGTGAGACAATCTTCAGGTCCACAAACGATGATACTGAGCGACGGCAGCTTTTTGAGGAATACATAATCGAGCTCAAGAAGGGTAACATCGAACGGGAGGCTATTACGCGGAAATCTGCCATGGACGAGCTTGTAGGGTTGCTAAAGGCACTCAATTTGGAGCCGTACACAAGATGGTCTGAAGCGCAGGAGGTCATTGAGTCCAATGAGACATTCCAAGCTGACGTTAAGTTCAAGACCCTTAGCAAGTCGGACATTTTGACAGCTTTCGAGAACCACATCAAGGCTCTTGAACGTACCTTCAACGACGAGCGCCAGCGTGAGAAGAACTCGAAACAGAGAAGGGAGCGTCAGAACAGAGACCGTTATCTGGATCTGCTTCTAGAGCTCAAGGCAGCCGGGAAGATCAAGGCAGGGACGAAATGGATGGAAATCCTCCCACAAGTCCATGAGGATCCTAGGTATGTAGCTATGCTGGGTCAACCCGGATCAACCCCCCTAGATCTCTTCTGGGACATGGTCGAAGAAGAAGAGCGAGCCCTCCGCTCAATACGAAACGATGTCTACGATGTCCTCGAAGACAAGCGTTACGAAATCACTCCTAAAACCACTTCCCAAGACTTCCTGGATGTTATGTCTACAGACCGCCGTACTACTACCATTTCTCCGGATACTCTCAATCTCATCTTCAATCGTCTCCTCGAAAAGGTCTTACGACGCACCGAAGACGACAAACATGCCTCCGAGCGGCAACAGCGCCGCCTCATCGATGCCCTTCGATCCAGAATCAAACACCTCGACAAACCCGTAATCACCTCTAGCACAAACTGGGACTCCATTCGCCCACCACATTTCCCACTTTGATGAGTTTAAAGCTCTAGAAACTGACGACCTCCGCCGTCAAGCCTTCGACAAAGTCCTCCGCCGTCTCAAAGAGAAAGAAGACGATCTCGAAAATGAGCGCCGTAGCCACAAACATGACCGCTCACGTACTCGGGATCATCGTGACCGGGATCTTCGCAATGGCCATATCTCTTCGCATCGTCATGGCCCTTTGATAGATAGACATGACCGCCGCCGTGGCAGCCGGACCCCTGAAGTTGACGCTTACGAAGCCGAGCGTCGTAAAGCGACGGCTGACCGCGAGCGACAATACCAGAAACATGGCCCCACAGGGCTTTCCCCTCCACCCCGTTCCCGAGAGCGCGAAAGCGTTTCTAGTCGTCCTCCGCGTATAAGCCATTACGACCGCGAACGACGGGATAGAGAAGAAGAGCGTGAGCGACTTTACCGTACGCGAGGTGACCCCAGGGGCAGCAGGGACGAATTAGATTACGGGGCCGGTGTTAGCGGTGCGGGTGGTAGGAGGAGGAGGGATAGCGAGGCGAGTGGAGAGAGTGCGAGGAAGCGGGTGAAGAGGGAGGAAGGGAGAAGAAGTACGAGGAGGGAGAAGACGCCGGAGCCTATAGTGCCAGTGAAGGAGGAACCCGCGGTGCATTCGGGGAGTGAGGAGGGGGAGATGGTTGAGGAGGAGTAATTCGGAGAGGGAGATTAGATTGGTTGGGGATCATTTATCACTTGTTTTATTACTACACTACTGGCGAGCGCTCAGACACAGGACCAGGCATATCACGCAAGCAGGCAGAGTTCGAGCAGTAATAATTGCGCCCTCTTGTGCATTTCGCCTTATCTGCCTATTTCCCTGGAGCTTTCCACCACCACATGGGCAAGTTGTCTTGGTCGTCAGCACTAGGCGTGCACCAAACCATGAGTCTCAATCTCATGTATCATTTTCGTTAAAAATCCACCATGTAGACGGCAGTCCCCTAACTTGACCCATCAAAACTCCTTCAACACATGACCAGCCGTAGATGCGGTGTTATCTCGCAGGAACATTGACAGGAGGCAAACCGCCGCCGCCATCGCTAATCGTCCTTATCATCATCATCCTCATCAGCACAAGCTTCTTCATCCGTTAGACCTGCACCGTGCTTACAGGCGCTTTCACCAGCGCCTGAAGGCTTTACACTTACACCTGCCTTGGGAGGGGTGTCATCATATTCTTGTGGGCTCTTAGGGACGCCCTTTTCAACTCTCGTTTTCCAGGAAGAAGAACTTGCCGCTCAGCTTCTGCTCCTGGTCCAATTGGCTGTTATACTTGTTGATTCGCGGCCGGAAGCTGTTCGGGTCTCGGCGGAAGGTTACGTCTAGGTTCTTTAGGAACTTGTTGCAGCCAGTCAATAGGCTTTCTGGGGTATTGGCTCTTGCGTCGACGGAAGGTTGGCCGTCGAAGACGATGACTCGGTCCGCGAGGTAGGTTGCCATGATGAAATCGTGCTCAACAACAAAAGCAGTTTTCTTGGCGTGCATGATGAAGCGCTTGATGACGCGAGCGGCGATGATACGCTGTTCCGAGTCGAGGTAGGCGCTTGGTTCGTCGATGAGGTAGATGTCGGCTGGCATGCCGAGAGCAAGTACGATGGCGACACGTTGCAACTCACCCCCAGAGAGGTTTTGTACTTCTTGGTCGATGAAATCGTCGAGTTTGAGGGGTTTGTAGACGTCTGTCTGAAATTGAGGGTTTAAGAAAGAGGCTTTGATCTTCTTAAAAAGAGCTGGCGGACTGTGCCTGTGAACTTGGGGGTGATCTTTTGAGGCTTCATAGATATGTTCATTGGTGGTACGGAATTTCTACCGTCAGGCTTCTCGGCGCCGGCGAGCATTCTGCAGAAGGTCGTTTTTCCTGTGCCGTTTTCTCCCATCATGACTATGATCTCCGAGTCGGTGAACTTGCCGGCGTCGATGCTCAGGTGGAAACCGCCGAGGGTCTTTTCCATAGATGGGTAGCTATAGCTCATGGCTTTGTCGGCCAGATACTCGTCTCCAACTTCGGCAATACGGAAGGTGAGAGCCTCCTCGCGGAAACGTAAATTCTCAGTAGGAATGTTGCCGTCCAGGAAGATATTGATCCCTTCTCTGACCGACGCAGGCAGTGTGACGACACCGTAAACCGCAGGCTTGCCATAGAGAACGCAGATAAAGTCGGAGAGATAGTCGAGAACAGACAGGTCGTGCTCCACGACAATCACGTAGTCATCTGGACGTAGCAGCTTGCGAATGGTCCTAGCGGCGCTAAGACGCTGTTTAACATCGAGATAAGAGGACGGCTCATCGAACATGTAACTAGGAATACTTTAGCCTATGAGAATCTTTGGAAGGACTCGTGTCATACACATCGGCTTGCTGGACGCAAACAACTCCTATTGCGAACCGTTGAAGCTCTCCACCAGACAGGAGATTGATGTCTCGATCGCTCACTTGGTTCAATTCTATAGCCGAGTCAGCCTTCTCCGCTACCACTGTGGGAATGTGCCTACCCAGAACGTCCATAATCTCCTGAATGTTGTCCATTTGGTTACGTGCTTTCAACAAAGCCTCTACTGTCCTGTCGGGACCTTTGACAGCTTTCGGCAGTTGATCGACATACTGAGGCTTAACAACAGCCTTAAGGTCATCTTCCAGTACTTTGGTAAAGTAGTCTGGGTCTTGTTTAGCATGCGTTCAAGATTACGTAGCTGCGGACCTACTCTGAAGCTCAGACCCTCGAAAGTATTTTAAGATCTCTTCCCAGTCTGGCGGATCTTCGTATCGACCCAGATTGGGCTTCAACTTGCCGCTGAGGATCTTCAACGCAGTACTCTTTCCAATTCCGTTGGTTCCCACCAAGCCTAAAACCTGCCCTGGTCGTGGCATAGGCAGCCGATGTAGCTTGAAGCTATTCGCCGAGTAGCGGTGAGTCACTTGCGATTCAAGGTTCGTAGGCAGATTGATGATGTTGATGGCGCTGAAGGGGCACTTCTTGACACAGATACCACATCCTATGCATAGACGTTCCGAGATGAAAGCAATTTTTGACTCGGGAGCAACTTCGATACAGAGCTTGCCGGTCCGTACGACTGGGCAGGACTTTTTGCATTCTTGACGGCATTTCTAAGAGGTAGATTAGCAAGACGATCCATACCGCGAGTGTCCTGTTTGACTGTAGTACTTTTGGCTTGCACTGCGGGGGGGATATCGTTAGCATTTGCTAGACAATAGGAAGCTTTGAGTCTAATGACTCACCTTGTCATTGCTGACAATGGCAATACTAACAACCGAATTCGAGAGTCAATAGGATTGTCCCACAACAGAAATCCAAGATGTCAAGGCATACCGTGTAAGCTTGTCGGACATTGTGGAGGGATGAGAGCTTTATTTGAGAGATTATGGAAACAAGCGTGTAAACCTGGGAGTTGTGTTCCACTCGGGTATCGGACTTCAATGACTGAGTAACGAGGAGCAAGAGACTGTCACCCAAGAGTTACTCAATTCATAGAGCCGTGAAAAAATCAAATCGGATAACTTATTGGCATTCACACAGAAACAGAGCCCGCTTGCACATGAGGCTTAGTGGGGGAGCCTATTAGCCGACTGGGGGCCTTTCAGCCTTACAGTACCATTTATGCTGCAGCTCGCGGATAATCCTCACGAAAGCATACTTGACACCTCCATCCTCCATTTAATGACACCCTTAACAAACCACCACTTCCGCACACATTTTGGACCCGTCAAGGCGGCTCTGAAGTCATGGCTTGTAAGTACATCATCATCCCTTGTCCCTGTTAATGCACACGATTCCTTGGGCCACCGCTCAAATTTGGCCTGCGGCTGTACATGCCCATCTCCACATTCGATCAACTCTATACAATGTCTTCAGCTATCCAATTTCTACATGGAGGAGCCTCTTGTATAGCATGCTGTCTATGTAGGCCTCGCTATATATGCACCAAATTCACATCCTGGTGCCACAACTGTCTGCTCTCCCGCAGATTGCTTTTCCATCAACTCCATCACCAAGAGCTATTCTTTCATCGAATCTCATGTTCACTCCATCTCAGTCAAGTCTCCTGAGCATGTTGGACTGCTCCCTGGGTCGCCTGCTGTCTGGGTACCTGCCAGAAATGCGCTAAAGTACTCTGGCCTTTCCTCGCCGAGCAATGCTAATGTACTGGTGTTATAGCAAGCACCGTGATGTACCAGCAGACATCCTCTACTACTACGGATCTTCCCTACTCCAATGGACACCTCTCCCCTCCTTCTACCAAGCCTGCAACCAATCGGGCTTTGACCCCCGAGAGCGAGAGCGACCTCTCCGAGGCCCTTGATATTCCCAACGCCCCAACTACATTCCTGAATAGCGAGCAAAACGACAATAGAGAGAATGGCCAAATGAGGGGCTCAGACGATGGATCCTCACAAGACGAGGACGCTGTCGGCTCTGACGATCCTGACTACGATATGGCAACACCGCCTACCGGCAATGCCGGATCTTATGGTGGTGACCGTTCATCATCACAAGATTCGCCTCGACAACGGAAACGCAAAGCTGGTCCGGAGCATGAGGACTATATTTTGAACGATCCCGAGCTTTACGGCCTGCGACGAAGCGTAAGTCAACGATTATTTAATCCCCATCATAGCGCTGAACAATATACTCAGGGCCGGCCTCGTCCATCACGGCAGATCGTATGTGCCCCTACTTTCACACACCACTAACCAGTCTACTAATCAATACGGTCAGGTCGATGACGACTCTGAGGACGATGACTCTGAGTCAGACATCAGAAGTGGCCCGCCACGGAAACGACGAAAACAACTCTCCTCCGCTCGAGGTAAGTTCTCTACTACACTATCCTCGTGGTGCCAAAATGGCTTTGGCACATTAGTTGCTTACTATCATCTTGCAGCATCCAAGCAGAACACTCCTTCCGCACAATCACCATCTGATAGTGAGTCTGACATTGATGCTTATGGTGGATCTCGTCGAGCTGCAGCCAAGAAGAACCATCGTCGATCAGTCCAACCCACTCGTGACATAACCCCTGCTCACGGAGAAGTACGCTTCTCGACACGAAAAGCTGCCAAAGTATCCAATTACAACGAAGATGACGACGACATGTTTGATGATGAAGCGGACATGGTCCCTCAGGAATACTGGACGGCTGGGCCGGAGGAGGACGTTCCTGCAATCGATGCGGTGCTCAACCATCGCCTACGTGAGGATACTAGTCAGTGATCCTATAGAGTAATGCTAGGATCAGAGACTAAATTGCCTATAGGTAAAGAAGTCACCGACCCTGGAAGAGATGATTTTGAGTACTATGTAAGCGTCACCGTTCCCAATCGTCCTACCCTCTCTCGAGATCTCAAATCTGACCTGCGAAAGATCAAATGGCAAGGCAAAGCTCACTACCATTCCACCTGGGAGACCAATGCTGCTTTGGCCTCTTGTCGCGGTATACGACGACTTGAGAATTACTTCCGCAAAGTGGTCCAGGAGGATATCCACATGGAGCATGAAAAGGACATCCCACTCGAAGAGCGAGAGAAGTGGAATCTCGATCGTGAACGTGATGCCGATGCCCTCAAGGATTACACGAAAGTTGAGCGTGTTATTGGCAAGAACGACAAGGGGGATTTACAGTATCTTGTGAAGTGTAAGTTGTCCGATCATGGCAATGTTACCACTAGTTGACATAAGATAGGGAAGGGACTCTACTACGATTCTTGCACCTGGGAGAACGGTAGCTTGGTGAGCAACATCGCGCAGAACGAGATCGACCGTTATCTCGATCGAACCTCTTCATTACCGCAATCAAATAAGTCAGAGTCGAATCCAACTACGAGGCGGACGTTTCAACGCATATTGGAGCAACCAGCCTACATAAAGAACGGCTCACTCCGGGAGTTCCAGATGCATGGCCTCAATTTCTTGGCTTTCAATTGGTGCAGAGGAAACAATGTGATCCTCGCAGACGAAATGGGCCTAGGAAAAACCGTGCAAACGGTGGCGTTCATGAATTGGCTGCGGCATGACAGACAGCAGCAAGGGCCTTTCATAGTGGTTGTACCACTTTCAACAATGCCCTCATGGGCCGAAACGTTTGACAATTGGACCCCCGACGTCAACTATGTGGTCTATAACGGCAACGAAGCTGCCCGTAAAACCATTCGGGAGCACGAGCTTCTAGTCAGTGAGAACCCTCGGAAGGCGAAATTCCACGTTCTCCTCACCACCTATGAATACATCCTCGCGGATGCAGCGTTTTTGTCCCAAATCAAGTGGCAATTTATGGCTGTTGATGAAGCACATCGACTTAAGAATCGCGAGTCTCAGCTGTACGCCAGACTGCTCGATTTTAAGGCACCCAGTCGTCTTCTGATTACTGGTACGCCCATGCAGAACACCCTCGGAGAACTTTCTGCTCTTATGGATTTCCTCATGCCTGGAGTCATCCGCATCGACGAGAACATGGACCTCTCATCGAAGGAGGCCAGCGAGAAGATCAGTCAGATGACTGCTGCGATCCAACCCTACATGCTGCGCCGTACCAAGAACAAAGTGGAGAATGATATCCCGCAAAAGACCGAGAAGATCATCCGAGTCGAGCTGTCAGATGTTCAATTGGACTATTACAAAAACATTCTCACTCGAAATTACACTGCACTCAATGAGGGTGCGAAGGGTCAGAAGCAGTCTTTACTCAACATCATGATGGAGTTGAAGAAAGCCAGCAACCATCCATTCATGTTTCCCAGTGCCGAAGAACGAATCTTAGGCGGAAGCCCACGACGCGAAGATATACTAAAGGGTATAATCACCAGTAGCGGCAAGATGATGCTACTCGATCAGCTGCTTGCCAAATTGAGGAAGGACAATCACCGTGTCCTCATATTCAGTCAGATGGTCAAAATGCTTGACATCTTAGGAGACTATTTACATCTCCGGAATTACCAATTTCAGCGTCTTGACGGTACGATAGCTGCCGGACCTCGTCGAATGGCCATCGACCATTTCAATGCTCCAGACAGCAACGATTTCTGCTTTTTGCTTTCAACGAGAGCAGGAGGTCTAGGGATCAATTTGATGACTGCTGACACAGTGATCTTGTTCGACTCCGATTGGAATCCTCAAGCCGATCTTCAAGCGATGGCTCGTGCTCACCGTATCGGGCAGACAAAGCCGGTCAGCATATATAGGCTCGTCTCAAAGGAGACGGTCGAAGAAGAAGTCCTCGAGCGAGCACGCAACAAGCTCATGCTCGAGTTTATTACGATACAACGTGGCGTTACGGACAAGGACGCAAAAGAGCTGACTGACAGGATGGCACGTGTAGGCAAAGCTATAGCAGAGCCCAATTCTTCCGAAGACATTTCCCGCATACTTAAGCGCCGTGGAGAGAAGATGTTTCAACAATCTGGCAACCAGAAAAAACTCGAAGAGCTCGACATTGAATCCGTGTTAGAGAACGCCGAAGAACATCAGACCGAACAGCCTGAGGGTATTGCGGCAGACGGCGGCGAAGAGTTTCTCAAGAGCTTCGAGTATCTGGATGTCAAGATTGACCTTGAGTGGGATCAGATCATACCCAAAGACCAGCTTGATGAGATCAAGGCAGAAGAGAAGAAGGCAGCAGATGATCGCTATCTTGCCGATGTTATTGAGCAAAACGCGCCACGAAAGAGAAAGCAAGCTGATGAGGAGCGAGAAGAGCGTGCTGCGAAGAAGCGTGCCAGAGATCTTGCGGCAATAGAGGCAGGTGCTGATGATTCCGATCAACGACCTGGTCAAGACCCGAAGCGACCACTAAGCGAGAAAGAAGTACGCAACTTGATCCGTGGCTATTTACGATTCGGCTCTATCGATGACCGAGGAGACGAGCTAGTCCAAGAGGCTCGACTGACCTCCAGAGACCGCGGTCTTTTGAAGGCGTCTCTGCAGGAGATCATTGATGTGGCGTCCAAGCTTATGAAAGAAGAGCAGGACCGCATCGACGCTTTAGAACGTCAGCATGGCAAGACCTTAACCAAGAAGGACAAAAAAGCCGTGCTGTTCGATTTCAAAGGTGTGAAGCGTATCAATGCGGAGACGATCGTGGAACGTCCTGGCGAGATGCGCATGCTGAAGGAGGTCACTGAGAAAGCCCAGGATCCCAAGAACTTTCGAATTCCAGAGGCATCTAAGGGAGCAACCTACACCTGCGACTGGGGCTCTAAAGAAGACGGAATGCTTTGTGTTGGGATTGTTCGCCATGGCTATGGTGCATGGGTTCAGATCCGTGACGACGCTGACTTGGCTCTGGGAGATAAATTCTTTCTGGAGGAGCATCGTGTCGAGAAGAAAGAGGAACGTAGCAAGGGCGAAGAGAAGAGTGTCAAGTCGCCTGGCGCAGTGCATCTTGTACGCCGTGCCGACTACCTGCTTTCGGTGCTCAAAGAGAAGACGAGCGGTGGTACCAATCTCGCTGCGAAACGCGCGGTCGAAAATCATCACCGAAACAACAAGAAAAACGGCATGTACGCTAGAATCGCAGACAATCGGACAAGTGTATCAGCTTCACCTGCTCCATCGTCTGTTCGAAGAGGCCACCGCGAGTCAGAGAAGCATCGCAACCGCAACAGCACCGAGCGGCGCATTTCTAACGGAGAGCAGAACGGTCATACCCCCAGAAGCGACATTCGACCTAGGCCAAGCGGTGACCGGAAACATGAAGAGCGTCGCCACCACTCACCGCATAACCACCGTCAAAGCAATGAGAATGCCATTGCACCGAAAGTCAATAGGCTTTTGTGGAAACTCTTCGGTCCCGTTAAGCCAAGCTTATTAGCGGTGCAAGGTGCTACAAAGGAAGGTGTGCGAGACAAGCACGCCCGGGCGAGAATTTTGAGGGAGGAGTTGGTCAAGATTGGGAACCACGTGGCCGATCTGGTCTCGGATCCAGAAACGAATGAGGACGACGAAGCTTCGTTCTGGTAAGTCACCTTCGCTGGGTCGTTGCGTGGTCTTGCTCAACTAATCTTTTTCTTAGGGACTTTGTGGCGGACTACTGGCCCAATGCGGGAACTCCAGGAAGCAACATTAGAAACATGTACGATCGCATCGCAAATTCGGCGTCTGCAGTCGCAGCACCGGCTCAGCAAGAGCCTACCATAAAGGTAGAGCCACCGCATATGAACGGGCAAATTAATGGCGTTGCTGTGAAGCAAGAACAGAAAGGATAGTGCTACCGGAGATACGACGGGAGGAAGATGTTGGCCTATGGATTGAACTGTATTTTGCAAGGTGTTGGGGACAAAAGGAAACCACTGCCTGTGAGGCTACGATCATGGCCGGTGTTTTGCATCCGTGAAGGGGGGGTTGGAACGACATTGTTTGAAAGATCACGGCTATTTAGCCATCAAAAAGAAAGGATTACTATGAGGGCATACTGAGAAGAGCTGCCGGGCTCTTTGTATCATACTAGAGGAGGATACACACCGATTATCAAATGTACATGTCTCGCGAGAAAAACCATGAAGTAGGTTAGGTCTACATTCATGGCAACCTTGCGCATCATCTTACTCTTCTAAGCTTGAGGCGATATCTATGAAAGCCAATGGACGTGTAAAGGTTGCATGCTAAAGAAATGATTTGCGTTTAGGCCTTCTGCTGATGCTGCGAGGAAGCGGAGAAGCAGCACCAATGATAGCTCGTAGTCAGAGATTTTGTCCGCACTGCATATGATAGGATGCTTCGATGACAGTAATATAACTTCAATTTTTTCCTTATATTAGACACAATTCTTTGTTCGATCATGAAGCTGTAAATGAAGCCCTAAGCTTACGGTGAGCTATCAATTGGACACCGTCGCAGAAGTTCGGAGGATAAAGGCGATACACAACCGACAGGGGGGTAGAAGATCAAACTCGTGACCAGTTTGTTGCCACCGCTTCTCCGTTGCTTTCTCTATCGCTATCTGCATCAACATACGAAACATTCTATCTTCCATACACAGTGTCTCTTGCATCATCGGGAGGCTATTTGATCTCCTAGACGCCAGTTGCACATCGCTTCCACTTTCTCTATTCCAATCGCTAGTCTTATCGCTTTCTCCGTTGCTTCAATGACCCTGTCTAGGATCTCACGACTCAGCGCCCCAAAAGTTCACAATGGCAGCAGTAGCTGTCAGATCGCATTGCGAAGCCGGTCGCGACAATGGATGTCTCGAGCGAAGGATCCCGCGACGGAAGATTGGTTTGGATGATGAAATGAACGCTGGCTGTTGTTTCTTGGCTGCGAGGCGGTGTGCAAGCTCATGTATGGGACGGGACTTAGCACTGGAGAAGACCACGCCACTTTCGAGCCAGGTAAGAAAACCAGACATGCTTTCAACCTCTTCAACACTGTTTTGTGTTTTTCGTATCACCAGAGGAACTGCGGCGAAATGAGGGGTTTCAATGGGCTGGATTTACTGTGGGAGTGCGCAAGACCTCTGACTTGCTAGTAGGTCCAGTGTCTGGAATATTTGGAAAGCATCAAAGCCATTCTCGATAGCATCGATGCTGTATTACCGGACAGCGCAGGATCTACAGACTCCCCGCACTTTGAGCCCCCACCTTCGTACAACGATACAATAGCAGATGAACCTCCAAGCTATGATTACACGGGTGATGTAGCTCTAGCTAAAGCATCTCGCTACTATCCCGTTCCCCCACCGGCCTATTGCTACAAATCCGTTGGCAGTATTTTACCTCCGGATCAAATGGCGACGCCCGATATCGACTTTGGTGACACGTCCAATTTTCGTCAAGCAGGCGGCAAGAAGAGGGAGAAACAGCAAAAAAAGCAAGCGGACACAGCCAAATGGAACGACGAGGGTGGGGAAGGAAACGCTGAAGGCGCTGATGGAGGCGAGGAGAATGGCAGTGGAGGAACTGGTGGAGGAGCTGGTGGAGGCAACAATGGAGATGGAGGCGCAGGAGACGGTGGCGGAGATGGTGACCACTGGGGTGCTTGGGATACGGGGAAGAAAAAGAAGGGCAAGAAAGCTAAAGAGGAAGAGAAAAAGAAGGAGGAGGAAGAAGAGGAAAAGAAATGGAAAGAGGAAGAGGGGGCTAACGGGGATGGTAAACTGGACTGGGCCGATGATACAAATGGGGACGTGGGCGATGACTGGGGAGGCTTTACGGCTACGGCGACCAAGAAGGGCAAGAAAGACAAGAACGGAAAGGTAAGCTAGAATCGGGCCATGAGTATGTATGCAATAGCTTACGTGCCCTAGATTGAGCCGTCAGCCAATGGCACGAGTGATTTTGCCGACATCAAGCTAGACGACAGTGTGCCAAAGATCGACCTCAGCTTTGGTCCGACGGAAACAAGGGACAGTGGCGGGTTCGGCTCATTCGGTGGTTGGGGAGGGGTGGCAGTACCTGGAATACCGGCAGCAATTGGAATTCCAGTCGAGCTGATACCGAGACTACAGATATTGCAGACTCGTTCTCTAGGACTACGAAGGAATCCACAAACATTACGACAGACAGCAACTCTTGGTCATTTGGTGGGAACAAGAAAAACCAGAAGAAGACTACTACCAGCGGATTTGACTTTGGGAACTTCGGTGCACTCGAGGAAGAGAATGAGGGCGAAAAAGCAGAGGAAGATAAAGCGGGAGGCAACGACGATTGGGGAACCTTCACGGTCGCTGGTAAGAAGGATAAGAATTCCAAGAAGAAGGGCACCTTCGACGATGTTTCCAACGACCCGGACCCAAACACCATTGGTACGGCAATTGCGGACCCTGAACCTGTTGCGGAGAAATCATGGAATGCATGGGGAAATCCATCTACCAAGAAGAAGAAAGGCAAGAAAGGCGAAGAAGAGACGCCTCTGCCACCCCCTCCAGCCGCTGCTGTGCATACACCTGCAGAGCCTGCTGCTGATGAATTGGGCGGATTAGGCACCAAAAAGAGTGGAAAGAAGGGCAAAAAGATTACGGAGGTTGACGAACCAGCTGTCGCGGTTGTCCCTGAACCGGAACCCGAAGGTGACTCTGGCTGGGGTACATTTGGCAAAAAAGAGAAAAAGAAGGGCAAGAGAGAGCCTGAGAAGGTCGAAGACCCAGTCACCACCATAGCACCCGAGCCAAAACCAGAAGCCGATGCTGGCTGGAGCTCATTCGTTAAGAACGATAAGAAAAAGGGCGGCAAGAAAGAGCCAGAGAAGATCGAGGAGCAAACGATTGCCGCAGTGCCAGACCCTGAGCCAGATCTGGACGTTGGCTTTGGTTCGTTTGGCAAGAAAGATGAGAGAAAGGGTAAGAAGGGCAAGAAAGAGCCTGAGAAATTCGAAGAGCCAACGACCACGGCTTTGAAAGAACCGAAACCAAATTCAGAATTTGGCTTTGGCGCGTGGGACAATAAGGATGACAACAAGGGCAAGAAAACCAAGAAGGAGCCCGAGAAACTGGAAGAGCCAACAATCACTGCATTCCCAGATGCTGAGCCAGATTTGAGCTTTGGTTTTGGCTCATTCGCGAAGAAAGAGGACAGAAAGGGTAAGAAGGGCAAGAAAGAAGATAAAACAGAAGCACCAGCAGTTACTGTCGTCCCAGAGCTAGAACCCGAGGCAGACATTGGTTGGGGCTCGTTTGCCAAGAAGGAGGCCAAGAAGAAGGGCAAGAAGGATGCTGACAAGACGGAAGAATCATCCGCGAAGGAGCCGGACCCGGAGCCTATTGATGACTGGGATTCTTTCGGCACCAAGAAGGAAAAGGACAAGAAGAAAGCCAAGAAACCCAACATCTGGGGTGAGCCTGAAAGGGAGGAGAACCAGATCGATGAGGAATCACCTGAGCCTGAAATTGACACTGGATGGGGCAACTTCGGTCCCAAGAACGACAAAAAGAAGGGTAAGAAAGGTGTCATGGAAGAGATCAAACCTATAGGGCCAGAGCCAGTAGCTGAGGAAAAGCCAAGTTTATCACGCACAGGATCCACGAAGGGCAAGAAGGGCAAAAAAGGCCTCGTGCCGGAAGTCAAGGGAGATCCTATGCCAGCCATTGAGTCCAGATTCGCTACGGACGACGCCAGTGTCGCGGCTGACGATGACTGGGCGAGTGGCTCCGGCACTGCCAAGAGGAAGGACAATAAAAGCAAACGGAATTCACTTGCTAGCACTGGCTCCAAGATGGATGAAGCACCATCGCCACCGCCTCCTGTGCCTGACGTTCCAGATCCTTCTTCGTTTGATACATGGGATACTGCTAAAAAGGAAAAGGACAAGAAAGGCAAAAAAGGCAAGGTCACCGAGCCTGAGCTTATTTCTGTGCCGGAACCCGAGGAAACGGAGGATACAGTGAAGGACGGTTTAGCCAGTTGGGCTGGTCTTTCCGCCAAGGATAGGAAAAAGAAGGAAAAAGAGAAGGAGAAGGAGAAGGAGAAGGAGAAAAAGGACAGAGAGACAAGAGAAGCCAGGGAAGAGGAAGAGGCCGAAGAGAAGGAGAGGAAGGAAAAGGAAGAGGCAGACGAAAAGGAAAGGGAGGAGAAGGCAAGGAAGGACAAGGACAAGGTCAAGGGAAAGATCGGGAAGAAGGGCAAGACTACTACGTCGCCCGAGACCTCAAAGACCAAGGACTTGCTTGCAGACTCGATCCCTGATATTATACCGGTTGTAGAGGAAGATACCTGGGGTTCAACTTGGGGTTCAAGCTGGGGAGCTGGAGCGTCCAAGGAGAACAAGAAGAAAGGTAGCAAGGAGATGTCCTGGGGAGCGCCACCGCCGGCACCCACTCCGCCCGCGCAAGGCTTGACTCCGGAGCCTGAGGAAAAAGAAGGGGATTTGCTGGATGATAATTGGGGTGACTTTGCGCCTGCCAAGGCTACTACAAAGGGGAAGAAAGATGGCAAAAAGGATCCCAAAGAGGATTTGAAGGCCGGCAAGAAGGGCACAAAGGACAAGATCGAGGAAGTGGTAGATGACACGTCCAAGAAGTCGGCGAAGGATGACCTGAAGAAGAAGGACGCCTGGAGAGAGGATACACCTGCAAAAGCAGCCAAGAGTTACTGGGGCGGTATGGGAACAACGTCTGCCTCCAAGTCTAAAGCGAGCTCCAAAGACAAGGATAAGGCGGCAAAGGAAGCTGAGGAAGAGGGAGAGGAGGAGGGGACGGAGGAGGTGGACGACGACGACGATGAGATTCTAGAGATGTTGGACGAAGAGCCCCCGAGCAAAAAGCCGGCAAAGGATGGAAATCTTTGGAAGACGAGCACTAAAGATAGCGACAAGGCTAGCAAAGGCAGCAGCGTGGCGAAGAAGAAAGGTGGTGTTGGTGTCAGGGATGACGTTAGGGAGGCGGTGACAAGTAAAGGCAAAAATGGCAAATCCAAGGAGCTTGGTACAGAAGACAAGGATGATGAGAAAAAAGAAGAAGAAAAGGAAAAGGTTGAAGATGCTTTCAGTCTACCGGTATGGGCACCTTCGTCCAAGAAGACAACTGGCAAGAATTGGAAAGCAGATGAGGTCTTAGGGAAAAAGGAAATTGGCGCTAAGGATCTGACCAATCAGAAGTCAACGGGAAAGAAGGGAATCTCGAATGAGCCAGAATTTACCCATAAAGATGACCAACCTTCGACGTTATTGCAACCTTCGAAACCTTTCAAGTCAGCAATGTCCACTTCGAAATCAACAAAACCTTCATCCGTCTTACAGAGAGTCAAGGAGATTGAGAAGGAGAAGAATAAGGCTTCAGATTCTGCGCCACCTGACCTAGATCCCGAACCAACTTCAAAATTCGACAAGAAAGCTGGCGCATCAAGTAAAAGCAAAGACTTAGCATCAAGTAAAGCCGCCGCATCAAAGACCAAGGATTCGAACCCTGAATCCAAAACCAAGAAGAAATCTTCAGAGGAAACTGTTCCAGGCAGTTTCCCAGGTGAAGGCATGGATGACGACTTCAACAATCTCGATGAGCTCGATGAGCTCGATGAGCTCCTCGATGATGAACCCCTGCTCGAGAAGAAAGACAGCAAGAAGGGCGCCAAATCTACTAAAGAGTCGAAAATTACCTCAAAGGCTCGCGACACGCCCGAGTCGAAACGACCACCGACACCGCCACCTGAGCCCAAAGAGGAGAAGCCTGCTAAGAAAGAGCGCCCTCGCATAGCCAAAGAGGGAGGTGCCTCTTCTTGGAGTCTCTGGGGTGCAGCTCCAGCAAAGAAGAAGGAGACTAAAGCAAAGGACGATGCTGACGTCTCATCGCCGCCTAAAAAGGAGAAAGCTGCTGCTCCTGGCTTTAGTAGATCAAAGTCCACCCGGACAGCCAAGGAGAAAGACAAGGAGACAGTCAAGTCTGAAGCTAAGTCGTCTGACTCCGACAAACCAAAGAAGACAGAGTCTCGTCCACCCAAGTCGCGGGGCTCAAGCTTTGGTGCGCTATTTGGCGGCGGACCTCCAACACGGACCAAGTCGGTTCGAAAGAATAGTACCGCGCCTTCAGTTCCCAAGAGTGCTGCTTCTAGGAGGCAGTCCATGGATGTCGATGCCACCGGTCTTCCGTCTCCGCCAGCTGAAGAAGCGCCGGAAATGACTTCAAAAGCCGCGAAGATGATGGGCACTGCCAAGCTGGATAGGAAAGCCTCGACTCGAGGCAAACAGAAGGCGTCTGGTGAGAAGCTTCCAGCAATGTTCGAAAAGTCCTTGGAGAAAGCTGACGGTAGCAATGTAGCTGTTCCAGATCCTTATGCCATCGACTCAGATGACATGGTGATGGTGAATGATGTGGACGATCCCCTTGTCAATGGCAAAAAGTTCTCCGCCACTAAAGACAAAGGTTCGAAGAGCAAGTCCAAAGGAATGGATGCCGAGCCAAGTTCATCTCTGAAAAGGGATTTGCCTGACAGGACCAAATCTAAGCGAGACTCCAAAATGGAACCAAGTAGCTCTAAGAGAAAGTCCAAGATTGGGAACGACATCGACGATGATGTTGTCATGGTTGACGCAGGCTCTTCGGGTGACGCAAACGTAGAGCCTGGCCCCGACGATATGCAGTTCATTACCAAGCCTAGAGGACTCCAGCGCTCGGCCACAAGCTCAAAGAAACCTGATAGCAAGTCCGGTGGAATAGGGGGCGGGCTGTTCGGCGCTTTCCGTAAGAGTCGTCGTGCATCTGAGGTCAACGAATTTTCAAAAAGCAGAGCCATCGTGGAGGATGAGGAGGTAGCACCTCGCAAGCGTACCGTCACTGGCGGAGATGACTCTGCTAAGCGTCCTCGCCGTGACGACCGCAGAAAAACTGAGAAGACAGATCGTGCAGCTGACGGCTATGTCTATGACACCGCTAGAGATGTTGGAGGAACTACCGAAGCGGAAGATGCGGACGCACGGAGAGAGAAGAGACGGACTAAACGTGCAGAAGATGATCGTATTGCCAAAGAGCCACGTGAAGAAGCTTTGAAATACGAAGCTGATCGACGAGCTAAGCGTGGTGAAGCAGACAAAGCCAAGCTTAAGGATGAGCGCGGCAAGCGAGCTCGCAAGGAGGAGGAAGCCGAAGCCCGTCGCCTCGAAGAAAAAGAGGACCGCCGAGCTGCACGAGAAGCTCGCCGCAGAGAAGAAGAGGCAAACAGAGCGCTCGAGGATGACATCCTCAAACCCCGGTCTAAGCGCCGTGATACAGAGAAAGAGGTCCCAGCGGCATCCTCATCTCGACCTCGCACATCTGACCGTCGTCGCTCCCACATGGATAAAGCCACCGAACGCCCCAAATCCTCGCGCCGAAAATCCACAATTGCTCCAGTAGACGACTACTTTGACCCCCGCAACGGCCGCCCTACCAATGACAATGACCCCTACGGTGGCAACGACCATACCACCTCTTGGGTCAAATCCCAAGTCTCCGAACCGCCCGAGCCCCCGCCAGTCGAGCCGACAATCATGGAACAAGCCCCCGACTTCAGAGCCAAAGGCGCCGACGACCTGGTGGAAGACGAATATGCCAGACGCGCGAGCCATAAGAAGCCAAAGAGGGGTAGCCGTATGTACACCGATCCCCTCGCTGATGAACAAGAAGAGCGCAGGAGGCGGAGGAAGGAGAAGGAGGTTCGGAGCAGTGAGGGCAGTGCGGCGGAGGAGAGGTATGGAGGGTTGGGGAGCATGGATAGGAGACAGAGTGATCTCGGAGGCGTGAAGCTGGGGGCGGGGACGAAGACGTTTGACGGGAAGACCGGGCAGGGAAAACGATCCAGTTGGTTTCAAAAGGTCACCGGAGGGTTCTGAGCGCAAGGTGCGAATGGTGTTGGCGTTGGATACTTCCGGAAGGGATGCATGCAATCTTTTTTTTTTTTTTCTTTTTCCTCCGAGACTCACGGGCATGGCGAGCGCGGAGGAGAGCGAGCATTGGGTATTACTTGCATGCGATCCGTGGCCCATCAGTCACCAAGCGGGTGGCACACTCGTTTTCTTCGCTCGAGACGATGCCAGAGCGGTCGTTTTTCTTTCACATATACCCCTCTTCCGCAGAGCTCGTGGGCGATGTTTCGGTTCCTCCAATCTGGTTCATAACATCTTTACATACTCTAGCCATATTTTACCACAGCAATGAAGAAATCTTAGGATCAATCATTCTCTCTCCTCCCCATGCTCTCCCTCGTCTGCAACGGAGAGATTTCGCGCGGAAGCATTTCCGCTCCTCATAGGAATCTTCCCTGGATTTTTTTTTGGTGGGGTTCTGCAAGTCGCATTCCATTTTCTCCCCCCCCCCCCACCAAAAGAGAATCAAACTTAGCAAACTGACATTTACAAACATTCACATCTATCTATGCTACCAATTCTGTGCGCATTGATCGACTTGGTGTTCTTCCGTGACTGGAAAGACAATCAGTTGTAAGGGAGCAATGGCTCAGTCTCAGGAGCAAGCGCAGGAGAAGAAGCCGGGGAAGAATATGCTGTGGGGTGGGAGGTTTACTGGTTCGTCGACCTATCTACTCTAGGTGGTATGGATTTTCTGTAGGGGCAACCTGCTGATGAGGGGTTCAGGTGGGATGGATCCTCTTATGGTATATACTTCCTGTGCCATGTCTTCGGAGACACCTCCGCTAATCTCACCGCTGCGATTACCAGAACACATTCAATGCCTCCCTTCCCTACGACCGCATCCTCTATGCCCAAGATATAGCCGGCTCGATTGCGTTTGCCCGCGCCAATAAGAACCGGGGGATATTGACGAGCAGCGAATTCCAAAAGATAGAAGAGGGGTTTGAGAAGGTGAAGAAAGAGTGGGAAGATAACAGTTTCGAGGTTAGGGAGGCGGACGAGGATATACATACCGCCAATGAAAGAAGATTGTGTGAGATCATTGGCAATGAAGTTGGAGGGAAACTGCATACAGGCCGAAGTCGCAATGAGCAGATTGCGACAGATATGAGGTTGTGGTTGAGGGATGAGTTGAGGAAGATTGATCAATATCTAGTCGATCTGCTGCGCGTGATGACTAGTCGAGCGGAGATGGAGATTGAGCTTCTGATGCCAGGTTATACCCATCTTCAACGCGCACAACCGGTCCGATGGAGTCATTGGCTGCTCAGCTATGGCATGGCCTTCGCCGCAGACCTGCAGCGGTTGCGGGAGACGATTAAGAGGGTCAACAGGAGTCCGTTGGGCTGTGGAGCGCTGAGTGGAAATCCGTTTGGTATCGATAGGGAGGCTATGGCTAAGGAGCTTGGGTTCGAAGGACTGATGTGGAATTCCATGGCTGCGGTCGCTGATCGGGACTTTGCACTCGAATCTATACAATGGTCTTCGTTCCTAATGTCTCATGTGAGCAGGCTAGCAGAGGACCTGATCATCCACTCGACCGCCGAATTTGGGTATGTGAAACTGAGTGATGCATACTCAACGGGTTCGAGCCTGATGCCGCAAAAACACAATCCGGATTCTCTGGAGCTGTTGAGGGGCAAGAGTGGGAGGGTATTCGGCCAGGCGTGCGGGCTGCAGATGAGTATAAAGAGTACGCCGAGTACATACAATAAGGATTTGCAGGAGAGTGTGGAGCCGATGATTGATTGTGTGAAGACGGTGGGGATGAGTGTGCAGATCTTGACAGGGGTGGTCAGTACGATGAAATTGCAGAAGGAGAAGATGTGGGATGCGCTGTCGCCGGATATGGTGGGTTGACCCTTCTCATTCCTGCTGGGTCATGAGAATCTGCTGATCGAGGGCACAGCTTGCCATCGAACTTGCCGAGTTTCTCGTCCGGAAGGGAGTCCCATTCCGAGAAACGCATCATATTTCTGGCCGCATTGTCGCGCTGGCAGAAAGCGAGGGCGTACCGATGGATAAATTGTCTGTCCAACAAATACAGAGCGTCGACGATAGGTTTGATGACGATGTGAAAAATTGCTTCAATTATGAAAGGAGCGTTGAAATGAGATCTGCGAAAGGGGGAACAAGCAAGGCGTCGGTATTGGAGCAGATTGCCGTGCTGAAGGACTTGCTTGAGTCCAAGGATGCAAAGCTCGATGCTTGGGGCAAGCAATCAAAGGACGACGATGGAGATTTCTCATGAACTAGATAATGGTGAGGTATTGATGCATATGACATATGCCTGACGATATCTATGATGAAGGTGATGGTTGTTGTGGAACTTGACCATCTCTGTCCTCGAGGTTTCCGATCGAATTCAGGTCCAACGATGGAAATGTCGATAAGCGAAAGGTGATGGAGGCATTCTGAGATAAGTCTCTGCAAAGTCTCTGCACGTAAAGTGATAAGATCGGTACAGACTAGAAAACAAAAGACAGATCGATATGCAAAAGGTGAATTAGCTATGGCATTTGTGGTGGAACGTGACAACCCCACCAAACAAAAACAACCTACTCGATCGGCCCCCCACCAAGATTCGGAATTCACCGCATTGACATCACAGCGACACTCCGCCTTGCATAGGTATTTTCTTCTTGAAAAGTACTTTAAGCTGCTATTCTTCCATTACCTGGCAAGTCGGACTCCTTAATTACCTATCAATTCAACCACTGTACACCATGTCTCTTTCCAACAAGCTCGCTATCACCGACGTCGATCTCAAGGGGAAGAGAGTCCTCATAAGGGTATGTAAATTCGACTGCGACTGCTCTCGATCCGCGTTTCCTCAATCTCTCACTTCTCCTGCGTAATTAGACCCAGCTAACACTATCTTCCAGGTCGACTTCAACGTCCCGCTCGACTCCGAAAAGAACATCACCAACAACCAGCGCATCGTCGGCGCCCTTCCCACCATCAAATACGCTGGCGACCATGGCGCCAAGGCCATCATCCTCATGTCCCACCTCGGCCGCCCAGACGGTCACCCCAATCCGAAGTACTCGCTAAAACCTGTCGTTCCGGAGCTCGAGAAGTTACTCGGGAAGAAAGTTATCTTCACCGAGGACTGTGTGGGAAAGGAAGTCGAGGAGACAGTGGATAAAGCTAGTGATGGGGAGGTGATATTGTTGGAGAATCTGCGATTCCATGCGGAGGAGGAAGGGAGTAGTAAGGATAGCGAAGGAAAGAAGGTCAAGGCGGATAAGGGAGATGTGGACAAATTCCGCAAGGGACTGACGGCGCTGGGTGATGTCTACATCAATGACGCATTCGGTACAGCACACCGCGGTCACAGCTCTATGATTGGGGTAAAGCTGCCGCAGAAAGCCTCGGGATTTTTGATGAAGAAGGAATTGGACTATTTCGCCCAAGCGCTCGAGAAGCCCAAACGACCTTTCCTAGCCATACTTGGTGGTGCTAAGGTCTCGGATAAGATCCAGCTGATTGATAACCTGCTTTCGAAAGTGGACAGCTTGATCATCTGCGGTGGTATGGCGTTTACATTCAAGAAGACACTCGAGAATGTCAAGATCGGCAACAGCTTGTTTGACGAGGCCGGCAGCAAAACCGTGGGCGATCTGGTTAAGAAGGCAAAGAGGAATGGCGTTAAGCTGGTGCTACCCTGCGATTATGTGACAGCGGACAAGTTCGACAAGGATGCAAAGACCGGCTATGCAACCGACTCTGAGGGTGTCCCAGACGGCTGGATGGGGCTTGACTGCGGCGAAAAGAGTATTGAGCTCTTCAAGAAAACCATCGCTGAGGCCAAGACGACACTGTGGAATGGACCACCAGGTGTCTTTGAGATGGAACCGTTTGCGAATGGAACAAAGATGGTTATGGAAGCTGCGACGGAAGCAGTGAAAAAGGGAAATATCGTCATCGTTGGGGGTGGAGACACAGCGACTGTGGCGGCCAAGTATGGGGTTGAGGATAAGCTCAGTCATGTATCGACTGGGGGTGGAGCGAGTTTGGAGTTGCTTGAAGGCAAGGAGCTGCCGGGCGTCAGTACGCTGTCGGAGAAGCCGAGGGGTAAGTAGATGAGCTCCTATGGGGACGATCTTGCTGCAAGTGGCTCTGATGCGGAGAAGGGACCGGAATGAGGCTCTGAGATGGGAGGGGGAGGAAAATGACTGGACGACAATGGCTTATGATCTCCTCTTCTTGTAGATAGACCTCTCTTTAGCAAGCAAGCTTCAATAGATCCCATATAGCACCACAAAATCCATGCTCTGATCTCGACTTTTCGCATTGGCAGAGCCTCTGTCTTATCTGATCCGATCTATGCAACCCAAGCGCCATCAATGCCTCCGTGATTCCTCCCCAACTCTATTTCTGACCCTTGACCTTCGCCAACTCCTCCCTGCGCACATCGTCAGCACCCCAACCAGATTCCCAGACAGCGTCCAACCCAACGAACTCACTTCAACTGCTTCGAAAAGTCCTCACTCGTATCGTCATCGTCCCAGCTCTCCTCCCACAGATGCGTCGTCCCGCCCTCCTGCCCCGGCGGCACTTCGCTCTCTTCCGGAGCCCAATCTGCGGCAGGCGCACCCGTCAGCACAACACCGTCCCCTCCTCTCTCTCAACCTCTCTTGTACCGTGGGAAAAGAAAGAACGGGCGTACCGTCGACGGGGAAGTCCTCAAACTCGTCGTCCTCCTCCAGCGCCGCGGCGGGCTTTTGCTGGTCTTTGAGCGTGGTGGAGGTGTCGGTGGTGGTGGCGGTGGTTGCTTTGGCCGTGGGGCCGGAGCCGTCTGCTGCTGCTGACATGGTGGTGGGGGGAGGATAGGCTGGGGGTTTGGCGTAGATGAGAGATGGGGTAAGGAAGAATGATGGGGTTTGTTGCGCGCGCTTCAAATCGCAATTTGCCGGAGAATAGCCGAGGTAGAGTACCAAAAAGCACCTTGAGACAAGAAAAGTAAAAGTTACCAGAAAGTCTGTGTGTTCTTGCAGTCGGCGGCATAAACCTATGCCGCTGACTGTTTTGGTCGCAAGCAGGCCTTTACCAGCGAGCAAATCACGTCTACCTAACCATATGCCCCCAGAAACCCACTGTAGCCTATATACGTGGGTTGAGGACTTCGCCATGGGCTCTTCTCATCGTGTTGTCGTAATTCAACGGTACTCTCCATCCGAATAGGTGCTGTCCCCCATCTGAGAGTGTAATATTCCTTTACGTCTCATACCTTAACGTTCAATGATACAACAATTCTCACGATCTTTCAAGCATGTCCAGGAACCGAAGTCTCTTCGGCTCATGATATCTCATGCTATATATGAACTACATTGTGTGCGCAACTTTGGATCTTTCCCGATGTTTACTGCTGCGGGTTTTGCGCCCTGGGAACGTGGACAGGAGTCGAAGTATATGACGTAAACATACAGACCGAGGACATGGAGGATATAGAATCCCAAGAGGGCAAGCAGATCAGGCAGGGTCAGTGTTTCCATGATTCATGATTAGGAGATGAAGGGATAAAAAAACGCAGGGTTTAATTGAAAGATTGGTAGGCACGAAAGGATTCGCAAATGCGTTCGCTTTTTGATTGGACATTTGGTTGTTTTTCTTCCCCAAGCGAATGCTCAAACCATGCATCCTCTGCAACGGAATGAGGGCAATGGATGATGATATGCACGAAGACGTCAGACTAATGGTCAGAATAAGTTGAAGTCTTGGCATGACATCTATTTACCCACAGAAAGACAACGGCAATACTTATCTGGGAAGTCCTGCAACTTAGATTCTAGAACGGGAGAGGCAAGCTCTTCGTTTTATACACGACAAAGTTTTTTTTTTCTGTATTGCTTAGCCGTGAAATTAGTAACCTTCGTCCGTCTGCGGAACTGCCACTTGTTCTGAACATCAGCCTGACGTAGACGGCATGCGTACGAATCTCTTCCGTGTCCGATCGTTGCAGGGCTGCATATGCGTCTTTTCGGTCTTCATGGCGATTGGAACGCTCTGGGAGCACTGCCCGCGGTAGCTGCTGCAGCCACACTCTCTTGAAGATAACGGATGGGTTGATGTAAGAAAGGCAAGCCTGTATTGCGACAATTGAGAATGGGATAAGAAAGCTGTCAAGAAAATCTTGCTCGTGAGCCTTGGACAACTTTTGGGGGGGGCTGCTGTCATGTCTTCGAACCCGCTCGAAAAAAAGTCGAACACCCTCGCCTGGTATCGTCCCATTCCGTCGCTACATTAGCAAAATAAGGCGCCTATCAATATCTGGGAACCAATCAATCTACTTTACTCACCAAACAAGGCATCCGCGAGGCTGAGAATCAGCAACCTCGAAAATGCCAGGGGTTCATAATACAATTTCTGTTGATTCGGATCAATCAACGTTCCTTTCCCTGCATTTGTCGTCGCAATATGCAATCGCCTACGAAGGAAGAAATGACGCCTACCGAAGAATCTGTCAGTCGGGCTGGGACCCCACCGAACGTTGCCGAAGAGAGAGACCTGTGGCTCCAGGCGCTAGAGACCGAAGACTTCGCTAAACTGCTGCTTAGGGCGGGAGTGCTATGTAAGTACTTTTCCTTCGTTTACCTCTATGCTCCTAATAGATGCAGCCGGACCCCCACTGAATCTCTGAGCGTCAAGAGGTCTTCAGCAGCCGAAGAGACTCCCCTCATTGGACTCCAACCTCAATGCTCGCGCGATGCACCAAGTGAGAACGCTCCGACTCCGGCCGAGATGAAAGAAGGATTCGCAAAAGCTCGATTCGCAACGCTAAGGCTCTTACGACCTTGGTTTCCCAAAGCAGACCCAGAACATGAACGGGCGAAAAAATTTAGGACCTGGCATTCGAGAAGAGATATTGTTATGCAAACTTGCTCCGTAACCTCGGTAGTGATCTTCCTAATTAACCTTTTGTGTACGGTTGTGTTCAAGTCGAAATGGGGAGCTAATAGCGATATCAATACTCTCTACCAAGGTGATTGTTCCAAGACGGAGAAGATTAGTACGGATCTTCACGTGGTAATCAACCTGCTCAGTGCCCTCTTACTCGGCGCCTCAGACCTGTGTATGCAACTTCTGGCGGCGCCTACACCCTCGGAAATTGAAAGAGCACACAAAAAATATTTGGGTGCCGAGCTTTCGAAACCTCAGACACATCGGTCGGGATAGATTGGTCATTTGTGCTATTCTAGGGGTATCCTCTGTCCCTCTTCATCTTCTGTAAGTGACATGAGGAAACTCCATGATCTATACACAACACTTATCGCCGGTGAGTACAGATACAATTCAGCGGTGTTTCCAACCTTGGTCAGCGATAGCTACAACTGGATAGTCGTGACGCCAGATTACTTAAACAACGCCCCTTGGGATCTCAGTGCAACAAATAGAACTCTAGAAGAAAGAGGCAGTGAGCAAGTCTTGGGTCTTGTGAGCGATAGGGGCTTGCCAGTAATGCAGCCATTAGCAGCCTCAACTAATCAAGCTTCCTGGCCGACCTCTGGGGATATCGTAAACATGCAAAATGCTGCGCATAACGGCACGAGCCTGACAAGACTAAGCCCGCTTGATGGTTTAAAACAGTACTCGACTCCGTTTGGAGATCGTTCAGACATTGTTTTGATCGTCCTAGACACCAATAATACGAACAATGCCAACAATTCCGTGCTAGCTTGTGGGAGACAGGGCGCTATTGAGCTCGGTGTGCATAAGGGTAACCATCCTGGCGAGTGGATGTGCAGACAGTCAAACACTTTCAGCTGCAAAAAGCTCGCAGCGCACGGGTACGAGAGCGAAGACCAAGAGATTTCGGCCATCTCCCACTGGAACGTGGTAGGCTACGAGATAGATTACTGCATGGCCTCATATCGTCCCACGGGTAAGCGCCGTGGTGTGGTCTATTCCCATCGAATCATGATTGATAAGCGAACTGCCTGTTCGATGTGTGGGTACCCACGGTGTCTGATCAGAATCCAGTTGTTTGCTGCGGCAATTTCTGCAAATGTTTGTCCATAATTTACACGGCTATCCGCTACTCCAAGCACTCTGACCCACCCCTTTCGATCCTTGGAGATGCGTTAGCATCGTTCCTGGAAAGACCGGATGTCCACACCCAAGGCATGAGTATTGTATCGTACAGGGATTTTCGAGTAGATTGCAACGTTGCGTGGAAACGGCCAGTGCCCAGGGAATGGCGCCCTTCAAGACGGCGTTGGGCCTCGGCCGCAAACCGGCGAAGATGGTACTCAGCCCTGGTGATGTGAGTGGCAATGTTGACGAGACTGCCATCTATACTGAACAAGCTCGGCAGAAACGCTCTGATCTTTTTGGTAGCCGTTATCTTACTACACTTCGGTATCCAGGTTTCCGGTTCAGTGGTGGCGTTGGTAAGTCAAGACGCAAAGGGCGTGGGACATTGCTCCTCTACCACTGCGAGGGATGTTGCGGCGCCGGTTGTTGGGTGTTTGTATGGCCGAAACGAGGGAATGTCAAAGGGCGGCTTGATTGCTTACCGTTTTCTACCGAGATCTTCTTCCTCGCACTTGCAAAACCTCGCACTCCTGTCAGACTTCATAATGGTGACCGTCGCGAGAGAATGTAGCAAAAGTCATGCACAGAGAGAAGTCCAATTCACCATAGGTGCAAGCTGTCTTTCTTTTCATTTGCGCAAATTTCTGTGGGTATTGATTGAAACAACCCGACTTCTACTGTCAAAGGATCTTAAAAGAAAGGATTAGACAACAAAAAGAGGAAGAAAAACAATAGCACCAATTTCCTCGCAGATAAAATAACCATTTTTGGGCAAAATCTGCGAGAAGTGTCATTCTTTTCTGGCACTGGGCCTGAATTGTACGACTTCTCGCTTCTTCTTGCAGGTAAAATGAGAGGGTTCTTACCAAAATATTGTGACAATTGTTATCATTTTCTGGCAATTGTAGGACTTTTGCAATCTCGTTAAAAGCCTTCGCTCTCGATGCACGACTTTTGCTCGATCCTCTTACTCTGAACATGCCAATATTCCACATCACCTGTGGGCCGTGTCCACTCTCTTGGACAGGCGTCCACATGCAGAGCTCCGTATACTTCCCAAACAAAGCCACCACTTCCCCTTCCATCCGCCACCCGAAGTGCTCATAGATCGGTGCTCCTTCAGGTCAGGCTTTGATATGGGCTTCTAACCCATCTTCGTCGGCCTGCGCTAAACCCCATCAAATCAACTGGCTCGCCGCTCACTTGCCTTGGTGTTCTGGTAGGGTAGCGAGCATCTCTAAACACTGACCGTACTTTGGTCGTGTCACCCAGCGGCTACGGTATGTTGAGATATATTTTACAGTAATGACCTCTCTCTGTCATGATCTTCTTCCTCTGTTTCGCCAGAGCCCCGAAGAATTGACTGAACGGATTCTTCTCGCTCCCTTCTGGCCCCTCAGGTAGAGCATCCGGGCCGCCCCCTCCCATTGTTGCTGCGTCGGCTCCGCTGTAGGAAGCCACTGTCCACTAGGCAAAGGCAATGATTTTGCCGTTGTCTGTGATCGTGACGAAGCGAGCGGTGTCGTCGGAACGTGTGGCTTTGCCGTTGCTGGCTTCCCACCAGGCGCGCACGCTGGGGGTCCGTGGAAAGCAGGCGAGAAGACTACATGCGAACGAAGACTTTGAAGTAACAAGGATTTGCATGGCAGAGGACCTGTCTACTTACATTGGTTAGTCATCAACTTGCAGACGTGTGGTATCATGCGACTAGCTATTGCAGCGCACGTGATGATGCTCTTGAGTAAGAGAGCGCACACAATATCTCATATTGTCCCAAATACCTAGTCAATTTAAAGGCCGTATGAGATGATGCTATTGGATATGAACAGTGCTGCGGGAGTAGCTATATAAAATAATCATCCTGTCAGTCACAGTGTATACCATACATTGGATGTCACGGGCCGAAGAGACTTTTGATCTCTTTCGCTTCCTGGAGCTAGTCCTAGGTCGCAAGAATTGTGGGTCACTGAACCTTCGAGCATGAGACGCTAAAGAAAAAAAAAAATCATTAGGAAAACTAATGAACAAAAAGGAATATCGTAGAGATGGGTCGAGAAATGGGGTCTGGTTGACGGAGAAGTTGGACCTCTCATAATCAACGACAAAGTATACTTCTAAAGAAATGTACGGCCAAGAGCGAATTGCGTGGCACGACGTATGGAGAAGTAATGGTCCTGAGGCACAAAGTAGGCCAAGAACTAGCCCTGTGGGTTGGCTAGGAAGTAAAAAGTAGCAATCGAGGTAAGCCTTGTCGTCGGAATCGAAGTGTCGTCTTGATGTAGCCGACACTGTAGCAATACAGTGTACAGAGATCGCCGCATCTGATGGAATTTAGTCCAATTGCTGGCACTGCTCTCCCAATAGAAGAAGACTGGATATATTGTACCTAAGGGTGCTTGAGAGCCCTGCAATTCGCGGTTTGCCGGAGAATTAGCGTAAGAAGACTGGAAATAAATATTTTTTTTTTTCCTTTTTTTTTTTTTTTTTTTTTTTTAAAAATTTTTTATTTTTTTTTTTTTTTTTTTTCCCCCTTTTTTTTTTTTTTTAATTGGGGGTTTTTTTTTTTTTTTTTTTTTTTTTTTTTTTTTTTTTTTTTTTTTTTTTTTTTATTTAATTTTTATATTTTTTTTTTTTTTTTTTTTTTTTTTTTAAATTTTTTGGGGTTTTTTTTTTTAATCCCCCCAAAGTTTTTAAAACCCCTAATTTGATTGTTTGTAAATCCTTCAAAATCGTTCTGAAAGACGTGTCGAAAGGTCTCAAAATGACGCCGCATCTACGTTCTAAGGCAGGTGAGAGGCTGCGGCATCGCCCTTGTGTATGAATGTACCTGTCACGAGGGATCACGGTGTCACTATAGATAGCAAGGTTCCGCTCCCATCGATACGCCGTCGATATACTGGAACAGGCATCCGCAGCTACGGCTTCAGGTCGCCAATGGGATTTAGAGTTGGGCACGCTGGCGTACAGAGGGATCCTTTCTGAATGGTAGTATCGCGTCCGAAGCAAGGGCTGGCGATATGGCTATTATACGCCTAAGTCAGAGACAAAATACTAGGAAAAGCGTGTATACCCACTAGCTTCGGTATCACGAATATCCAACTGAGGTAGCAGACGACAGTGGCTATTGCAAGAGTGGCAAGTACGTTCTCTACAATTTTCTATGAATAACGCTAACAAAAAGTCGGAGGCGGAGCTGAATCAGCTTTGCCAAGCATTCTTATTTAATTTGCAATTCATAAAAAACGTTACAATTCATGGCATCGAGAACATCGCACACACTTATCAGCTGCCTTTGAACTCTTAAAGGAATATCGCCATAACGTCTAACAACAAGATCTTTATAGTAAATATATTAAACTTTTTCTATATTTTAATGTAATTCTAATTCGAAGTTCTTGAAAAGCGTTATATATTAAATATTTATAGATACTCTATTAAGAGCTAGAATAGAGTAATTAATAGAAATTTAAGATAAAAGATATAAGATTTAGAGGTGAAATATAGAGTAGATTAAATTAAGTATCTTGAATATAGGATATTTATCCTTAAACTACGTATTAATAACTTTTATAGAAGATCTAGAAGGAGTTAATAGATACCTTAGTATGCGATTTTCTCGACGCTAAGAATTATAGAGTTTTCTGCATTTATAAATTGCAAATTAAATAAGAATACTTGGCAAAGCTGATTTAGCTCCGCCTCCGACTTTTTATTAGCTTACCTTAGTTTCTTAGAATATATTAAGATCGCTAAGCTCTTTCGAGTTAGCTCGCCTCGCTAAGTCTCTTCGAGTTAGCGCTTTCTACTTACTACGAAATTTAAAGAAAGTACGTCTAAGGGTAAATTCTAATCTTATATATAGATTCGACTTATTTCTAATAAAATATAAGAAATCTCGTATAATTTCGCATTTTTAACTTAAATACGAATTTTAATTACGTATTTTAAATATATTAAAATATATTAATAAATTAACGCGTGTCGTCGAGCATTTGTAAATTATAATATATATTACGAGCGTACTCTTAATATACTACTTAGCCCTATAACTAGCGAGCCTTAACGAAGATATTCTCTATTATATTATATCTCCTTTCCACATATATAATTCGATAGTCTTATTATTCTAGTTCTATCTTACT